TATCGGGATCAAGCGTTAAACTGTAATCTGAAATCAAAAATTAAAATAGGCTTAACTTCGAAAATAAAGAACACATACACATTTTATTTAAATGATATGTTTATTATGTTAAACTAATTTAGAAAAACATACAGAAAGCAGTTTATTTGCATTAAATTATAAAATTTTACTAGCGTACCCTAAAGCACTCTTTTGTACTAGCGTCCATAGGTACTCTGTTAAGTAGGATCAATGGCCAACTCTCGGGCCTTTCCTACTAGCAGTCTAAAAATTACCTCGAATGTACATGTTCTATATAGACGCCATGACAACCCCCCTTTTCACAAACTTTGAAATAAATGTTGGAAGACCTCTTATCTATGGAGTATGAAGTTTAACTTTATTGACTGCAATGATATTACCTAAAACATACAAGAGAAGGGACTTCTAAACCCTTCAATCCTATATTCAAATAAACAGGAAATGTACATGTATAAATTTTTAACACCCGTTGATGATGATACATTCGAGGCTGTTTTTCTGACCTCTGATGGAAAGGCCCTACTAAGTAACATGATGCAATTTCGGATTTCGCCTCATGTGCATGATGAAATTCTCGTATGCTTAAGGGTTTTGCGGACGATTCCTCTTGCTTGCGAACGGTTTTTCCTTTGCTTTTTTTCTGGCCCCACGAGCTCTTTGGGGTTTACCAAAACAGTGGTCTCTGTAAAAGAAATATGGGTACAATAAAATTTGAGATAAAAAGAAACAGGAAAAAAAAAAAGATTTTTAATCGAGGAGGGGGGGGGGTGACCATAACTGATAACAATCTTACTTCGGTAAGATAAGCTATATTATTTAAATTCCTCCTTCCCGTATATTTCATTAAACGATGCATCCATATCTTAAAAAATTAAAGATAAAAAAGTTATTACATAAACGACTATAATGAACATCATCCAATCCGGCACCAAAAATGCAGTCTAATCCGGCACAATTTCCATTAAAATTAACCGATTCCAATCCAGCACGTGTCAACATTTTTAAATCGAAATATTTTTGTAATAAAATGGGTTATAACAAATAAACATATAACAACGGGTCAGAATTACTCCAAAGTATCATTTGTTAGCCACACTCCTGCTGCTGGATGCATTAAACTGTCAAAATCGAAGAAAAAAACAACTCCATGCCGCTTCAAACTCAATCGGAATAATTCTGCCGTCTTCAGTCGTTAAATGTTCAAGTTTAAGAGACGATAGGAAAAGTAGCAATTAAACACACTAATAAACATTTTACTAGGAATTCGACAAAATCTTCGAATCAAGCATATCTGACGGTTAACAGGGGATATTTACCGAAATCTCAGGTACCTACCTTTTTCGATTTGTTCCCGCCGCCATCTTGTTTTGTCCAATCCGGCACGGGATCACGACAGTGGAGGTGGTGAAGGTAAATGTGTGTACATTTGTATTCTTAATATTTTTTAAATGATAATGTTGACACCAGTGTATTTAAACGACAAAATAAAGCATGTCTCATCTTCCCGACAGGAAACTCGATCAATAAATCTATACATTTCTTTAATAAATAAATTATTTATGTATTAATTTCTTACTTATTGTTTACTACATTCTCTTGGAGGAAATACTAGCTATTAATACGACTTTATATCCTCAATTAATTTTAAAATAATAGTTTTTCAATTAATATCGAATGAACACAGGCATACAATTTGTATAATAGGCAAAGGGCGGACCTTTTCTTATAGAGCCAGGCGGACCTAATATGTTATCGTATTAGGTCCGGCCGGACCTTTAAACGAGGCGGACCAAATATTATGCGACACCGGATGTAGTTGTCAATAGCAACGTTCTGAGTAATGTAGAGCTAGGAAAATAATTTGGCTACTCTAAAAAGTTTCTAAAAGTGTTACTATTACTGGAGGTATGATGCATATTGTCATGAATAGTTATACATTGTAGGAGAAAAAATAAATAAATGTACATTCATTTAAAAGTAATTTTATTTTTAAAAAAAACAAAAACACATTAATGGAAAATGGACGGATGTTTGAGAGGATTGGATGCTGACATGACAAGAACAACAAATTATATACTATACTAATTATCATGATTACTTTATAAGCTAAAACTGAAGAAAGACACATTCATGTAAATGTACTTTTATTCTAAAAAAAAAAAATAATAAAACATTAATTGAAAATGGACGGATGTTTGAGACAATGGATGCTGACATGGTATGCAAACCACAGCTCCGTTTTTTTTTTAAAGTAAAAAATTACAAATTAAAATCTGCCGCGATTGATTTTCACCAAAAAAATTAACGACACGAGGCATTACCCTCTTATCTTTGTTTCTGTGAACTTTAAGCTCCATTTCTCCGCTTAGTAAGGTCAACTTTGCAGAAAATTGGGAGAGAAAATAAAAGCGTCCGATCTTTTCAACAAATGTCGTGGTTATGAGAGGTAACCACAACACAACGCAAGCCTACTAGAAACGTGATGTCATAATCGTAATGACGTAAACCAATGAAAGGATTGCAAGAACACAAGATACACTAACGATATCTTGAATTCAACACGTGGAAGCAAGAAAAATCTTTAAAGGAATATTCATTTTATTAATTAGTAGGGATTTTAAATAAAATGCAAAAATTTGAATACAAATATATATCTTGCGTCATTTCTCCTTTACATCTTCTGAGAAAAATTCATTTATGAATTCATAAAGGTTCCCGTCTGCCTTCATGTTTCATATCTGTCAAAGGTCAAGCACCAAAGGTCTCTAAGTACTTGTAACATTACGATATACATATAACTGCGCGATATAACGCAAAAGTTTCGCGTTTATTCGCGAAAGTTTTGCGTTGTAACGCGAAATTTTTTATTAACCTTCGAAAATGAGCTCATTGAGCTTTCGTATAAATTTACCTTTAATATGTCAAAAATCTTTCAAACAGGTTTCGTTTTTTTCTGGAAAAGTGCATTTTAGTAACTAGTTAATTTTACTACCTAGTTAATTTTACTAGTATGCCTAGTAAAGCGTTCGTCGTGATTAGTAATCATTCTGTTTACTAGCTAAGATAGTGAGTAGTAGGTGTCACGTGGAGCGAGGGTCGTATAGATACCTACTAACCTGGTGAAAGTTATACTGATAAATTCTAGATTTATTATTATTTACATCCACTGAATATTTTCTCCTTTATTTCTTAAGAAAACCCATTGCGTTAATCACTGCATGAACTACAGTAGGCATGTCGCCTGTACAGATTTCTTGATCAGTGGCTGTTCCATCAATGAAACGTATAAAGACGTTCGCATCATTAATACAATAATTAATCTTTTTAATCCTACTTTAAATGATTATTGAAACAGATATAAATATAAACAATAAAATGTTTTTCTTTGTTTGTTATTACTGGAATTAAGGGTCGCAGCTATTGCCGAAAAAAAAATACATAAAATACATTAACCCGCTTACGCGGGTTATGTATTTTTTCTGCAACAGCTGCTTCCGTTAGTTCCAGTAATAACAATCAAAGAAAGCATTTTATTGTTTAAATAATGTTATTTAGTAAATCTACTCAATACCTAGTAAAAGGTAGTGATTTATGGACAGTAAATTAACTAGTCTTCCGAGTAACTTTCACTAGTTATATTTTCAGTGTATGTACGTGTATTCTGACAGGGCTCTCGACATTTTCGCCAGATAAATTAGAACAGCATAATAAGAAAATCTATAAACATGGAAAATTAAGAAAAAATAAAATGACTCCGAAATTTAACAATTAGAAAACTTAAGTGAATCTAGAATTTTAAAGTAACTTTCACTAGGTATCTATATGACTTCCTAACTCTATACTCACTGTCTTAGCTAGTAAACGGAATGATTAAACTATAGTTGAATTAACTAGGTATTTCTTTCAGTGATGTCCTACATTACGCATAGCTGTACTCATTAATAATTCGTTTTCTTTGCTACGATGGATTTTTTTTATTTCACAAAAATTACAATCATCAGAGTTTGTGACAGTGTCTGTTGTACTGACACAACTATAAGATATAACAACAGTGTTCCATCTCCCCCACCAATTAAGCTATGTTATATACTGTATATTTTAAATCCAGGCTATAACGAGCATCAACATCCACTCGTCTACCCAGCTAAATGTTTGAGCCTTCCATATATTTTTCTTTTAATTATGATTAATCATTCATTTTGTAATATTTTTCAAAATTATTTTTCACAGTACCGTATCGTTAGTATGTCGATGACGAATCATATATTACATATGCAAATTTTTAATATCAGTAAAAAAAAAAATACAATTCGCTATTTTTGTGTCATAACGAGTTGCTTTTTATGCGCCTGGATCGATAGATCCGGGGCGTACATTGTGTTTGTCCTGTCTGTTTATCAGTTTGTCTGTTTGTTTTTTGTCAACTTTAACCTTCGCCATAACATATGAACCATGAGACTTCATATTTAATTTGTACACTCCACTAATTAAGCTCTTTCAAGTGACACCAAGGTCAATGACCTTGTGACCTTGATTGTGACCTATATGCTAAAAATAGCTTTTTCGAACTTTCGCCATAACTTTTGAACCATAAGAGATGGATACTTCATATTTGATATGCCTACTCCGCTAATTAATTTCTTTCAAATGACACCAATGTAAATGACCTTGTGACCTTGACTGTGACCTTTATGCTAAAAGTAGCTCTTTTGAACTTTCGGCATAACTTTTGAACCATAGGAGATAGAGACTTCATATTAGCATGCGTATTCCAAAAAATAAAAATAGCTCTCTGTCAAAGAAATGCTACAAAAGTTGTTTTATGAATATTATTTAAGAAACACGACTTTCAGAATGCATAGGATCCTACATTCGATCCCACAGAATTATATGCAGAGCTATTTAAGATTTATTTCGTTTTGGCAAACCGATTCTTAAATTTGCAAAGCGTTGACTGCGCATGGTATTTTGAGCAGAAGAGCGGAAGTTCTTTTAAAATTGGTCGACAAATTCGGAAACAGGCGAAGAGCCGATGTTATGCGTTTTTCTATTTGTTTGCATGGTAAGATCTTACCGATTTATATAGTTTTTAGTGTATTAGCAAAAAATAGATGTTGAGAAAAGGCTGCATACAAGTGATTTGTCAATATAAACTTTGCAGTGCATGTTTCGAAAATCTCAATATCTGTCAGTCAGTGACTAGTGTTGCATGTTGTACATTTTCTTTTACGAAGTCATTTCATTGTAAAAACAAGAAGTAGAAATTTGAAACTGGCTGTTGGCTTTATAGTTTATGGACAGTATTTTCTGTCGGTTCAAACTGTTGCCAATGTTATTTATTTAGATCTAATCTCTTGAAAACTGAACATTAAAGAAATGCACCTAATAACCTTATCATTAGCTGGTTGGTAAATCATGGATAAAAAATCAAAAAAAAAGTTCACATGCCTAACTCAGTTTTCAGAAACTACATAGTATCACAGTGTTTTCCCTAAGAACCGGCAACCGGCCAAATTGACCGCTTCAATTGACAAAAATGCCGCTTTGAAATAACAATTTGTTGTAAGGTCCACAGAGATTTTTTCATAAACCTCATACCCTAGACTTTTACAACTGATCTCTAACCATTTACTTTGAAATAAAAGGAAAACACTGATAACAGTGTTGTGCTGTGCTTAAATAGCATGCATAGCTCATCCTGTAACTTTCGTAGTAATGATATCTATAGTATGTAGACAAGTTTAGTCAATATTTGGACTCTTTCAGTGATGAATATGGTTCGTTATTCACAAGAAAAATATCAATATTAATAGAAGGGAAAGCTTCATGTGCACTGAACCTCCATCTTATGTATCCTCAAATCCAGTTTAAACATGTAGGATTATGAACTGTTTGCATATGTAAAATATATAATGTATAGATTATATTGGGACTATTTATTGACTATAATAATCTTGAATATTGTGAATATACAGGAATTATTTAGTCAAGAAATGATTTTTACCTATCCCCTATCTACTTCACCTATCTTTTTCGTGTACGCTGGCACATAAGGCCCTGAATGTCTGATTTTTAGCCGGGCTTATTGCTCAAAGAGCAATTGCCGGCTTATGTGATCCTGTGCAAGGCAGGATGTTAACCCCATAGTCGCCATTTTAAAGTTACGTGCAAAAATATAGTTCTTACTCTCAACTGCTTTTGAGATAATACAAACGCTAAATAAAGCAACAAAAATAAAACGAAGTTTTATCTATATAAAATAAACATTAGTAGTAATGACTTTGAAAACTTCATAAGTCAAAGAACATAGTTCATTAGCGTAAGGATTTTTGATAATCAGTGTTACTGTAGTTCTCTACACATATGAGGTAAAGCAGGAGAGGGGAACCAGACTGGCCTATTTGTTTACATTCAGCTGCGGTACCAGATTAATTCTGATTTTGACAAAAGCGGACCGTGGTATTAGGATTGAAAAACTCACTGTCAGTGTCTTATCATTTAAATTGATAGTTATACCCCCCGCAAACGAAGTTTAGGGGGGGTATATTGGAATCACCATGTCCGTCTGTCTGTCCGTCTGTCTGTCTGTCTGTAGACGAGATTTTGTCCGGACGATTTCTCAAAAACTATTGGAAGGATTTGTCTGAAAATTTATACACATATTATTCACCATATGAAAGTGTGCACCTGCTATTTTCATCTTGATTGGATGATTATTTTGAATTTTACAGGTGTTTTTTCATTTTTATTTTGTGGTCTTGTGCAGACCGTTTCTCACAAACTATTGCAAGGATTTATCTGAAAATTTGCACACTTATTATTCACCATATGAAGGTGTGCATCTGGAATTTTCAATTTTATTTGTTTATTTTTCTGCATTTTACAGGTTTTACTTTTTATTTAAATTGACTTGTTCATTTTGGGCTCATTTATAAGGTTTGAGAGATAGAATCTAAAATATCTGTACAAAAATGTGAACTAGTACAGCTTAAAACAACTCATTAAAACTAAAAAAAAGAAACATCATCAAGTGTTTAAAACAGTTTTTACATTACATAGAAGATAATGTAAATTCATTTGTCTCTTGGGAATAATGGCTGGACATGCATCCAGTTAAAGATAAATTAATGAGTTTGGTGTTGGAGGTTGTTAAGGCATATCTCTTATCAAGCGTGTGTGTGTTATCAAATCTCCAGGGAATAAGGCACAAGAATTAAAGATCTCTCTTCTCTTATTCTCTTAATTGTAATTTATTGTCTGTCAAAGCACTTCATTACTGGATGATAGGGCTGTCACGGGTACCCGAAATGACCCGGAACCGCGGAACAATTAATTCGGGTCGGGTACGGTTCCGTTTTTCTGGAATTCGGTTCGGTTCCGATTTGTATAATAGAGTAGATTTTACTATAAAATGGCGTCAAAAACGAGAGTTTTGTTAGTAAATTGTCATTAAAAGGCAGGGTTTCAGATTGGCGTCGGCCATTTGCCAATAAAAGTTTACCTGCCATGTTGGCCTATAAGTTTGACATTGAACAGACACAATGGCCGATTATCTTCTGTATGTAAAGGCCGGTCGTATAATTTTTCCTCCATTCAGATCCGATTGTTTTTCTCTACTTTCTGCAACTGCCGATTCAATCAGCCAATGACATTTTAGATCTTGACAAAATACTCTATAATTTTATTTCCAAACCCAACTGCAAGGAGCATTAAGTAGTGATGAATGTTTAAAACATCGAAGGAATCCATGCCATGTTGTTATTTTTACCGCCATGACTGAATATGGGGTCGGACTAATAGCAGGAAACGGACAATGTTGCAAGGTTTTACTAAGGGAAAAAAATAGTCTAGGTAATCTTTAAACGTAATTATACATTGAGTATCATCAGAGATACAAGTCTAATTTTTGGATTACTATTTTTAAAAATTGTAATCCCAAGAAATAAATACATTTACATGTAATGAAAGGTGGGACTAATATAAGTTAAATACCCATTGAATGGAATTTAAAAAAAAACAATTCCCATTCTGTTTCAATATATTAATTTTGTTTAAAAGAAACAAAATAATATTTCCACCTTATTAAAAGGAAAATTAATATACAAGTTTGAATATTTTATGTAATAAAATGACTATTTTGTAAAAGTCTGACAGAAATCTGAGTTAGTTTAACTTTTCTATTGGCCTATAATTTTAGGAAGTTTAGGACAGAATGGCATATAACTTTTCTGGTAAATATGCCAGATGTCCTGTAGTTACTTATTTCAATCTGAAACCCTGAAAGGTGTTTTAAATTATTTGGTACAGTTGTTGTCTAGTCAGGAGGCTACTTTAAACTAGTTATAATGTTGCAATTTCTAAGATTAAATGAGAATATTCTTTTTATTGTTGAAAATAGTACAAATCATGAGCTTTTCTTCCATTACCTACCCGACCCGAGAAACCCGAAACCGAACCTCAAAAAATCAGAACCGACCCGACCCGAAAAATTTTGGAACCGTGACAGCCCTACTGGATGACCAGCTTTTTATTTTCAAAATGAATTTGATATATCAAGATTAATTTGATTTTGTATAATGATTTTTTTTTCAGCAATTAGTTTGCAGAGTGTCATGACACATAATTGCAATATATTTCTTTAATGCAGAAATAAAAAAATGTTACGATTGAATTACAATGTATAGGTATTGATGTTTCGTTTGGTTGCACTTTTGTTTCACTCATTAAGAAACATAATGAGCACTTATATTTTACTGTAAATTTTTATAAGTAAATAGTGAACACCTCTAGATCCATAAAGTATTTTCGAATTGGCACCTTCTCTGAAAAACCAGCGGGGGGTATTTGTCCCTATTGGACAGTTCTAGTTTTAAAATTATTTTTTCATCAGAATATAAACGTGATTCATGTAAGAAATCCATTCTACTCTGTAAATGAGCCCGGCTCTCTGTACTTCTGAGTACTTTGATTACCTATATGCATCACCATATTCTATATTAAGTCTGGCAACGTGAAGCATTTCTGATATGCTCTACCTCTCAAATTCACTTGTTTAACATGATCATAAAAACATGTAAAACATATTATTAACTTGAATATAAAGATGATAAAAGGAAAGACAGAGGAAATTGAAAGTTGGATCCCCCTCTCTATATCATGTTTTCAGTGAATCAAATCAACATAAACTAGATTGTTTACTTTCTTTTTACCTTTCTTGTGAGATGCCTTCTCTATAACCAACAATATGAAGATTTTTAAGAAAGGGGGGGTTAATATTAAAATTATTTGAATTTCAATGTCAAAAAAGTTCACCTGTAATAAACTGATATACATTTGTACTTGCAAATACATCAAGTTCCTGACAAAATTATTGTGAAATTTATGGAAAGACAAAGTTGTTCACTTTATATTGATTTAGATAATTTAAATTACATATGTTTGTTTACTCAATTATATCATGATAACTTTAGTATCTTGGATGATATATCTCAATATAAAAAAGAATACAAGAAAAAAAGCATGTTAAATTTGGCCAATGTAGACTTTTTTCTCCCGTAATTACTTGTCTGTACTTGATTGAATTGGAAATGATGCAATTTTCCTGATAGACATCTAACAAATTAAAGGCTTGTAAGTCATTAATGCCATGCATGGGTTTTCCTGTTGAGGCAAGGCATGAAGCAGGTGTACATCTGCTGGTTTGTATAGGACATAAAAAGATCCCCTCAAATGGAGTAGTTTTGGTTAATCTAAACTGTTTTAATGAAGTTAATGAACACCATGATAGCAAATGTGAAAATTATAGTAAGATAAAATAATAAACACCACAATTTTTATCAATTTTAATAGAAAAAAATATTAGAAGTTGCTTATTGTCAGTATATGAACATTATGAATGATAATATTGTGTATTCCTCTTTTTTGCAGATGTCCAGGTGAAAGAAGAAACAGAGATTGAAATCTAGGAGCAAGGAAATTGACACCCTTGTATATTGCTGCCATGTAGGTATTCACATTGTGGTGACAATACGACATGTAGACATGTTATCTAATCTAGGAGTAAATGTGCCCTAGGGGGGTTCCTAGGTTGCAGGTTAATAATTGATCAGAAAAGGCTGACTTGGAAGCGATTGGATGTTACGTCATCCCCTTTTGACAATTCATTCTGTGCATGAGGCTTCTTTTGTCATATCCCGCAATTTCATGTTTGCTTTTTGCACACAAGGATTGATTTTCAATAAAGTTAGGTGAGTTAATGAAATTGGAAGCAGGTGATTGAATGGCTCTCCTTTCTTGTGTCGAGTATTTTCTCTGGTTTTTGAAGTTGTATGTTTTTCATGGTGATGAAATATAACCCAGCAATTAATTAATTTAGCTTTTTTAAATCTGTCCAATGATAGTGTAGTGATTAAAATGAATTAGAATATTGCAGTTGGATTAAAAAAAAAAGATCAATATAAAATTAGGGGAAAAGCTTGCATTGTGAATTTTAAGAAAATAGGATAGCAACAATTTTGTAACATGTTATCAGTTTGCTTTACGGGGAGTGAATTTTATTGCAGATTTAATTGTAAAATCTCAGTAGAGAATTGATCAGGTTATTGAAATTGATATATAATACAGTTTAATGGAGGAAAGGAGTACCGATACACGTACAGCTATTGAGAAGTAGGTGTGATTTTGAGCAGTAATTCCAATTTTTAAACATTCTACAGAAGAAGTATTAAGGTAAAGGTTTGTAATTGGATTTCATTGTACATGTAAAATGAAGTCAGGATTGTGTGCGATATGAAGTATTTCAAGCGTAGCCATCATTAATTATGTTCCCCAAACGAAGTTGGGGAACATATTGTTTTTACTCTGTTTCTTATTATTATTATTATTATTATTCCTGGGAAAATTTTGTCCACGAGTGATCTTGTAAACTACACATCCGACTAAGGTAAAATGTTTTTAGGGTCAGTAGACATGTTATGTAGATTTGCCGAACGAAGGTCATTTTGCGCGCACGTGCTTGCAAGAGCGCGCACGTGCAACACGTAAAATGACCAATATAATGGATATTGCTGTAACTTTTCATTTTTTTGATGATTTTTTTTGAAACTCATAATATAAGGATACATTAGTAGTATAGACAAGATGGCATGGTCAAAATAGCAAGAACTCACGCGCATGCACGTGCGCTTCGCTCTGATTGGCTGAAACTAAAGTCTCAATATCTTTCTTGTTTCTTGTCATAATCCTTTGAAATTTTGAACATAGTCGTACATTATGAAGATCTACAGCATGATATATAAAAATTTTCATGAAAGCATGCGCATGCGTGCGTGCTGCAATGTGATTGGCTGAAACTTTAAATAGCTATATCTCCTTTGTTTTTTGACGAAATGCTTTGAAATTTAAAACATAGTCATGCATTAGGATATCCTAAAATATGATTTAGAGAAAAATCATGAAATCACGCGCATGTACGTGTGCTGCAATCTGATTGGCTGAAACTTTATATGGCTATATCTCCTTTGTTTTTTGACAAAATGTTTCGAATTTTGAAATATAGTCATTCATTTAGATATCCTTCAATACGATTAAGATAAAAATTTATGAAATCACGCGCATGCATGTGTGCTGTAATCTGATTGGCTGAAACTTCAAACGGCTACAACTCCCTTGTTTTTCAACCAAACAGGATTGGATTTAGAACATAGATAAATATAAGGGACTCCTACAAGAAGGTGTAGTCATTATGCATGTGCTTGCGCGTGCGTGCACGTGAAATGAGTAAAATTATAAATACACTCGCATGAGTGTATTTTTTTTTATACTTTTGGATCAAATGCTTTGATATTAAGTATATTAAAATTTGAGATAGTGTAGACAAGATAATATGGTCGTTACACACATGAACACGCGTGCAATGCCTATTTTGAAATATATTTTGTATTTTTCTGGGAAGACCTTGATCAAGTCTAAATTCCATAAAGTATTTCGTATCTTATAGAGATTACAGGGAATATGGCACCAAAAGGGAGTTGGGGAGCGTTTGGGGAACATCTGTAACGGTCCCCGTTACAATTAGCACTAGTTTATACTGAACTCAGACATATGTCTGTATTCAACTACTCATAGGAGATCGATTGAAGGAATCATACTGATTGAGCTGTAATTGACAGTGATGAAGAGAGATGTAATTTTGACCTTCCAGTTGAGGTTATTAGGGTCATTTGTGTATTTCTGACCGGTCTTTCATCATCAGTTACATGTCCAGAGTTTTAAGTGACCTGTGATTCAGTTGGTCAAACATTTCCTATGTGACATTAGAAATGTAATAATTACATACCGATTACATCAGAGGGCTTCTCGCTTGAACTTTAAACAAATACATTTCTCTGTAAGATTTGAGTGTGATTCAAAGTTTGCAGGAAGAATTTTAACTTTGAAGGACTTGATGACCGTGTTAAAAATGATTAATTCTTTCAATGCTTTGATAATAGATTTAAACAATATTGACATAATGAAGTAGGGTCTTATTCAGACTTTTTAGTGGACTAAGGTTTTTTTTTAAAAATCTCTCTCTCTCTCTCTCTCTCTCTCTCTCTCTCAAGATGCATCTCGATCTGTAGGCAGAAATGCATGTTGTACACATCAAAATAATGTTGCAGTGATAAGATTAAGAGTACATGGTCTCTCAGAGATGGAGATTAGATCCACAGTGTAAAGATATTTGTAAAGGAAGTCTTAATTACCATCTACCATGGCACTGAATCTACATATAATCGTGATAAGAACCCTCTTAATGTGGGTGTTTAGATGTAGTCGTTATTGTCAAAATGAAGTGATGAATGGATACTTTACTTGAATATCCTCAAGCTGAGACAGTACTGAAGGAATTCTAGTATGAAACATTTCTGAAATCTTTATGGTCAAGGGCCCCCGTCAGATTTTGCAGAAGTACACCAGTTTTCTTTATTAATCATGTTTATGGTAGAACAAATGTTTCTTGTTTTTTAATTTGTCAGAAAAGATGCATGTTCCATTTAGTGTTATCGAAATTTCTTTGAGATGGAAAACAAAAACAATAGTTTTCTAGAGAAATTAAGTAGTTTTCCAATAAAATTTTCGGTATTATATTCCAACAGTGGATTGTAGCAAAGTGAAAAACCTGGTGGGGTAAAAAATTCTAGGGAAATAGGTGAAGGATTCAGATCACCATCCATAACGTTTGTAAGTGTCAGATTTATTGCACAATGTTTTTGAGGATAATTCTTTTTGACAACATTTACATTTACTGTCATTGAAGTGTGATCTTTAAATTATTTGCACACTCCTGAAAATAGTTTGTCAAAAAATAGGAAGGTATAATTCAAGAGTTTGATCAGTTCAGTCTGTCTTCTAAGGCATAGAAACTTGGATATTTATCTTATGCAGGGATATTTCATCAGACCATTGAGAATTTGTCCTTATCTTAGATGCCGAAATACCTATGTATTAAATAAAAACATCTCCATAGTTCTAAATAATAGCTGTTTACCTGAGTAAAAAACGTTATGACAGGTACGCTAATTTATAACAGCTGATTCCGATAGTGAAAATGACACTGTAGGATTTTGATATGTCAAGATTGTAGCACTCACAGAAAACACATCTGAACCGTATAGTGGTTTATTTGAAACTCAACAAGTATATAACATAACGTTATAGTAACGTCTATGACGTCATAGTACTGTGACGTCATAGTTCGGCAAAAGTCACTTACATAAACATGATTATATTGACAAAGGTAAATAAGAAAAGCACTTATGTCTATAATTCACAACATTCTCCGGCCCACCAAAGTGTCCATATTTCACAACATTCTCCGGCCCACCAAAGTACGAATTGAGTAAGTCCTTGGACCAAGAAATAAAAGGAAATTTGAATGAAAGATGAATAAAAATCCTCGAAAAGTTACTCGCAATGTCACTTGAAATGTAACGCTCCTCCGTTAGATTTAAGTTTGGATTTCCTCTATGTCTTTGAGTTTGGTACCATCACGTATATGAACAAAGTCTCACAAGAAATCGTCTTTCTCTTTACTCTAATGTCCGAAGTACTCCTTGATGAATGCATTCTCTTTGGCTTGAATTTGCTCCTTATGCTGATCAATATGATGATCCATAATCTTCACCTTCCTCTTCATCTCTGCGATCTCATCCCGTGAGTCGATGAGGTTCTGACTGTATGTCCTCTCGACATCTCTGAAAGTTTTGAATGTTTTCTCCTGTTGCCTGATATTGGTGTCATCCTTGGAAATCCTCTTGAAGTCAACAATCTGCATGCCATGAACTTTGTTATAGTCTGCGTAATTCTGAGTTGGATTGCTGGCCTCTTTGGTGTAGCGGATTCGTTCCTTTTCCAGTTGGTTGATGATGTTTATCTTTTCCTGGGTCTCCTCTCTGTACCTCTGTTCTAGGTTATTCTTATGAACGTTATCTAGTTTCTTGGATATCTCTGATTCCATCTTCAAACCAGTAATTTGATCTCTTGGAGTTTCTCTCTGCTGTTGTACATCTGAATGAATATTTCCGCCCACTTGCTGAAGTTTCCTACCAGGTGTCTCTCTTGATGATTTGAGTCGTTGTATCCCCTGTGTGAGCGTATTAACTTCAACTTCTTTTTTCTTCAACTCTTCAGCTTGATTCTCATTTGTCATTTGCTTTGTAGCAATTGACTGTGCATGAAATTTGGCCTGAAGCTTTGCAAACTGGGTATGTAAAATGTTTACATCCTTCATGGTTTTCTCAGTCAAAATCCTCTGTGCTGTTATCTGCTGTTCTAATGTAGCAATGACACTTTTATAGTTCTTGATTTCATCCTGTAGATTCTTGATTTCCCTGGTCTTTGCATCCAGTTCAGCCTTTGCTTGTGATCCATGGGTATTCCTCGTATTGGTTTTGACTGCATTATGAGCAGTGCACAAACTTGTGTGATGACGTTTTTTGCAGATTTTGCAATTGGATTTGGATTGACAGTCTGTAACACGATGTCTCCCTAAACAATTAAAGCACAGTTTGTCTCGTCTGACAATTTTCATCCGGTCATTGTGTTTTGTGTATCTTGTACAGCTACTTGTATGATGTGACTCCCTGCAAAATGCACAACATACTCGATGATTCCGAGGACTGTAGTTCCGTTGTGATTGCTCATCACTGGATTCTGAGTGCATGTAGAAAATAGCTGTAACACGGTCTTCTGTTGTGTCCATATGAGTTCCTGCTTCTAGTATGTCAAGTTCCTTGTATAGAGCCTTTCTCAAGTCACCTAGTAACCAGTCGGTAGATCCATGCTCGCGTGCCAAATTTTTGCGTAATTCACAAGGTAATTTGTTAAGAATCACAGGTACTAGAAGCGAACCATATGTATCTTCAGCTTGTCCGTAGGATTCTAAACCTCTGACATATGTCTCCACTTGGTCATGAAAATGACGCAGGCTTGTGAGATTATTCTTGGGAGTGGGTAGGTCCAAGAGTGCTTGCATGTAAGACTGAGTTATCTTATGTTTTTGCCCAAACCTTTCATGTAGAAGCTCAATTGCTCTGTTGTAGTTTGCATGTGTGAGTGCAAATCCTGAAATGGTATTCGATGCCTCGTCTGCTACTAAAGACTTTAAGTAATTAAACTTTTGAACTTCTGTCAACGTGTTGTTGCTATGAATAGCCGAATCGAACGAATCCCAGAATGACTGCCACTCCAACACATTTCCCTCAAAAATGGGTAAGTTTAATTTTGGTAGTTTGTGAAAGTTACCACTGTTTGGATTTGAATGAAAGCTTGTAAGGGACTGAGGAGTTCTTGAATTTTCACTCAAATTGTTTCTTGATTGACTGTTTTCTTCAATTTGTGAATTGTCATTCTGGTTTGAATAAATGTTGGCTGATGGATTCAAATTTGAACGATGAACTATCAGATGTTTCTTAAATTTTCTCATTTTAGAATTAAGATTGAAATTATACTCATCTGAATCAAGTATTTCTCTCTCAATATCCTCCTCTGCTGTTTCTGTTAGAATTTTCTCATCCAGATCTCTAAGAATTTCCTGTTTGTCCCTTAATGTCTCCAAAATTGCCTCAATTTCCTCTGCATCTTCATTTTCTTCATCCAGTCTTTTTAGAAGTCTGGTTACAGCACTTCTCTGTCCTGCTCTTACTGCCTTCAGCTTAGAAGTCATCTCTCCTCATCCTGGTCACGGCACCAATGTCAAGATTGTAGCACTCACAGAAAACACATCTGAACCGTATAGTGGTTTATTTGAAACTCAACAAGTATATAACATAACGTTATAGTAACGTCTATGACGTCATAGTACTGTGACGTCATAGTTCGGCAAAAGTCACTTACATAAACATGATTATATTGACAAAGGTAAATAAGAAAAGCACTTATGTTTATAATTCACAACATGATATCATGCTGGGTAAATATAATAAGGCAAAATAAATTGACAGTCTAATCTTGAAGTAGAAAAAACTTCATCTGTGTATAGCAGATCGGGTTTTATGACATTTATGAGTTGGTTAAATCCTGATTGACATGCAAGAAAAATGCAACTAAATTTCAACATGAGGCTGAAATTTAATGTAGTAAATAGCATAAAAAGATAGCATGCTTTTCAAAAATTTATGTATATTTGTTTTAATCACTAGGTGTATAAAGGTAATTAAGGGTTAATATGAAAGCTTTTGTTAGTTGAAATACTTCCTATTTTAACTTTGTGGACTATGACACAGGAAGAAAGGGCTCGGTTTGAGAATAAAGGGAAATTCAGAGTGAATATTCAATATGAAAAAGGATAAAGATCAGTTACAGTATATTTTAAAATAGGCAGTGTCAGTAACTGCTAGTAAAATGTAGAATTATAATTTAAGGAGAAAATGATAACAGGTGAAATAAGTTTGTTTTCGGCTACCTGTGTTTCAAAAGGGAAGAAAGTTTTTACGAGATTTAAACAACACTTAATATCACCATGATCATACGTACATAATTTAAATAGCACTGCAGGTTTAATTGATTTACATGTAGTACATATATCATAAAACTAATTTTCAGAAAAAATGTCATAAATTATTGTGAAGTGCAATCAATGGGACTCTCGTATTTGCCAACATTATCATTTTAGGGAAGTTTTTATAAATAAAGTTCAAATAGTTGAATACACAGCTCACATGACTGATTTATTGTAGTACTGTAGCAGTTTGTTTCTGTTTGTATGAAGTTCTTAAACTTGTGTACGGATATATGCAAGGTTTTGTGGTGGCTAGCTGCTGAGTCACAAGGTTTATATATGTACTATATTATAACAAGTACTTTGTTCATGTTGGAAGATATAACACATTACAACCCACACTGACTCTCGGTGTTAAATGTACTCGCTAGAACAAGGGATATTATGTGAAGCGCATGCTGAATTTCTGAGTAATAATTTCAAATTATGATGGACTTACGTTTTTCTGAATTTGTGAAGCATTTGTTTAAGTGGGGATAATCTCGCCCGTGCTGGTACTTGTATATATTTGAAAGATTGTTGAGGTTTTCCTTAGTGTTTCTAAGGATTATAAACATGATGGAGTGCGACCATGTTGTGATTTATAACTGTCAACATTTTGTGTCTGTAGGAAACTCGGTGGATGAGGCCCAGGGATACGTTTTCTACCATGAGAAGATGAAGAGGCAGGAACGGACCTCCACACCCATCAAGGCGGTGACGGCCTTCCACATGAAGGAGTCGAAGTCGGAAAATTCCAGTCTCAGTTCCCATCAGAAAGGAACGCTGGTGCCTAAACCTGCGGCTTCACCTTTGGGAAAGACTTACCTGAGCAAAAGCCATGAAAATCTGTCCAGTCATCAGAAAAAGAAGTTGGCCACCCTAGCTGATCCTCCACATCGGCCCAAGTCTAGTTTAGGAATTACAAAGGGAGGCTCAAGCAATAAGGAAAACTTGGTGACGAAAGGAAAAGACAATGTTTTCCTGAAACCAAAACCAGTGAAATCTGGAGGGATGTCAACAATTCGGAAAGCTTCCAGCACGCAACAGTTGGACAAGACAGGGGCATTGACGCCAAGAAGCACAAGTGCGAAAAGTTCGGCCATGAAACGGGCACATAGTTCTCACAATGTGAGTAAGGATAAGTCTTCTAGAAAAAGAACGTCTGCTCCTGCAGACGTCATGGCTTACAATGCCGAATTATTGGCTAACTTTGAGAAAGACAAGAAAGAAAAAGAATCGCGAATTTCAGAATTGATACAAGTTGCAGAAAATAGGAAAGCTGAAATAGAGAAATACAGGTATGAAACCAAACGTCTGAAGGAGCAAATACCGACACATGATATCAAAGATGAACTTGAATTCCTAAGGAAAGAGAATATACTTCTGCGGGAACAGTTACAAGAATTAGGTTATCCAGTGGAACAAATCACAGACACTGAAAAACTGTCCATTTTACAAGAAAAGAATGCCAAGAAAAACATGGAATCGAGTGAAAGTAGCTTTCCAAAAAGTAAGAGCTGTGATAGTCTGGACACAGATGAAGCCCGAGGGGGGCGATCCATCAGTTGTAAGGGGGAGGGGACCGACAGACCGGCTTCCACGGCAGCCTCCGAACCCATTCTGTCCCTGGCGGACCAGGAGTTCTCTCTGGAAAACAGCCAATGGGAAAAGGGAAGCAACAAGAGCAGTGACGCTCTAAGTGAGATTTCCGTAGCATGTCTAACAGAGCGCATTCTGCAGATGGAAGAGACTCATTACAGTACAAACGAGGAACTACAGGCAACCTTGCAGGAGCTGGGAGATCTTCAGCAAAGTGTTAATGAACTGAATGCAGAAAATGAAAAACTTCTTGACCAAAAGTATGTGCTTTTAGAATCCTTGTGTACTCAAACCGAAAAATTGGAACACTGTCGAGTACAGATTGAACAGTTGAAATCTCTTCTTATCAGTGGGAATTTTCCGGAGCGATCAGAAAGGGAGCAACAATTGCTGGAACTGTTAAAGGGTGCTCAGGATGAACGAGAGGAATTCTTATGTAAGCAGACAGAGCTTGTGAACATTTTGAATGCTAGGGAGAACGAGTGTAGGGAGTTGGGTGAGTTGTGCGATACAAATAAAGACAAGTTGCAATTAATGGAAGATAAATTGAACTCGCTAAAGTCGGAGAAAGAAATCTGTGAGAAAACTATATCTGATCAAAAGAAAACCATTGACAATGAAAAAATCGAAATGGACCATTTGAAAACCTTGTTAGAAAATGAAAAATCAAAAGTGCAGGAATTGGAGCAATATTGCAAAGCAGCAGACAGTCATTCTGAATTGGAGGAACTTCTTCACAACACAAGGCAGGAGAAAGACAAGTTGGAGAGCAAGTTAGCAGACATGAAGGAGAGCCTCCAGCATGCTCAGTGTGAGCTGGGTAGAGGGAAGGAATCGCTCACTGCCAAGGAAGAGGAACTGAAAGTGTGCAAGAACAATGCCAAGACTGAAATCCAGGATCTGAAGTACCAGCTGGAAAAACTAGAGAAAGGCAAAACGGACAGCTCGTCAGAGCTCAGCAATATACGTGAGCACATAGAGCAGCTCAAGCACGACTGCAATAAATATAAGGAGGAGAAGAACGAGTTACTGACTCAGTTGAGCGAGGCTAAGGAGAAGAATCACTCCCTACAGCAGGAGAAGGCCACGCTGGAGGTGGAGATCATGGAGCTGAAGAGTCGTCATACTGAAGAGTCAGAGGAGTGGACGCAGTTCCAGAGAGATCTACAGGTGAGGAGATTTTGTATGTGATAATGAAGAACAGATAATGCTTTTACCATTAGTTGAAAAAGCTTGTAAATCTTTTAAATTATCTTTTGGAACTTTTAATTGGCTTCAAAGGTTAACTGGCAGTTTCCCCTCTTCCAAGAGGTAGGGTAGGGCAATAATATGTGTGCAAAGTTTTACAATAAGAATTGTGAGGTTGAGTGTGATTGATTTGATTTTATCTTAACTTGAACTGTATTTGCAGGTGGCAGTTCTAGTGGCGAATAACTTCAGAGCAGAAACACAGGAAGACATGGAAAAGGTTCAGCAGGAAAATTCTACATACAGAGAAAAATGTCGCGTGCTGACGGACGAAAACAAAAAGTTACTGGAAGAAGTTGACAGGCTGAAACTCCACAGAAGTACAGACGGAACTCCGAAATCCATATTATCCTCTGCAGAACTCAAGGGCAAGATGTTAAATTCAGTAGGAAGGGAGTTAGCTAACTTGAGAGACAAACGCACTGACCCTAAGACACAAAGCCAATCAGTGAAATCCTTAATACGCTCCATAGAGGAACAAGTTAAAAGTGGTTGCTCCTCAATTCATTCCAGTACATGCAATTCCAGGAGAAATTCTGACTGTTCCATGGATGAAACTGTGCAGGGCATCCCCTGTCTGCATAACATTGTGAAATCCCCAAGTTCCCCCATCTCCGAAAATCCATCCGTGTTTTCCTCCTCAGCTTCCCCCGAGGTGGCCCTGCGGTCAGTGCTGAGGAAACAGGTGGAGAAACCCTCACCCCTCAGACATTCAGTGGGGTCTCTGAGTTTTGACCCGCCCCGATCTCCGATAGATTCCTCCCCGAAATCTGCACCCCCTGTTGTTAAGAATGATTCTTCTCCTTCCCTGACCTCCATATTGTCCAGGAATTCACAAAGGAGGAGCAGTGGTGTAAGGTAGGGGGTTAAAAATGTAAAATGACTGTCTTTTTAATAAAGTATAGAATTTGTATTCTCAATTTTTTTTCTTCTGATTAATAACATTTTTCATTCAGATTTTTAAAAATCTGATGATGAGAATAGCATTTTGATTTAGTACTTGCAAATCATTTGAAATCCTAATACATGTATTGGAACCTAGCAATGTGCAAACAAATATATCCTTGTTTCTTTGTTATTTCCATAAATGTTTTGTTCAGCATTTGTTCAGTAAGAAAAAAAAATGTTATTGAATCTTGTTTAACATTTTCTAATTTCCTTTTTCCCAGTATGGAACCTGAGAGAAAGGATTCAGGCACAAAGGATCCTTTGGCTGTCTTAGCAAAACAGATGGGCGGATCTAAACGCAATGCCCTGCTGAAGTGGTGTCAGCAGAAGACTGTCAAATACAGTGTAAGTTTAGAAGTGCAGGAAATTGCAGAAGTTTTTTGTTTTATAGTAATATGCCCTCACAATAAATATAAGGTTCATTGAAGCTTAATTATATGATAATTTTCATAATTTTCCTCTTTTTTTTGTGACAGAATGTAGACATTACCAACTTTAGTAGCAGCTGGAATGACGGTCTGGCTTTTTGTGCACTTCTCCACAGCTACCTGCCAGACAAAATTCCATTTGCAGAGCTGAACACTGAGGACAAGGTATTTAAACTTATTGACATTTTTTGTAAACTGTATCTCCACTGAAATATTTAATCTAGATAAGGATTCAGTCCTTGCTTGAGTCTGGAGTGAAAAATGAAAATGTTTAAACTTGTGTCTGATGCATAACCTTCTAATAGATGAACATGTTAGGTTTATATGTACTTCACTTTAAAATTTTTGACTCAAGGTTTTCTTTTCTGAAAGATCAAGGTCAGTTTCAGTGATTGTAGGTGAAAAAAGTGTAAAAGTTAAACAAGGTCATAACTAGGAGTTGTTCAGTTTCCAGAGCTTGATTACAGTTTCTCTTCAAAATTTATTTTGGAGAACTGGAATTCTAAAATCATATAAATATAGTACTGTATATATTTATTTACTTTCCAGAGAAGGAACTTTACCCTTGCCTTTGAGGCTGCAGAGGGAGTTGGTATCTCCTCATCTATATTGGTATGTTGTAAAAAGTTTTAATGAGGCTCGGGTATCTTAGATGAAACTCACAATATCATAACATTAACACATGATACAGCTCTGCATCTGATATAACACTGTAATGCTGAAATAAATCTGTATGATTCTGAACAATCAATTGTGAAACTTTGATTATTAAATATGATAAAACATTAAAAGGTGACTTGGTATCATCTGTGGTGGATATTTATGATAAATACATTTGTGTACGTTTTCTTTCATATTGACTCTTTTACAGAACATTGGAGACATGGTAGCCATGGAGCGTCCTGACTGGCAGGCCGTTATGGCTTACGTGACCTCCATCTACAAACACTTCGAACACGACGCAAAAACATCAGAAAACACGTAGGACTGGGTCATAATGTCAGAATATGCTTGTAACACAGACATAACACCAGAACTCACACAAAATGAGGATCTCGACATGCTATATAGATAGGAATCCACAAAGGACTTTAACAAAAGAGTGTTGTTTTAAAACTGTTGTAAAATCCATTCTGTGTGCTTTATTGTTAAAACTGCGAATATTTATTTTATAATTCACTAAAATGTCAGACTTCTGGTTTACCTTTATCTTTTTCTTAACTCTTTTTTTTCTGAACTCATTCCACATTTTTACCTTTCCACAGTGATCATTCTTGAGATTTATACTTGCATAATATTGTTTCTTCTTATTTTACTGGGACCAATCTTGTGACTGGATTTAATTGTTAAGTTGTTTTTTTTTTTCTTAACTGTCTCAAGTATTTGTTGAGATTGAACAACCAGCTGAAATTTCTTTTTGTTAAGTTTATTCCTTTTTCATAACATGTATGCTCATTTCCTACTCAATTACTGCCTGAGCCTTGCTTTAGGATTTAGATACTGTAGTTATCTTCAAATGTGTTTGAAGATATGAAGTATTTTACCCCTGTGATTTAATGTTGTCTTCCATTTAATGTATTTTTTGAAAAACTGCAAATTTTATGAAGTGTGAGATTTGTAATTATTTCCTGCTCCGTATAATCGCTTTTCCTGCGGAAAGGAAGAATATGTAGCAAAGCGGAAAGAAAGAATATGAAGGAAAGCGAGAAATAGAATAAAACAAAACTTTCTTAACATTGTACATGTATTTTTTGAGGAAGCATTCAACTCTTTAAACACATACAGATTAAGTTACTAGTTTGAAATGAGGATACAAGTTTAGATTCATTACAGATCTTGTGTGGGGGTTAAGTTACTAGTTTGAAATTAGGATATAAATTTAGATTTATTACAGATCTGGGGGAGGGGAGGGGGTGGAGTGGGGTTCTGGGGGTGGTTATGATAAAAGTTGGGTTAATGTTTCAAAGATATATGATACAAATGATACTCTACAGTACATGTACTATATATGTATGTGTACAATAATTAAGCTAATTAATTCCATCCAGTGTGCCACGTAAAGGCTGAATGTTGTGCTTTAATGAGGAAATGAATGCTTTTTTGAGAAGGAGAAGCATTTGCTTTTGATGTTGTTTATTTTTTGACATTTAAAACATGTATGAAACATGAATGTTAAATTATGTAGTACATTTATTTACAAATGCAGCTCAAGATAGCAAACTCTGTTAAAAGAGAGATATCCTGAACTTATTAAGTACATTATAAAATGTTTAGATATAACTTTTAAATATACAGTGGAGCCTCATTTATTTGGACGCTTTGGTTCCTAGTCAATTTGTCCGGATATGTGAAGTAGTCCGCATACCTGAATCACCCGTAAAACAAGACAAATGACGTTAAAAAATTCCGTTCCGATGAAAAATCATCCAGATACTGAAGCATCTGGATATCTGGCGTCCAGATATCTGAAGGTCCACTGTACATGTATGAGAAATTAAGAGATGTTGAGCTTTAAATATGAAAACATAGTTGAGGCTTCCAATTTACTTTGGCATGTCAATAATATTTTAGGTATGTAAGTATTAAGAGAAATTGAACTAAACTGTATAACACTGATAATATTTCATGTATGACAGTTTGATATGGACAATCTTGATGTAGTCTGATAGCTCATGATATACTGTGCTTAAAAAAATGTGTAGTCTGTTTAGTTTGTAAAGCGATTGTCAGGAAGTTATAAAAATATTAAGGGTGTTGAAAGTGTAATATATTAACAGTGTCGCTAAAAAACCGAGAAGTTCAGTCGGACTTTAAAATTCATGACTTCCAAAACACAGTGGTTACATTTGTGTCAAAGTAAGGAATTTTTTTTTTCCAAAGCAAATTTGTTCATGTGTGCTGCTATAAGAAAAGGTTATAAACAGTTTGTACTTAACCTAGGCATTGTAAAGGAAGATAATTTGAGATTTTTTTCCCAGATGCAGGACTAAGTTGTGTGTTTGTTTGTTGTTTTTTTTTTTGTTCAATAGTCAAAGTTCAGTTTAATTTGATCACACATATTGAATGACAAATGGCTAACAATGGTGCCCATATTAATTTATGATATATTACCAGGTAATTTAATATTTTGTTCATAGGAAAGCTTCCATTAGCAATCACTTCATATTTAGTCCCAGTCTATTAGTTGTAAATCTCAAAACATGTATATTCAGTATTACCCGTTTTATTATTTACAAGTATTATTGAAAACAAGTAGAATTTTAAAGGACTACTACTTCAATATTTGTAGAAATGTAAATACTGACCTGTTGAAATCCAGGTTTCGAGTGTAAATGTGGCATCTTCTGCAGATTGTCAATTTGCTAATCCAAAAAAAAAAAGATTTTGTAACGTTTATAGCACCAAGTTGATCAGTATTAATCTTTAATATACTGGCTTTAATAGCTCATACAATCAATATATATACTCTTCTAGATGTGTCGGTGAGTGTCAAGGACCAAAACTGCAAGGTGGTTTGTACTAAAGTCAACTGTATCCAACTTTAATGTTTGATTTTCTTTTTATAACATTTTGGTATCAGTGACATTGGTTGTAATTTTTTTTGGTTTGTTTGGTTACTCACCTCAGTTATTATTTTTTTTTTAACTTGAGTACAGCAATGTAATTAGTTTTAGATGTAAATGTATCAATTATTCGAAGTGAATTTTTAAATATTGTCTGTGTATTCGATGTTGCTTTGTAGGTTGAATATGGGCACTGTATGGCTAATGAAAATTAAATGGTCAAATTGCAGTTGTGAAAGGTGTATTCAAGAAATACCTTTTTTCCCCCTTTTTTACTGAAACATTCTAAGTGGTGCAGTATTGTGGTTCATTTACTTGTACATGCATGTACATACGCAAAGTTCTTTGATCTCATTGATTTTTTTTTATATACACGTGTTGATAGAAATTTCTTGATAAGAATTTTAAAATGAAAACAAAAAATATGTAAATATTTAAAATGTGCCCAAATATAGGGCTTAGGACCTTGATTAACCAAGGAATTTTAATCAAAAATGTTTGTTAAAATGAGAACAATTTAAGACATTTTTTAAACAATCTAAATACATTTTTTATTGTTGAACAAAAAAAATACTTAGTTCAATTTAAGCAATGTTTAATATTTGTGGATCAATTATGATTATTAAAACATCAGTCATACATGTTGATATGATGAAATGGTCACAGAGTGGTTAATTACCTTCCTTGTAAAAATGCTTTCATTTTTGAAAGTAAAGAGGGGTATTGCATGATGCAGTGTTAATAAGCAACTTCTGTTTATATGGAGTCTAGTCAGTGTAAACAATATGTAATTTGTTTGGCATAATTTGCTAATAAATAATCATGTTTTATGAGTTTTTGTCTTCACTCAGAAACTTCTGTGTTGGTGAAAGATGTATAATAAAAGGTCTTTTACAGGGCTACCACTAGATTTAATATTATGGCACTACATGTAAATTTGAAGCCACAAGAGACATCAAATTCCTCAAAGACATTCAGAGATTATTTCCTTAAGAGGCAGACTTAGATGTTATCCAATGCTTAGTAACAAGCTCATGTTAAAATTAATTGTGTCCTATCTACATGAGATATCATACATATGTGCACAAACCCACATCTCCTTGTAAGTTATAAACTAACAAATGTGATTCTGATCCCTTTAATGAAAACATTAAGTAAAGCTAATTAAATAACAGAAAATAAATGGCACAAAAAGCAACTTTCAACAACAAAATTATTGCTTCACAGCTGTGAATATATATACATGTACTAATGTGCAAGCCCTCCTTATCAGAAGTAAGCTGAGCATGGTTGTTTTTTATTCCTGATTGTTATTTTCAATCCTGGTTGTTACTCATTCCAAGTTCTTGATGAGATTGGTCATCTCCTGGTCTGATACTTGTTGAGATTTACATAAGTTCATGGCCTCTGCAAGTTTTATTGCTAGCACATGTTTACACTGAAGAAAGAAAAAAAAAATTCTTAAATCAAAATACCCTCAACATGTGTATGTTTTAATTCTAAATAAGATGATATCAAAATAATGTTATTAAAGCCATACTAACCATTATATGATCATCTTTAAGTAAAACTGGAAAAAAAAAAATATCCTCACATATATACAAATTTTCAAAAAGTGGCTATCTGCACTCATTTTTTCAGATATGAAGATTTAAAATAGCCATTCAAGGTTTTTTTTTCTATATTTTGCAATTGCATGTTTTGATTTTATCATGATTTTATGTATATGCTGAAAAAGACTGAATTTCCCTTCAAAGGAATGAATTTTTAGGTCTCATGAGTAAACTCAGGTGACCTATTGCTATCTGTTTTTGTCCGTCGTAGTGCGTTGTCCGTTAACATTTGAACATTTTCAGCTTCTTCTCTGCAACCACTGAACCAATTTCAACCAAATTTGGCACAGAGCATCTATGGGTGAAGGGAAACAAAAATTGTGAATTTCATGGTCCCTGCCCCCCCCCCCCCCCCCCCCGGGGGGTGGGGCAAAAACCACTAAAATTAATGCAATCTTTAAAAATCTTCTTCATTACTTCTGGACATCAAGCAGTCAAACTGTTTGCATGATTGTAATCAGCATTGAGTCCTCTACCAAAATAGTGAAATTCATGGCCCTTGGGTCAGGGGTTCTATTGCTAGGGTGGGGTTAAATAAGTATATAGTGAAAATGCATTATTTCTTTGAAAATCTTCTTCTCTGCTCCTGGGTATTAAATAAACTAACTAAGTGCATAGTTATGATGAGCAAGAGTGCCTCTACCAAAATTGTGAATTTTATGGCCCCAGGGTCAGGGATTCTGGTGTTAAGGCGGGGCTCTATAGATTATATAGTGAAAATTCATGAATTCTTTGAAAATCTTCTTCTCTGCTCCTGGGTATGAAATAAACTAACCAAGTGCATAGTTATGATGAGCAAGAGTGCCTCTACCAAAATTGTGAATTTTATGGCCTTAGGGTCAGGGGTTCTGATGTTAGGGCGGGGCTCTATTGATTATACAGTGAAAATACATGAATTTTATGAAAATCTTCTTCTCTGATCCTAGGTATTAAATAAACTAACTAAGTGCATAGTTATGATGAGCAAGAGTACCTCTACCAAAATTGTGAATTTTATGGCCCCAGGGTCAGGGGTTCTGGTATTAGGGTGGGGCTCTGTAGATTATATAGTGAAAATACATGAATTCTTTGAAAATCTTCTTCTCTGCTCCTGGGTATTAAATAAACTAACTAAGTGCATAGTTATGATGTGCAAGAGTGCCTCTACCAAAATTGTGAATTTAATGGCCCCAGGGTCAGGGTTCTGGTGTTAGGGCAGGGCTCCACTGATTATAAAATGAAAATACATGACTTCTTTAAAAAAATTTCTTTTCTGCTCCTAGGAATTAAATAAACTAAGTACATAGTTATGATGAGCAAGAATACCTCTTCCAAAATTTTGATTTTATGGCCCTAGGGTCAGGGGTTCTAGTGATAGGACGGGGCTCTATTGATTATATAGTGAAAATACATTAAAGCTTTGAAAATTTTCTTCTCTGCTCTTGGGTATTAACCAGATGAACTACCTATGTAGTTATGATGAGAAAGGACCCTAATCTTCCAGAATTGTGAATTTCAAGGCCCCAGGGTCAAGGGTACCATAGGGGGAGGGGGGGTGTACTGATATACTGAAACTGGATGAATTGTTTCAGATCTGCTCCTTGGTATTAATCAAATATTTTTGAAAAGCAAGGGTGCCTTTTCAAAAATTGTGCAATGTGTGGATCTATGCCTAAGGGTCAGGGGTTCATGTGTGATAGGGGCATTACTGATTATTGCTGAATATTACTGATTACTTGAAATGCATGTTTTGTTCCCCCACCCTGCCTATGGGTATGAAGTAAACAAACTGAGCAACTGCTAAGCGTTTGTTATGATGATCAATGGTGCCTCTTTCAAAATTGTGAACGCCATAGCATCTGGCTTAAAACATGAATCAAATTAAATCACTGGAAAGTTGTTGCATAATGCTCAGGTGACATATAAGGCCCATGGGCCTCTTGTTAAAACACATTTTTTCTGTACACTCTGGTTACTTGAATCAGTTCCTTAAGTTATTTGAATTGGCATTTTGAGTTACTTGACACTGAACTTGAGTTCCTTGACTCAGCACTTGAGTTAATTGAATTAGTACTTAAGTTACTTGAATCAGTACCTGAGTTACTTGACCCAGTACCTGAATTTCTTGAATTAGTACTTGAGTTACTTGAATTAGTACCAGAGTTACTTGAATCAGTGCTTGAGTTTCTTGACTCAGTACTTGAGTAACTTGAATCAGTCCTTGAGTTATACTTGAATCAGTTACCTGAGCTACTTGAATCAGTACCGTATTACTTGAATCAGTACTTGTGTCACGGATTATCCGCGGGTTTATGTAATGTAACGTTATTGTTAAGTCACACTGTACGTTATGTTTCTATAGTTAATAACAGAGTCTAAAATAAACCACTATACGATCAAGACGCATTTCTGTTCTTTCCACAACAACTTGAGTTACTTGAATCAGTACTTAGTTACTTGAATCAGTACCTGAGTATCTGTAAGCAGGGCAGGAGCAGTAGGTAGTGGACGGCAGGCAGATATAGGGGGTACCTGATGTCCCCAGCACCTAAAAATAAAGTACAGTAATACTGAAGAATACAGATAGTGACCAATACTTGTAACTGATTTTGCTTGACAATTCCGACACATGAAGAGGCTGAGTGTATGCAATTTTTTATGCTAATTTAAGTTATTATTTACCTGATAAACTTTTCGTCCACTTGGACCAGAGATGGTAGTCACATTTCTGTGGTCTATTATATCCAAAGCTGGAAGAAGTGGAGCTTGGAACACAAAATTCAACCTGTGTATTGATTTAGTCAATTTAGTAGAGACTGACATGTTGATTTTTCTCTCTTTTTTCCTATTTTATTTCTAAACAATAACAATTAAAATAAAAATGTTTAGCAAATTAAAACAGTAATAGTTCATCAATATTTTTTTTCTTAAATTCATTACATGTACTCACGCTGACAGAAGTTCATCACTTACTGAAAAGAAAATACTTTTGAATTTATTGAAATTTTTTTTCAAGCTTTTGGAATTGAGATTTTATTGATTACAAATTTTAGCTTAATATTAACATACATTTCCCTGTTTTGCTGTACACAGTATTCACTTCTGATAGGAGTTGCTCTGCCACTTCATTTATTCTTTTTCCTGCTGTATTCATCACATCACCACCTGTAGAAATGGAAAATGTGTCAAAGTTAGAGTTATCTTCCTTGAAATTAATGCACAAGGTCAAGGTTGTTTTCTGCATCTAACGTCTGAAACGCAGCATGTCAGGAGAGTTTGAGAGCGTTGAAAAGTCGCTGGAAAAGCATCTTCCACCGGGAGAATTAGCTGAAGTGAGGCGAATTCTGTATGGAAAGGAGTTAAGGTAAAACCAGGCACACAATTTTTTTATTATGAGCGATCTATGCAAGATTTTTCAAATGCAAGTGTAAATGTACACAGGAAACCTTATCTAGCGTAGATTGCTTGGCACACTTGCAATGGTCTGCTATCATGCATTTATCAGGGACAGGTGAATAAAACTTACAATTAATCCAGAATTTTATCAGCTGCTTTCCACATTCACTTCCATTTTCGACAAAGCGCGTTTTAAACCACGTGATTTAAAAAATATTTACGTCATATTTTGTTGACAAACAGTAACACGTGTTTGTATCATTTTTCAGGGCGCTAGAGTTTTCCTCAGAGGTGAAAAATCTTGCAGACAAGAAGAACTTTGAACTGAAGGGCTATGCATTCACTGCAGCAGAGGAGAGTATGCGTCCACCAAGAATTGTCCGGGTTGGACTGATTCAGAACCAGATTATCTTACCGACCACTGCACCAATCCCACAACAGGTCCATATCATGTCCCAGCAAAGTTATTACAGAGCTGTTTTGAACTGAAACATTGATTTATTTGTAAACTTTCTTCAGTCTTAATCAGGTCTAGGGGTCCTCCATTTTCTAAGATAATTTTTAGCTAACCACAACAAAGTTGACTGGAGGTTGAGTAATAACCTCTGCATTGTGTCCCAGATTAAACTGTTAAAGTTTTTTGGAGGAAACTTCTTTTCAAGTTTTCCATCGCCTTATATTGCATGGATGATGGGTTCAAGTATTTTTCATTGTACCTGCAGTCAAGGTTTCAGATGCTGCAATTTTAGCTAAAAGAATGATCAGGTTAAAGTTTTTGGAGCAGGTTTCATTTTCAAATAATTTCAAGTCTCATATATTGACCAATCTTTTAAGGATGACATTTCTATGGATGCACACTTACAGGCTTGTTTCAGATGCTGAAAGTGACCTAAAATTCTGGATGATTGACCAGGTTTAAAGTTCATTCAAAAGTAACTTGAAGCCCTGTTTGACTAAATTTGCATGGACGATACATCTAAGGATGCACACTACTTGACTCTCTTTGGATGCTGGATCTGACCTAGATTTCCAGATGAGCTACTGTGTTCAAGTTTTTGGAGCAGTTTCTCTCTTAAATGACTATAAGCCCCATGCTATCCAACTTGGCACTGAAGATACATTTATTGATGTACACTACAAGAGTTGCTTTTGATGTCTGAGATACTGGTATGACTAGCTGCAGAACTGTAGCATAATGGTTTTGAATATTAGTCTTTGACCATAACACTGCAGATCCATTTATGCATAATTTTCTGCACGTGTTTTAATAGGGATGTATTTTTTCCACATTTCAGCAATGCGGGTCTAACAACTCTCTTTCACTCCCTAATTCTAGACATAGGTATTTTTTAACTAATCTGTAATTATCCACTTCCTAACTCTCTATAGTTGTATAACTACATGGCAATATACTCACTTGTTTGTTTGTTTGTTTTTTTGTTTTATTAATTTTAGGTCAGATTGCAGAAAATTCAAACAAGTGAGTCTACTTGTAAAACATTTCTTGATACAGTGTGTATTTTCTTATGCAGATTGAGTCCCTCCATAACAGAATTTCTCAGATAATTGAAGTGGCAGCAAAATGTGGGGTCAATGTTATTTGTACTCAGGAAGCATGGAGTATGTCTCTAAATTTGTAGGAATCTTACAAAATGACATTAGATAATTGTAATGAATGTACCGTAATCAAATTGGAAAAGAAAAGCACAGTCTTACAAAGATCTTTTTAAAAAATCTCTATTTATTACCATATAAGTGGAAATTTTAGCGAGAGGCAAATTTAGCAATTTGTCCTTGAAAACTAGTATTTTATTTTCAGCGAGATGTAATTTTAGTGATTTAAAATGCTCTCGTAAGAACCTTATACAAATAAAACACAATCAGTTTTTAGCAATATTCAATTTTAAGGATCTCATAACCCTCGCTAATAATGCCAAAATTAAATCCTCGCTAAAAATTTTGCTTATACGGTAATATACATGTAGTTCTTTTTTGTATGGTAATGTATATACTCTGGTAGTTTTTTTTTTCATGCTAGTCCCATGAACAATAAATTAGTAAAAATTAAGAAAAAAATGTACCAGAACATACATTCTGGCAAGCACATTTAGAAAGTGAAAAAAATATAAATTATATCTGAGACATCAGGTTTTGGTGTTAAATGGACAATTTCAGTCAAGCAAAGTTTTGCATTGCAGCTATACCTTTATATTTTACAGCTATGCCTTTATTATGTTTTACAGCTATGCCTTTATTATGTTTTGCAGCTATGCCTTTTGCATTTTGCACTAGAGAGAAGCATCCTTGGTGTGATTTTGCAGAACCTGCTGAAACTGGAGCCACAGCAAAATTGATGCAAGAGGTTAGTTAGTTACTGATCTTATACCTAATGGAAAGATATTTTTAATTTATTTTGTGACTCTGTCAGATCAAAATCATATAAATTACATGAAGGTCAACAAAATAATTATCACAAATTTTTGAAAGCAAAATTAAGTAAAAGTGTAGGAAACTATCACATCTTGCCTTAGAACCGATGCAAACCTTGCTCATCTCTTTAAATAAGAAACAGAAGAAAATACATGAATGTTTTAAGGACCTTGTCAAATTTTGTTTGTACATATAGTTGGCCAAAAAACACAACATGGTGATTGTATCCTCCATCTTGGAACGGGATGAAGAGCATGGTGATGTTTTAGCCAATACTGCAGGTACTACAATCATTTCAGTCAAAACATGATAGCAAAGATGCTGCAATGCATAATTTTAGTTTTGCAGGAAAGAACTTTAAAAGCAATTCAAATATTGCATGATTTCAGCTTAAGAAGTCAGGGTTATACATTGATATTCACATGCACTATTTTTTGCAGTGGTCATTTCAAACACTGGCAAGTACCTTGGAAAATCTCGGAAAAACCACATACCTCGCGTTGGGGATTTCAATGAGGTTAAAAAATTGTATCAGTTTATTACTCATTTTCTTTTGCTCCTCTTTGTGTAAGTAAAGAATGCTGTTTGAAATCAGTCAAACAAGAACATTACAGCTTATGTGTTATGAAGATCAGCAATATTTTACATTTAATTTCAGTCTACTTATTACATGGAGGGAAATACAGGGCACAAAGTATTTCAAACACAGTTTGGTAAGAAAAATTATTTACTTGGATATATAGAAGTATTCAGAGAGATGAAGCAAAATGAGCTTTTTCCTACAAATGGTTTCATATTCATCACAGGCAGAATAGCCATCAATATCTGTTATGGCCGTCACCATCCCCAGAACTGGATGATGTATGGAGTCAATGGAGCAGAAATTGTCTTCAATCCTTCAGCAACTGTGGGATCTCTCAGGTATTAACTGTAAACAAGTACTTTGCTATGCCCTAACTAACTTATATCAAAAAGTACTTGTAGATTTTATTTCATTTCAGCCCTTTTTATGTCCATATAATCAGATATTAGGAGCAAATATGTTTTAAAAATTGTTTGTCTGATAGTGAACAGAAAACATAGAGCTTGATCTTTTATATTTCATTTGCGTATACCTTGTAACACAATATTTCTTAAATATCAAGTTAACAACTTTGACTGCTGGACCTTGAAGTTTGACAAAATTTAATGTTGACCAAGATCTGCCTATATTGGGCATCAGCTTTTCACTGACACACTTTGATTTTAAATGAACAAATTTTTGTTTTCATGCATTACTGTAAATTTTATTTGTGTACAGCGAGCCAATGTGGCCCATAGAAGCAAGGAATGCTGCTATTGCAAACAGTTATTTTACCTGTGCCATTAACAGAGTAGGAACAGTAAGTTTTTTGCAACTCTTGTTGTTGGTTTGATGGAGGCTGTAATGGAGATTTTTATCTGAAAATTCATACCATTCCATACTTATCTGGTAATGCCTGTCTCACAAGATGCAGTATTGAACATTTTCTAAGCTTATAACCTTCAATTCATTGGCTTTTGTCTAATGAATAGCTTTGTTCAAAGGCATTTATACAGTGTATTTTACAAGAATATAACTAACGTTCTATAGACCCATTTTGGTACTATTCCTGCCATTTTCAGTCTGAAAGCAAAATAGGTCTACCAGTACTTACAAAAATGTATATGGATTTCAATAGATCTTTCATAATACTTGTGTTATACATGTAACTATACATTGTACTTAAAAGGAACACTTAAGTATCGGTATATGCATGTACATTTAGCAAGCACCCCTTAGCCATTGAAGTTTGCTTACTGGGTTAGATGTACCCGTAGATATATTGAATGGTTTATGTGTCACAGTAATTTCATTGACATTCTATCAATTGTAGGAGGTGTTTCCCAATGAGTTCTCCTCTGGTGATGGGAAACCAGGTAAAACAATGGCCATTCTTTTTTTGATTTAATTTTCACTAAGTTGGCTTAAATTTAGAATATGTTCAGTTAAAATGAGTTTTCTTGATTTGTGAATTTTAAATTTTCTAATTTGTTTCTTTATTATTTGTACATATACAGTATAGTGATATTAAAAAATGCCATTTTTAATTTTAACTTTGTACATTTTCAGCACATAAAGATTTTGGTCACTTCTATGGTACGTTATTTTCATTTTCCCTCACAATGTTGTGTATACTTTACTACAGCCATCTTAGTGGTATCAGCAAAGTAACTTTGAATGATTACAATTTCATACTAAGGATTGATATGATGTACATATACACATACTTTACTTTATACTAAAGTTAATAAGTTGATAACACTGTTGAACAGATTTTTTGATAGAAAATATCAGATACATGTACATGCAATAATGCTCAGATATGCAGATGACCATATACACTGTGTAGAAACGGACTAGGGTAAAGTGTGTTACCCAAGTCCAAGATGGCGACAAGCTCATACGCTTCAAATTTCCATGAATAAATATCGGTGAATACTTATGAAAAACCTTACTTTATTTTGCACCAATTTATTTTGCAGCATCATTTTTTCTCGCTTAGAAGGAGACTTTATTTAACTCTGCGTAATTAACCAGAAAACACGTTACGAAGTTTTGACGTAGACTAGGGTAAAGTCGAAGAACTGTTTCTTTACGATTAGGGTAAAGTTTTTTCGAGACTAGGGTAAAGTTATTTATTATACAAACTAAATGTACACAGAACAACTGCTTTATACAATTAATAAAATTGAGAAAGGATTTCTGGAAAATATTTAAATACTGTTACTTTTTAAGGTAGTATTTTTTTATCCTGCATAAAAATCATGGAAGCAAAATTAATCGTTTAACGTACGTATCTCTATTAAAAAAGGTTATATAACAGTAAATGTATATAAATAAAACATTTTTAGACAATGTATTATGATGGGCATAGCTGTATCAATATCCACAAAAAAAAATGGTTTTGAGTTTGTTATATTTTTTTTTTGTTTTGTTTTGTTTGACGACGTATTGTCAATTAACAATGGTAATTTCCATTCTAATACCGATACGATACATACTGGTGAGCTTGAGATAAAGGATACCACAGAGTCTAAGACACCTGTTTCTTAGATATTCTTAGATATTTTACTTGAAAAACCCGTTATAATGGTCATCTAACAACCAAGCTCTATGATAAATGTGATGTCTTTAACTTTTCTATCGTCAATTTCCCTTACTTATGCAGCAATATACCTTCATCTCCTGCAATCGGAGTTAATATACTAGTATCTCAGTTGATACGCAAGAGCATGCTCACGCATGAACAATTTCTAAAATGAGGAAAATTATTGACAAACGAGTTGATAAAACAAGAATTTCAGCAGTCTCGTTTGAAGTCATCATTTCATTGGCGTCATCATCGGACTTTGGAGTTTTACCTATGTTACTATAGCATTTCACACGGAAATATAATTTCAAAAACTTACTCTATAAATCTGGAAATTATTGAAACTAAAAATTTCGGGATGCGCTTAATTGATACATCCTTGCAAAGCAAATTTTATCCTTAATACATGTACTTATGAGAAGTGAAAAAATTGTTGTGTTTTAATAAAATATATTCAAAGTATAATCCAGAAAAATTAGAGTAGAAATGTAGGAAATCAAAACCAACTCACCAGTAACATCAGCCCGTATATACTCAGTGATGTGCACAGAGTTGAACACGGTAAAACGTCAACATTAGCAAAATCTTCGTGCACTTTTTACAAAAACAGAAACGTTTCACAGGTGTTCAACTTGTCAGAGAAACACCTTTGAAGAAATACCTTACATAAAGAAATTATAAGAATCAGAACCCCGAATATAGATTTATTTTCTCTCTCGAAGAAATGCTTTGCAAGTTACCTTAGTGGATACAGCAATGATAATTTTTTCGCATCGTTTCTTGATCATAGATCCAGTGTAAGAATACTACAAAAACCCCATTTCTGGCCATTATGCACACGTCAATACAATAAAAAATAAATGCCCTCCCCCCTTTCCTTATAATTTTTAAATAATTGATCTGTAGATGTTTGAAAATATTTTCGCCGCAACTAAATGAAAAGAGCGTTGTTTTTCCTACTAATTAAGTTATATTATGTCCATAAATAGGATCATAAACTAACTACAAGAAGTAGTAATTCGCCATTGGAATTTGCTCTCGGTTCATTTTAAAATCAGAATTTTTCCGTTTATTAGTGTTTTGTGCAATGATTTTATGAAAAGATCCAGATTGTGTGTTTAGTGTGCTCAATGAAAAAGGTAGGATAACGAATAGTGATCTATCACTTAAAACTACAAACAATGGAATCTGTGGACAGGGTATAAAACACAGACCCCTGACAATTACAGAAGAAGGTTCAGTTGCTTAGAAGGAGTAAACATCCCTCAAAATAGGATCCTTTAGGTTCTGAAACAAGGAAAATGATATTTTACACGTACTTTACCCTAGTCACCAAAAAAACTCAGAATATCTTTACCCTAATCAAAAATTTACTTTACCCTAATCATGCTCAAATTTTGTATTCGCAATCTGGCTTTAATCAGCCAAGTCATGCCGCCTTTTTTGCGATAGTTGTGTTCTTCTGTTCGAAATAATTCAATTTTAACAACAAAATTGATAATACAAGTCTGTATAATGCTGATACTAAGTGCAAAATGATCGAAGCGTATTTGCTTGTCGCCATTTTGGACTAGGGTAACGCACTTTACCCTAGTCCGTTTCTACACAGTGATATAACTAAATGTCCAAAAGATTTTAGGAACAAATAGAACATTACATGCAAATAATGAATAACCCCTGTAAATTTTACTTTCTAGGATCTAGCTATGCTGCAGCACCTGACGGAAGTAGAACTCCAGTGAGTAGACTCTTAATATATTCTTAATGTAAAATGAAGAGCAACTCATATTAACTTGATATATTTGTAACTAGAAATTTAAAAACTTGTGTAATCCCACAATTTTGTGTCAAAATAGACAGAGTGTACATGATGTTAAAAAAATTGGAAAATAGAAAATGGAAATGGAAATGAAAATACATGTAAATGACAGATTTCAGAATGAAATGGATTGCACAAGTGTTGAAGACAGTTTTTCGCTGTATCATAATGCAATGAAATTCTTTTGGTCAACTGTGAATCAACATGCATGTTGATTATATATATTCTCATGTTGATTATCACAGCTAATATAGTGCCTTCTCTGTAATTTGAGGATGTATGACAATTTTTGAAATGTTCCAGACGCATTTGTTAAGTATTTGTGTATTATAGGGTTTATCCAGGACAAGAGATGGACTACTGGTAGCTGAGATGGACCTTAATCTCTGTCGTCAGATCAAGGACAAGTGGGGTTTCAGAGTAAGTCAATTGTTTGTGGACTCCTAAAATCAGATTTTTCATGAACATATTCTTGCCTGACATGGATATATAGTATAGTGTTTGCTTTGTCCTGTCTTTCTTCTGTCCTTCTGTCTATCTGTCCATCAAATTGTGTTTAGCTCACTCAAGTTAAAAACATGGAACATTTGAAGGTATTGTTACAACTCTACATAGAGAATTTGAACATATGGTATAAAAGATACTTTCATTTAAATATATACAAGTGTATATGCTGAAACATATTGATGAAATCTAGTTTTTTTGATACTGAGCTTTTTATATTTTAATGCTTTTACATTTAGATGACACAGAGATTGGACCTGTATGCAGAATCCCTGACCAAAGCCGTCCAGCCTGATTTCAAGCCTGACATTGGGACGGAGAAGTAATTGGGTAGGTACATGTATTGTATATAATTGAAATATTCCATTTTATTTTTCATTTAGTTTAAAATAATATTTATACAGTGTATTACAAATATTAAATTCATTTTGTGTTCTGTGATTATAGAATATACAGTGTTAATGAGATTTCTGTAAAGTAAATAATATTCAAGTGATATTGCACACACTTATTATACCTTTTGTTTATTTTAGATTCATTACAGATGAGAAAAAAAAAATCCTTTCCAATCCAATGTGAATATGGAACTAAAGTGCCTGGGGGAATAATGATCATATAAAAGATTCATAATCAAGCAAATTAAGTAAATGAAACCAGATCACATAAAAGAATGTCAGTTTTGTATATTTTTAAAGTATAGATTAGATTCATGAATCATGTAAGAATACTGGTTGTAAAGTGTGAAATGAATACATGGTATTAGTTTTAGGACATTTGAAGATTTTGTAAGTTGTGGTTTTGGCTTTATGGAGTAGGGTGCTAGAATATATTTGGTGATGCTCATTTTGGAAATGATTGATATGCTGATGATCTGTTTATTTTATAATATACATTTACAATTGTTAGATGACAAAATGTATTTCTTAAAATTTGTAAAATCAGTTAAATCATATACATGTACATGTATACCTATAAACATTGTATGTGGCTTTTGACTTTGTTAAATCTTTATATATACATTTAGTTTACCGTAATGTTTTAATGTTTTTATTACCTTTTTGTTATTTACACAATTTTCTGCAAGTTATTTTGATTCAGTTTTTGAAAGTAGCTATTAGTTTGTATGTATTTTTTGGCCAGCATGTTAGATCTAGTCTTTTTCAGTGCAGACATTTTCAATATTGTTTGCATTGACAAAAAATGTGTTTAGCATAATATTTAGTTTGAAAAAAAATATATTTAAAACATTATATTGGTCCTGATATACACATTATGAATAAACTTATAAAAGGAAATTTTTTTTTTTATTATTCCTCATGAATGTCATCATTTTAAGACCTTATTACTTTTAAAAGTTATATTTTTAAGATCTGCATTTCAATTTTTGGATTATTTTTCTTATATACTGGTACATGTAAATTCCAAAGAAAGCAAACATAAAATTGCTGTTTGTTAATAATGACATCATATGGGGAAGTCACATGATCCATCATAGTGTGTAGAGTGTAGAAACACTTTTTAACATTTTTCTGAGTGATGAGTATGTATTTTCTTGTCCATGTAGATGCTTTGGCTGCTTTTGACTACCTTTAATTAACATAGTCTTCAAGAGAAAATTTTTCAAAGATCATTATTTCTTGACTATATTATTTCTCCTTATTCAAAATATTAGAATTTCTTTGGTGACTTTTATGACAATTGACTCTGGGTATGATTATGGAGAGGACTTTCAACATGTACATTTGATTGTAAGATATTTTATTCAGATGATTTTAGGGTCATAACTGCAGTTCCCGAAATGGTACATTTCTAAATCCTCAGGAGTTGATTCCTTCCTATTTAATAAAATTTTCATTAAACAAAAGGGCCTACAGATTGCATTTAATAGAAACATAAGTTTTTAGTGATGTCTTACAAAGAAGAATAACTCTGGTGTGCTTGGTAAGATATACAGAGTTATCTTTTATTACCTAGTGATTAGTGAGTCCTCAGTTTAATTTTTATGGACAAAATGACTTTTTTTTTTACATTACTATAGTAGATCATGTTGAATGCATCTGACAGTTCATAAAATTCTGGACGCCTGGCACCTTCTCTTAATTAGAATAAAGTGGTTATTTTACCGGCACTTATTAAATGCAAATATAAAGTAAACTGTTGGGAAATTGAAATATTGTTGACTTTAAAAAACTTAGGTCGCTGATTTCATTATCATTAAAATTGAATCTATAATGTATCACATTTTGCTCTGCATCATGAAAGGAAAATTTTTCATAATTAGGTTTTTTGAAAAAAGGTGATTTGGAGATAAGATTAGCCTCACTAAATATTTTCTAGTATTTTTCTTTGCATTGAATTTATACAGTTTTTGGTAAGAAACAAATATGGTCATAAACTGTCTTTGAACAAATAAAAGAAATAAAGTAATTGAACGTTACGTTTTCAAAAATATTTTCCATACTGTGGATTGTTAAAATCGAGTTTAGTTACACGTTCAAAATAGGTGTCATGAACTGGGGACAAAAAAATTCTGGCAGTTTAATATTTATTTAAAAAATATTCTCTTAAATATCTGTCATACATCAGTTTTAATATTTTCCATGATGTCTGTAAATTACAGGTTATGAATTTCTTTCTGCGTTTGTGACTGAAGGCGAACAATATAAGAACGTGCGCAACGCTGTAAAAAGAAAAGATAAAATGATATGCTTCATTTAATTAAAACGCAAATAATCACATGTATATAACTCATACTAGTCATGCAAAAAAGTCATTGTATTCTGTTCTGTGTGCTCATCTTGAACTTAATACTTAAAGGATGGATTACACATGACGTATAATTGTTTAATTCCTGGACGATGTTTCTTGTCCAAACACCCCCGTAAATGCTATTAAAACACTTCACTTGAAATTGCTTTGTATGGACGATTTCCTTTTATTTAAAGAAATGAAATCTCTCTCTCTAAAATACTAAAAAATTTCCTTATACTTGATATTGGTCAATAATGTTTTGGTATGCAATATGATGCTACAATTTATAAGGAAGAAAGTCAAAAGCACACAATACCAAGACAAGAAAGTGTTTTTTTTTATAGCTTAATACGGAAGTTGTGAAGGTTTTTGTCCACAGTTTTTATAACTTCCTAGTACGTGTAAATATACTGAAAGGAAAAAGAAACGCAGGGTAGTATAATTTTCGATAAAAATTTGACCACATGACCGAAAATTACGAAAATTGGTCAGAAGAGAAATTTAGTTACGGTGCATCAAAATCAGTATTCAGAATTACTCAACCGTAAAATTTATGACGTCACGTAGGGAAAACGCTAAAAAGCCCAAAACGCGTGCAATTTGATAACGACGAGTTTGTCAACAAATCTTGTGGCATTATTTGATGCATATGAGGTATGTACATCGTTTTTCAATATTAAGAGACATGAATTTCTTGCAATCTTGGCACAGTTTACGGAAGTTCAATAGGGTCTTGTTTTCGAATTGCCTAATTAATGAAAAAGGCAACAACTGTTTACAAAGCAGTCTCTTGTAAATTTTCCCCCATAAATCGTGTTACCTGTAGTCAGAGAGGGTCTGGAGTGGTTTTCAATCAACCGTGACGATGACAATAACGCGAAACAGAGCCATGTTTCGAGCGTGTTATTTGTCCTGCCATATCTTAAATCGCCACTTTAATACCACAGAAACGGCCATTTATAGAGACGACGATTATAATCATTACATTCATACGAAATTTGAAAGAAAACAATTCCGCAATTTGGTTTTTTGAGCCAGTCAACTTACTGTTGTACATCTCACTGGCGCATGCGCGCGCCGTTTGACTTATTTTTTTGCGTGGTTACCCATGCTAAATATAGCCAGGGTTTGAAAGATGAACACTCTGATGAAATTCCATGCAAAGGAGGAATAAGACTTGACAGATGCACGAGATGGACATTGAAGATAATAAGAGTTTTCGATTTTCAATTTTGGGGGGTATTGTCATTTGAGCTTCAATAACTCATGAATAATTGGACAAAATCAAATGAGAATTTCGTTATGTCTTTTTGAAAGATGATTTTAAAAGTTAGATAGGAAAACTAAAAAATATTTTAAGAAAAACAAATCTAATTCATCTCAAAAGTTTACCCTGCGTTTCTTTTTCCTTTCAGTATATGTTTGCCCGATTTTGTCTGAATTTATGAGTTAAATTCTTGTTAACCATTGATGAACGAAAAAGAACAGAACATGAATGCACATAGTTAGGTTCATTGATTAATATGTCATGGTAGGAGGAAAAAGACCTCTTCTTCGCGTTGGTTTGAATATTTTTTTTTTATAACAAATATTTACTTTATAATTCCATAGCAATATATTATTGCTGAAGTCGTTTTTAAATGTACACAATAAGAATATTTTTTAAATTGTAATGGAAATAAGTTGGTCTGAAATAGAAAGGAAAAAAGACACGTATTGAATAAATGGTTAAGCCCAGCATCTCACAATATCGGTCCACTCGTGCGTATTGAACCTGTGTCCCCAACCTCACCCCACCCCCACCCCCCGACGTACCCCCGACGTTTTGCATGGCAAGTCCAGTTATAACTCATGATATATAAACATGTATATACACCATGATATACATATGGTCTCAAAAAGTGACAGCTCATGTTTCTAATGCACAGGTCAAATAGAGTTTGGGGTTCGTCTTCAGTATATAGTAGATACATGTTGTATTTTAAATTTATCTCCCAACCCCTATGAAAAGGATTTTAATAAAAATATACTCTTTCCTTCCATGTGAAATTAAAAAGCTTATTATTCATTAAAGGGTAACTGAAGATAAATTTACTAAATCTGGACAGAAATTTATTTCAAATATTCAGTGCTAGTGTGCAGGGTTATTTTTTACGCTGTATACTCTTTCTTGATCCAACTTGAGGTGTCGAGAGTACATCTATCACCCAGTTACGGAGAAATGTGGCCTGGTTCATATTTAGACAGTTTGTCACAAGCCCAGTGGAGGTCGTTTGATTGATTTGTACATTTTTGTATTTCATATTACCGGGTATATAAAAGTTTGAAATAGTAATTCAATGTAACAGGACATAGAAATTCTAAATCGATTTAAAAAAAAAATGGAGAAAAATTCGGCTTGATTTTTCATGAATCCTGCTGAAACATTTTAAAAACCAAAAAAAAAAAAAAAGAAAGAAAGAAAGAAAGAAAGGAAAGAAGTTACGAGTAGCATGTTCTCTTTTATTCATTTTTGATATATACCCCGGTACCTATGTTTAATTCAAGTCCTGTAATAGATGCCACAGAAACAATGCTGAAGGGTTACTATTCGTCAGGGGTTCTTCACCTAAAGGTCACATATAAAACCTCTCCGATTTTGTTCATTAAGAACTGCGTTTAAAACAAAACAACCAGATAATACAAGTATATACTAATAACAACGGTCAGTTGCTTTATACAGTTGCCTCATATCACGTCATATTACGATAATCCAAAGTTCAATTATCGTATAGATGAAGATGTACTGTGAGCCAGTCACCTTAAGTTAAATTTAAGAGGTATATATGACCACTAATGTATGTTATCGAAAAAAAAGTGGTTTGAACAGAACAGCACGTGCCACAATCTTTACAATATCATTTTGAGAGGGAAATATACTCAATTTGCTGTGAATATTGTCAATTTATTGTACCCTTAATGTTGTTAAAATCAAAAACAATGTTTTGGAACCCCATGAGTATTAATTTTAAAAAATCCTGATTAGATACCAGTATTCTCTTTCTCGTTCAAAAAGGAGAGCAATTTGTCAAAAAGCATATACCCCCCCCCCCCCTTAAATCGTATGTATATACTTGTAGATCAATTGTCTCCAGTCTTGAAAATTATAATTAAATAATTTAAAAAATGATTTCGAAATGTCGTGACACCCTTATTTCATATCCTTTTCAACAAGGTAGAAATCTAATCTTTAGCCATCTATATAATGTGGGATAACACAGCTACAGTTTGTAAACAAGATATGTAAATTTTGACCGAATAATTAAGTTGCGATACGATTTAAATCCTTGACTTTGTTTGTACAGAGTTTAAATGAATCTAAACAGTGAAATAGAATTTTTTGTAACTAGCAACCTTAGTTTTTCAAGAGTCACGTAAAGTGGACGTTTTATCAAAAATATCAATTACACCTTAAATAAAAATTTCCTTGCCAAACTCAGGTTCGAGTGATGAAATAGAACGATACGTAAAAGGACACATCTATTTTTAACCATTGTAATGACAAAATTTCAAAGGTATATTGTAAATGTATGCACGATTTACGCTTGAAGTTTAATAAAGGTATTTCCCTAATGAGTATACAGAGAGAGAGAGAGAGAGAGAGAGAGAGAGAGAGAGAGAGAGAGAGAGAGAGAGCATGAATTCGGTATTGCTAGACAATCGAGTGTCGTTTACAAATTGTTGAATTAGAAAATTTATATGAATTTCTATTCAATAATTAGTAAACGACAGGAGCACTGGAAGTATAAAGAGTAAATGCACCTTGAGGAAAATACTGGTATAGAGAGAGTGGAGTCAGCACTATTGTCTTTTTCCAGTACTTCAATAAATGTTGCATCGACATCCCAGATAACCTGCATCTCGCTGATGAATAATTTGCGTGCAGCCAACATTCCGTCTAGATCTGTAGGTTAATTAATTATCGGGATGACATTAAATGTGTATACAAAACACAACCTCTCGCCATCTTACGTCATACAAACAATCGATGTCTCCAGTCAGACAATTTTACACCTATCTCCAGAAAAATCTGACACACTGCCCAATTTAACAATAATGATATACATACTTTGCGTATATCATCGTTAATAAAATTCTTTTGAGAATTCTAGCCTGGAACAAGTTTGATCCAAAATGACATCCTCAGAATGTCCTATATTTATAAATATGCATCAAAATAATTGAACTACATTTAGCCTAGTTTTCACGTAATTTTCTACCAATGCCACATCTTTCAGGATGCTTGTGTTATAAATGTAACACATACTATATAATAAATCCATATTCATACACGTTAAATTTAATCCTATCCTTTTCTCTACAGTGGTGCTTAATATTCCATATACTACATATACAAAAATAAGGAAAACATGATTTATTCAGTATAAAAATTTCTTTTTTTATTTCTTTTTTGTATAAAAAATGACATGAATAACAAAATTGAACTGCAATAGCACATACCAAAGAGATGATCATTTTACCCACGGTTTATTGGTGGACCAGGGTAATATATCACGCAGAGTCATCAATGCATGGGGGCTATTACATTACAACAGACAAATTGAATAGTAGAATCAAATCCCAAGAAGTTATTTTCTGTGATTTATCGATCAATACATATATCTAATTCACAAAAAGAATAATGACACATCTTAATTTTGATTCTAAATCGAGAAACAAGAATGAAACATATCGGTACATGAATACAAATTCTTAAAGGTTAACATTTTCATCTATTTCATTTACATTACAATATTAAACATTTTTTAATATTAATTAAAGCATGGTAAAATTTTGATAATAACTAAAGCATTGTTTAATAAGTTTGTATGTACTAAATTATAAATCGGAGATAAGAGATTTGTAAAGGCTTAGTCTATACCAGATTTTATTGATAATAATGCAGTACAATAATAAATTTATGCCGCTGCATTATAACTGCCCTGTGCAATAGGATGACAAAGGTGAACTCCTATCTCTTAATCATACACCTATAGCTCCTCCCGCCATGTCAATCAACTCTAATCAGGTAACCGTGTTATACTTGCACATGCTTGACCAGACATAAATTAAACATTTAAAGGTTAATAAAAATGTACTCGTCGATTTATAAATTTTTGCAATTCACAAAATATGGTAAAAAGCAGTCAGGCCATGTTAAGAGTAAATGCACTATTTGGGAGGGGATAAAAATATTTTTGACATGTACAAAACATTGTTTGAATGAACAAAGTATACATTTTATCTATCCACTTGTTTTAATTTCTAAAAGTTTCTTATTTATCCATTTAATTATTTATCTTTTTGTTTGCATGTGAGCAATTCACAAATATTTGATCACTTTCGATTTCAATGGCAACATTTCGCTAAACTCCTGTAACACAGGAAGAACACATATGAAATGCAAATTAAAACAAACTAACGAACAAATGGAAAAAACTTTTTCCTAATGAGGACACATGAAATAAAATTCCAGAGGACCAGCACTAAACAGCATGCACTGAATTCACCATAGCTTCTTCTCAATTGACAATTCATTTATGTTAACTTAAATATTTAAATCAGTACCCTGGGTACAATAGACTGAACAGTTAATTAACAGAAATCTTGTAAACAATTAATATTTTGGCAAATGTGAACTGAATATCATCAAATGCTTGGCAAAACTTTCTACCTGCAGAGTCCCTAAATTGCTAGAGGCCTCAATGCATGTAGAAATCAGTGCTAGGACTTAAGTGCTATAAAAAATGAGTATTCAGATCTCACAAAAGATGTAATAATACTGTCGTCATTCAGGACTTTGTCCCCTGAAAAAGCCCCTGTCAGACAGGAATATGGTATTCATTTACAATCATTTGCTATTTTTTTTTGTATTTAACACCCACCCACCCTCTTCTACCCACAGAATTTTGGACTTAAATGGAACAATTCAATCCAAATTATCATAAAAATCAATAAATGAGCAGAGATAAAAATCTGAATTTGTGTATAGTTCACATTATATCCAAAATATTTTTTTTTCTTAAATTGGATGAATGATGGACAGATGTACACTTTAAAATATGCTCTGAGATTTCTTAAGGAGGTTGTGTCTACTTCTCATGACATTGCTTGCACACGATGACAGATCCAGCCAAGTGTGTAAGAGTTTGGAACAGAAGAGACTGCACACTGTGGAAACTTTGTTTCTTATCCTGTCCTTTTCTACACGATAAATCCACAATCACACAATTTCCTCGATAGTCCCACCCCACAGAACTTTGTATTTCTTGTGTCGCCACTGCACTATTGAGGTCTTATGGCTCTGAATCGTTAACCACATAGATAACACTTCCCGCAACATCCAGGCAACCAAGAATTCAAATTTGGAAAAAGGAAGTGGTCCATTCTGAAAATTGAGACATAAAATCTATAAGCTTACAGAAATTATCTTATTTATTGATCATCTTAAGACAGACTCTATTTTCACGATCTTTATGCATGATCAACTCTTTTACCAATATTAAGAAAGTTCACAGATGAGAAGATAATTAAATTATACAGTCAACTCAAATATTCATTCAACTTTATATAGTCATGAATGCAGAACCGCAGAAAATGCAATTTGGAAGGTTGTAAAAGTAAAGTATTTTAAAATGAAATAAAAGCATTCTTTAAAAATTTCATTTAACAATAGGAGTTGTAAGTACAGGTATCTGATAATGCATTAGCTTTTAAGATTCCTTAAATAGTAAATTACAAAGTAAAATTGAAAGCTTTTTCTTAGAAACACTGTCTGCATCTTCAAGCAAAATTTTAAAATTTCTAATGAACATTGTGAGTCACTATGCTCCACTGACTAGGGTATTTGCCCAAACATGCTGAACAAATCGTAAACAAACCCTGTGTAAGCTTACCTCGACACATGTGATAAGGGTGTAATCAAACAGGAACCAGACTAGAACATGCATGAGGAAGAAGCCCATGGAACTGATGCCAAAGATGTATTCAGCGGCCCAGGAGGCCACCACGCCCATCAACATACACTCGGACAGCGGCTCAAACAGGATGAGGTGAGGTAACAGAGAGATGCGCAGCTGAGACCACCTGTAGATCGAAATCAATCAAATTATAATCACAAGTCACAAACCCATGTTAACAACCCTACAGAATTTTTTTTTAGAAAAGAGTTAAACCTTCTTATGAAGTACTGTGTACATATCAGTTCCCTAAAGAACTTGAATTTTTTTCATGTCCATAAGTGTCATCATATGGAGGATGGGGAAAAGATAATGTTTTCTTATTTCTAAGATTTCCTTTTATTTAAGTTCCTCCTAAGCAATTTTTACTGTATCTACTTTATTTGGTAAGCTTGAAACTTGTTACTTCTGCATTTGATTAATGATGGACTTGAAGTGTAGATTGCATGTTACTGTTGAGTTTAGAATGATGGACACCTAATGGTGCAATGTATCTGTACCTGATGAGTCTTTGATGAAAATGACTCATGCTGTAGTGTCCAGAATTCTGCTGTGCTGGCTGACTGCATAATACTGTTTTATATCCTCTGCAAAAGACAACATCAAAACTTACATGTTGTTCAATTATTAAGAACAAATTGCTGATAATTCCATAAGAAAAACATATTATTGTCTTCAAGTACATGTAATACTTATCAAAACAAAAAAAAATTAATTGTAAATTAATCAAATGACAGATACTCACTCTTTTCTTATATTTTCAGAGATAAAATAATCTTCAGCTAAATATTTGCCAAGAGGAGCAAGTCCTCCTGATTTTTCTAAAACGTCTTTTCGGAAAGCGCAAGACATGCCTGTTGAACAATTAATTCCTACAGAGTTAGCACTAAGGCAGTTTCTGGACTGAAATGTTCCAAAGTAAACCTGCAACAGACAATAACAAGCATTACTACAAGTGCAAACACCGTAAAAACATATGCATCAACATGCATATTCCACAGGATTTGAAATTCTAATTGTCTGCTAGGCCACAGTTTTAATTTGTTATTTATTTATTTAAGATGTTCTACCATCCAACTAACTTATTCTTAAACTACATGTAGTATTAAAGTTATGTAATTGTTAACAGACTCTTCTACTCTATTGCATCCAAACATTAAAGTTTGTTTATTCTTTGAATAATTTTGTTCCCTGTTGCATTTTTGAATATTTAGCCAACATTTGTCCTTTATGAAGGTGAAAAGGATTAAATATTTCCATGATCTATTTCACACTGTATTACAGTATAATTTCACACAGTTTATAATGGACTCAATCAAGCTTTCAACAGTTTTTTTCTTCTTTCTTTTTAACACTGACATACTATCACCAGGAAGATTCCTTGCAGCAATGCTACATTCTGAACCCTCATGTTGTATATACGTATATTATTACCTGTATATAGAATAGGATTTTATGCATGTCTGACACTTACTTTTTCATATACAGCAGCGAACCCTTTGCGATTACATGAATATGGCATCTGTAAAACCAACCCTACATCAGGTTTCATAAAAGACATCATGTCCATTAATGTATCGGGATTCACTGCAAAAGTAATAATAAGGAAATCTCGTTAGTATCGATCCCTGCAAGGGAAACTCCGAAAAATCTAATAACGATGATGCATGGGCTTTTGCCTTCTATGCAATCTGACATGAACAATTTGCTGTCCTTAACACTTTGAAAATTGACCCCGTTCATTAATCAGAGATTGTTCCATGTCCATTACAATCATATCAGCACAGAAAAATCCATCATTTTCTCACACAATATCACGACTACATAGGGTTGTCATGGTTATTTCATGAGAATCAGGAATTATCATTATTTTTTCTCTTCTGTTCATTGAAATCAATAGCTTCAGGATTAAATTTTAGACACTGAAGAAAAAGTTACATATTCACAGAAGTATGGAATTTGTAATACTTACTTAAAATACTACTATCAGATATAACTATCAAATCATATTTGGCTGCCTCGTATGCTTTGCACATGTTGTTGACTTTCCCATTGGGGCCAACATATTTAACACCTACAAAAAAATGAAGACAAGTGTAAAGAATACAATAAATAAATAGCAAATATTTTAAATGTCAAATGAAATAAACAGTGCACTTAAACATTGCAGATTTCCTTAAAAATGTGCCATTAACTTATTATTTTTTTTTGGGGGGGGGGTGTCAAAGCAAAGAAAACATTCTTACATTTACTACGATGCTGCATTGCATAATCTAAAGAATTTCTTTACCAGACCCCCTCCCCCAAAGGAATAGCAAGTCAACATTGATTTGACACATTGCTTACAATACCAGGATATTGATTTTAAACGCAGGGATAATGATACGGCTTACAACACATTGTCACAAAACACCCCCTATATATATAACCACTGTAGCATATGTGCAAACTTACCTATGAAAATTTTAGCATCTACTTTTGGGTATTTTTCCATTAAGGCTTTAACAACCATAAGAGCTGGATCACTTTCATCTTGTAAGCAGAAAAGAAGTTCAAACTGAAAAAGAAAAAAAATATATGCAAGTCATTTGAATAAGCAATGAAAATATCATTACCTTAGTAAGCTAGAAAGTAAATGCTCCTTCTAAAAGATACTGAAAAAGTAACTATATAGGGCTCTACCATTAAAGTAAAATTTGCTAATGTGTAAATTTAATGATCTTCACAGCAGTGCAGGCTTTCGAATCAATTAGACTAATTAATGGGATGAGAGGAAAGCATATAGCCTGATAAAATTTTATCAATATCTCCCCCAAAAGACTGCATATGGGAAACAGTATCGGGGCCCCCAACATATGGTAACATATGTGTATTACTGAAGTTAATAGATGACTCAGAGTTCAAACATGTCTTGATGGCCAGATAGTGGATTTTCCCCTCCTTCATTTCACACCATGCTTATTTTGCATTTTTCCCCATGCTGCACAAATTCATTTTGCAAGCAATTTTACCACTGAAAAACATTCAATATTCAGGGAAGCAAATTTACTATAGTTTGCATCAGAGCAGATGCATTCATATCCCCCTGGGTTGACATTTGCTTTAAAGTTAATGGATCAAGGGGAAAATGAGGCATCCAGTAGCCTGGAACATATTTCCCTGCAGTTAGTGCATTTCTAATTATAACTCTCCCGACTATCACTTGAATAATGTAAAAAATATGAATAATTCATGTTTCTTTAACTAAGGATCACTATAGTCTGAGAATAAAAACATAGTTAAACACCATGGTAAAATTTAATTGTTAATACCAACAATAAACAAATACATAAGATAATAGATGAGTGTTAATTCAATACTTACAGAGGGATAGACAGTTGTAAAGAAAGACTCTAAATTGAAATAAAGATTTGGATCCACCCCGACCAGAGGTTTAATGATGGACACGCCCTGGAGGTCTTCCGGGGAGGGAGGCGGAATGGGATGGTGTAGACGATATTTTCTGAAAAGAAAAACAATCATGCATTTCAGAAAGATTACTTTGTGTATATGATTTCATAAGTCTGTGTATTCGTACATGTACTTAATTATGGGTAATGATGTACTGATGGGAATTTTTTTTAAGAAACTGTATCTTAGTTTTGTGATTGTTTTCTCAATTAAATGGCTTTATCCACGCACATTCCACTCATACTGTGTTTCATTCATGTTTTCTCAGTTCACCTAATTCTCATTTAAAGGAGAGGCATTCGGGTCAGGAATTTGACCTAGTTATGCATCCGTGAAAACTCTACTTATAGTACTACAACATTATATATTTCTAACGGACTATCACTGACAATGGCAATCATTCGTAGAGAGATAGTCCTGTCATCCCTACCAACGATGAAAACAAACCGCGACTTATGTACCGACCGACCACTCAAGTCCCAACACGATATTAAATATCACATATAAAGACCTTTAATAACCAAAGATTAATATCCAATTGCACTTGGGTTCCATAAAGATCATTATTACATATATTGGAATATACTTTCCATGCTTCTTAGACTTATTCTTTGCATAATCATACATTTAATGTTTGTTTGAAATGGCTTCATTTATTTAATTCTAAAAAGACTAAAACTACTTTAAACTGGATCCTCTACATGTACCAAAGGCCCAATTGAATAATCCATTTTAATAATACAAAATATTAACAGAATATCCCTTATATGTCATTTAAAATCACCCACTCTGAAGGACTGCATAGACAGAAAACAAAGCAATGAAAAAATAAGTTATTTAAAGATTTCCCTTTACTTTTTCAAATGCCAGTGGTGAGCATGGTGAAGACTTAATGTGTATTGTGGGACATTTAATTCCAACTATCAATAACCTTCCCGCACTGTTTGGAAACCATAGAATGCGACTCCTTGAGTCTATAGCAACCAGAGTCCTCTAAGGTGAAAGACATTTTATGCTTGCCCACACTTCATACCACGACAAGGCCTCAGAGACTAAATGTATCAACCATACATTAAGGTTTATCATGCAAGCCAAGGTCAGGAATAATGAAAAATAGGTCTTTAAATCAACTCAGATAAAATGTGTTTAAATTTATCATGTATATGTCACCAAAACTTTTTTCACTTTTTTGAGACTTCAGTCCTGTGCTCTTATTCTTCAATACACCATATACCTCACAACAAAATCATTTGGTCCTGTAAAAGTTTTTAAAATAGGTATTTTTTCAATCAATAATCTCTCGTGACATTTCAAACCCCGTGATGAAAATTAACAATCATCCATTCCTTATCCTAATAATCAACCCAAATATGCATGTAGACTGGTCGTCAAAAGCATCTTAGTAATCAACTTAATATTGTGTTTATCCATCCCTCCCCTCTTCAACCTCTCTGACTACTTAATTGGCATCTGCCACTCCCCCACAGACATGCATGTTCTATTAATTAGCTACTTTAAACATTGACTGTGAAATGTCTCCCAGCTATCACAACTACTGATAAAAATCCACAGAATCCATTTGAGCTGATATGATAACCTGAGTACTATCTCTAGTTCATCATACCCAGTACTAACTGGTTTCATTTCACTGTACTAGGTATACTACACTTCATTAAATACAAATTGACATAACTGATAACAATGCCCCATTATCTTGTTTATGTGAACAATTTACACACTTACAGTCCAAAAAGAACTGGGACTGATACATGTATAGGTTCAGAAGAGGGCTTTCATTAAATTGAGTCCAGTGTGTAACTTCTATTTAATTGTGTCCCCTGGTGGATATAAGGGGGCTGAATAACAAGATTCCACTGATGAGGAAGGGCTAACTTACTACAGAACAATTCACTTGATTTATTACAAACACTTTAGAATGGTCACAAGGGCTGCAGGGCTCCTTGTTACAATGTGTAAATCTGTTCTTTCATGCTGATCAATGATTCCTTGCCTGGGGACATAGTTTTACTCTAATGCCCTCTCAAATATGCATGATTCACAGTTGTCATGTTGTTAGAAACATTCACTGTCACTTAATATATAAAAGTTTTGCATCATAAAATTTTTTTATGATACCAAATTTCTGCCACTTTTCACACTCCATGCCCATAACTGCAGTTTATACAGTTTATACTGCAATGAAACTTGGATAGAAGAACATTTTGAAAAGGACCCATTTTATAATATTGGCTTATGACTATCCTGCTTAGTAACATAAACTCATCTGGATTATAAAATATACAGATTTCTAGGTTTAATCCCACATTACTCAGGGCCACTTATGAATTTATAGTCCCTCATACAAATACTTCCTATCTACGTACAATCCTCCCAGCAGAACGTTTTATTTCTAACACTTGAAGTACTTCCTACTTTGTTAATTTATAAAACTGCCCTCTTGAACATGTATCCATACTAATTTCCTGTAAGTATCGAGTGTACCATGGTATTTCAACAGAATAGTATTGTAATTCATGGGACGATAATCCCCTTTGACCCTGACCTATGAAGGTATTGTCATCCACATGACGACAAAAACAAAACCGTCTAGAAACTGGTTTTACCTGGCCCCAATCAACTCCATGTTTACACATTTCTTTTAGGACTTTGCAAGAAGACATAAATACACACCACAACTATGCAGCAGACTTATTTTGGTCATGATTGTCACAGAAATATTTTTTGCCATTACCGTAAATATCATTATTATAAGGAAAGATAGATGTGTGTGTAGAACTAGTAGAAGTTTCTCTGCATGAAAGCATTCTTAGATTTTGAATACATTAAAAAAGGGGCAATGAAAACAAGGTCAAATAAACTTGAGAATTCTTGACAATGACAGAATTTTCAGCTGACTCTTTTTTGTGAATTATGTCAGGGACATACACACTGGTACTATTTAGTTTCCCAAAGCTGTGTCGATTATCCATACACTGTTTCTCAGCAGTTAGCAAATAATTAGCAGTCACTTTTATGTAACATATGTGTGTGTACACAACATAGTATAGAATACATGTAACACTTCATGTACATAAATCACTGATTGTGACATAATAATTTCCATAGTATATCACCTCTGACTTAGGGATAATTTGAGGAGAGAGAACGGAAGGGGGAATTAAACAACAGTATGTCAAGGACATGACCTGGCAAACTTAAAAAGTTCATAAAACCAACAAACTCATTTTTAGTAGACTTTTCAATTCTGAATTACCGGATAAGACCTCTTCACTATAGGCATATCACTCAATTACTCCAAAAGAGATAATCAATCAAATACAAATTTATAATTTATAATAGATTAAATAATTGCCTTTCCTGTTGATAGAGCTACATCTGTAACAACAAAACCCCTTTAAGGATGTCAAACAATTATAGGAAAACAACTTCCCTGGTGTGTTTCCTTAGCAGATAAAATATTTTTTTTTTTTTGCTAGCTACCTCAAGGTATATATATCATGTATATAAATCAATATAGAAAGAGCACATTGAAAATCGACAGATATAGCAAATCCTTTGCAAGTAAACCATTATTTACTTCAGTAATGATTGTTTGTCTGTGCATTTTGATTGCTTTGGTGGGTCAGTGTTGAGGTAGAAGCTTTTCACTTCAATGAAAGAGATCTTTTCATTAAAGTGTGTTCCATGTTCAAGGACTCAGAAAAGGGTATAATTACTATCATCATATGACTACCCTGAGTACAGAGTGTTGGGTACTACTTCACAGCCTATAACCCTTCTACCAGGGCAATGAGATTCGATGAATATTTCAACAAATACCGAAAAAATTTAAACCTAATGAAAAGTAAACCAGTCCACAGGCACAGGTTCAAAAGATGTGATTTACATCTATGTCTTCCGGTTTGTACTAAGTAACTATCTCTGTTTGTTAATCAAAACGTAGTTAATATATCTGTAATCTTGACCCAATCTGAAGTCGATACAAATCAGTTCTTAGTCATACCGGTCATCTGTAATGAATTTCTCTGTCAAACAAGCAATGCGGAATACCGAAGTACGTATTCATGCCCCAACACCCCGCCCATTTTTACCGGCATGTCGAAATTCGGCATTCCTCCATGTTATGGAGTCATACAGTATTCTGGGATCAGATAATTAATAATTTAATGTACACAGACAAACCTTTCAAACTTATTAATTAATGTTGTTGATTTATATCAGTCAGTATAGATAAAAACTTGATTATTTGATGTTTTCTGGTCACGACGGTGACATGCCGTGCTTGTCTTTTGATAAAAAATACTAAAAATACCATTATGAATAAAAATGTAATGTACTTACCCATAGATTATGGCCAAAATATGCATAAACCAAACGAAACACCATCCTCCTAAAATTAAAATAGCAAGAGAGAAAGCAAAATAGTGAGCTACGCTCATATTATCATGGTGACTTTCGTGTGTTCGCCTCTCTAATGATATTGTAACTGTGACATCACGGACATGCGCAGTCGACATAGTGAAGAGCTGTCTGTATCATCATCTTAGTCATTGTTTTATCAGGAAAATCATGTTTAATGACCTTCCGTATGATGACTATAAATTATTTATTTCGTTACTTATTTTGTTTACTTAATTTTAACTTTAAAAATGACCGCTGAGCGCGCAATTTTAACGTTGGCTTAACAACACTGGACATGTTTGTGTTTGTTTGGGTGTTTCTAAGTTTCAAGACACGTACCCAGAATACTTTAATATTAACATTGTACAAGTGCATGAATATTGCCTTAAATAAAATGTTTGTTTGTACTTTGCTGTACATAAATATTAAAAACATGCATTGTTGAACAACCGCAGTTGTTACGTAGATTAATAATAGTCAATAATTAATATGACATAGCCTAGACCTTACAAAGATCTCAGCTATATTTGATATCCCCTTTTTTCGAAATTATATAAAGATAACGTTGTATTAACAATTAATACACACATCCAAACATATGAATTCAATAGATAAACAATCAAATGAATCATTAGTTAAATAAATAAAATTATTTTAATTAACACATATATATATACTCAAGTTCAATATTTATTCTCTCAAAGTTCAAACCAAAATATGGTACATGAGGTGCAATATTTTAAATAACATATATACATTATATACAACTAAAACAGGGAAAAAATATATATAATACATGCAATTGTGAATAAGCCTTGATGATGAAAAAAAACCTTTCCATTAATTCTTCCTGTTTATTGACATATATAAAAACATGAAAAACTATAAAGAAAAATTAAACAATACACCCATTCTCAATATAAGGGCACAAATGCCTCTCTGATTTTTTAAAAAATGAAGTTCAAGATAACAATTTTTCTATCAATTACCTTTGAAAGAAAGTATCTGAAGATTTTGTTTCCAGATTTTTTTCATCAAATTATAATACATGAAATAATGACAAGACGATAAAGTAGAGGGTGATTTTATTCAGAAATGTAGCTTGAAATGTACGTTACTCTTTCTTCAATGTCCAAAAAAATATGTCAAAAAAAATGTAGTCATTAAAATCACAATTGGAATATCTCATCTTAACACCAGCACTTCCTACCAACTCTGTCACCAACATATTTTCTCGGCAAACGAACGTGCGTTTGATTTTTCCTTTCAAAAAACAAAGGTTACTTTTTGATCCAGATGTGTAAAAACATTATTTAAATATATGCTCTCAATTCTTCTCTCTGTTTTTATTAAGAGCGATCAGTTTGGAATCTTGTCATTTTTAATAGATACTGGAACCTAACATGTACATGTAGTAAAATTCTATTTTGTAGTTATTGTCTTTTTTAACATATATCCATGCCGATTTAGAAAACTATGTAAATGTAACGTACATTTCAAGATATATTTCTATTTAATAAAAAGCTTAAAATTCATCTAAAATTCATCTAAAAATTCATCGTTTTGTTTCAGTTTATTCCAAAAAAGATTCTCTATGTAATCACATTGTGTTATATGTCACAATCACCACTATAAAGACACGATTGCCTCAGAATATGAGTAGGTAACGTACATTTCAAGCTTGTAATAATATGAAAATTAGTAATAAGAAAATATTGAAAAAAAAGCAATTATTGACATAAAAATCATATCAATGAAGCGTTTTAAGGCAGTAATATAAGAAATCATAATGTAACAAACGAGGTTATTTCATCAACTACATGAATGTCACGTCACTTCGGTAACGTTCATTTCACATATTATTGGGGAGTCCCGTACACCTCAGTTCATAACCATTCTTTTGTGCTGTTTCGCTGAAATTGACACCGGTCGTAGCCTAGTTACTTCTAACTGTGTACAAGGTTACAGACAAAAAAATATAAGAGTCAGATGTATTTTGCTATGATCTATTGAAACTTAACATAAATCTATTCCGAATATATCCATCGACAGTCTTGTTAACAATTTCATTTAGTATGTTGCAACATCGTTTTTCAAAACACAAACATACGTGCTTTTCAGCAGATCTGGAAAAAGATAACCCAAAATGCAATGATTCAAACAAAACTGATATATTAACTCTGGTCATCTTAATGACTAATTTAGAAAAATTAGTGTGCCTTTCAGTATTTGAAATGTACGTGACCGTCTTGTGTTCTAGGTTTATTTGTTTTGTTTCTTTTTCTTTTCTTTTTTGTTTTGTTTTGTTTTGTTTTACCAATTATAAGCCTATGCATACCTTGTTTTAAATTATCAACAACAATTCAATTAATATTAACGAAAACGCACATGAAAAGTAAACAAACTGCAAAAAGGTTGCCAAAGATGAATTTAAGACACTTAGAAATAAATTTTCTAGCATGTGGTAACAGTTTAAAACATTTACGAGGATTGGGGTGCATTTAGATGTGGCCAGTTGTCAAATGGATTGTAACGATAATTTTGTTTCGCTCGTGTAAACGCAATTCATTGACTAAATTAAAAAAAATATCAGTTAGAAATACATAAAATGTACGTTACCATACGTAACGTACATTTCAAATATAAAAATCAAACAAGCATACGTTAGACGCGCAATATATTGATACTATTTGAACCTGCATATCATAAGAAATGCATCATACAGGTTTCGTATTCAGAAATATATACCAGGTATCAAAATTATATTACATAATAATTGACCTTAATATATTTTTTTCCTCAGCAGAGACGTTTCTTTTTATTAATTTTGGGATTTAGCCGACCTCCAACCTTTGAAACTTTCCTTTGTGTACACATTCGAGTGTGTGAAAGTATTAGAATACATGAAAATTCGTGCGAGATTCACTTAATTCGAATTTCATGGTAACGTACATTTCAGTCACGTACATTTCAAATGATCACTTTTCATGTAAAAAATAATTTTTAATTGTGTTAAGCAAAACGTCTTTGCCAGTTTACAGGATACACACATTGCTTATTCAGAGTCGTGATATTTTCTACTTAATATGTATTCTTAATGGAAGAATATAGGTAACGTACATTTCTTTCTTATCTCTACGATTGAAAATGTCTTTCATTCCGTAAACATATTTATAAAAGTTGCTCAAGTTGTTCAATTTCATGTTACATTATATATATTAATCCTTTGAAATTTCAAATTTAGCCCATCAATAAATAAAGGAGAACAAAACTATCAGGTGTATAATCTTTGTGTTTGTTTGTAATGTGGTTGAAATAGAATTAAGCGACAGGGACATTGCACAATAAAAATTATTTATTATCACAAAGAAAATGTATTTATTGTTATGAAAAGAAATATATATGATACAAGGTTTAACTTATCAGAAAATTTTTACTTGAGAATCAAAATATATATTACACAGAGGGGATTCAGAATAATATTTGCCTCGACAGTAACGTACATTTCAAATAGGCTACTATATTTGAATTTGGAACTCCTTAAATACCCTTTCAGATCGATAATTATATGAATTCTTATTCATTGTTATATGACTATATATATTTAAAAATTACATCAGTGGTATTTCTTTTAAATGAAAATGAGGCGACATCATTTGAGCCCTTATATTGAGAATGGGTGAATAACGCAAGAGATGCAATAATCCAACAAGGAACAGGCTAAAGTTAGATAGGATTTATTATACACGATTTTATAAATACATTTAATGCCCAAAGTTTACTCTAAATATAGAAGATGTACATGTGCAAATTATATCATTCATTTTGATATAATCTAATTGTATATCTTAATAAAGTAATGAAATGAAACCTACTTTACTCAATATTAAATCTCCACTAAATAGTATATAATTGTACGGACTGTTAAAGGTTAATTAACATATTCTGAATATATTCTGCTAATATATTTACTTTAATAAATGATTTAACATAATTATAGATCTGTATGTGCATGTTATTTTATATTAGCTAACACGACATGAATCGTCCATTTTCCCTTCAGTTTCGTTCCCAGTTTCACTTTCTACAGGCCCTCGTTCTCCCTCCTCTGTAACCTCGCCACTTAACACTTCATCCCCGGGAGGTGCTTCATTTTGGTGGCCGTTATCATTTCCTTCATTTTTGAGGTATTTGTAATTAGCCGGCAATCCTTCCGTTTTCGGGTCAGCAGCAGTTAATAACGAAGTTTGATCACGATTATTCGTATTTTTTGGTGATTGTTTAGGATCATTGAAGATAAAACTCTTCGAGGGTTCCTCTGATATTTCCTCAGGTGGTGATGGTATCGTGTCGGCCCGGCTCTCACGATGTTCTACTGAACCTGTTGCTGCTTCGCACGGATCATGGAATTCTGAGAGAGAAAAAAATATTTTAAAATTTGATAAAAAAATATCCTTCTTGTATTTTTTGCAAAGCTTCAAAAATATCTGGTTAGTGTACCTTTAAGCTTCAACTGATGAAGATTAGTCAAAGATTTATCTCCAAACATTTGTAAATGATATACTATGACTGAGCTAAAGCCTTAACGATTGAAAATTTTTTATGGAAATATTTTTTTTTTTTAAAGTTTTATAATTATTAGTTTTAAAAAATTTTAATGGTATTATTGCTTGTACAATCTCTTTATAAAACAAATACATTTTAAGCCAAAAATGTGACAAAATGATTTAATCCACATTCTACTGAGATAAACATGCCTTATTATGGGGAGGTGGGGGGGGGGGGGGGGGGTACTCATTGACACTGTGTTGTGTTTGATTAATTTTCCGATACTGTGTTGTGTTTGAATATATATTTTTCTCAATGTCCACAAAAAAAAATTGCACTGGTGTAGACATGGTAGAGAGGGCCCTTAAAAAGTTCCTACTGGTAGCTCTCGACTAGAGAGGTGTTGTACTATAAAAAACACGAAATTTTATTAATTAATTAAAAAATCAATTAATTTAAAAGAGGAAGAAGTTCGATTTCTTTCCTATCTTTTTAATAAAAAAAAAGTAGATCCGCACACATAACAAAGATTAATCTAAATATAGATTTACAATGTTATTATAAGCTTTAAATACTAACACAAGATCCACAAACACAACGGCCGGTTAGCTCAGTCGGTTAGAGCGTCGTGCTAATAACGCGAATGTCGTGGGTTCGACCCCCACACTGGCCATTATTTTTTTTTCTTTTTTTTTTTATATTCGTCTTGACAAGGACTATGGAAACAAACAATTTTCTACGAACATAATTTATTTAAGCAAATTTATACTTAAAAAAAATTAAATAACTACCCTTGATTAAGATTGAGATTTTTTTAATGTTGCAGCAGTTGTACATGTATTTCCATAAAATGAACTTTTTATATTGCATTTTGTATACTCCCCATAATCAACAAAAGCTTTGATACACCAGTAGATTTGCAAAACAACAATTTATAATCTTCTGTTTGATTGGAAGGGAGGGTGTAAAAAATTTTTTTACATCACATTTCTGCTGAGCATTTATGGTGGGTTGGACAATTATTTCCGTTTTCCATTGATTTTTATGGTGAAAAATTGGGAGGTTTACTACATATTCATGCATACTACTTGTATGTAGTTTTTTGAATCAAAAGTTTTGTGTTCAGAATTGTCATAACTACTGTGAATCAGTATTTATCAAACACAAAAGTGTCTAACACACTTGAAAATAGCCCAGGAGGTATTTACCAAATTTACACATGCAGTAAATGATTTTTTTTTTCAAAGTACATACAGATATCTTGCAACAAAAGAAGGAAAATAGTCAAATAGTGCTCTTTTAAAAACCCATTTTTTCATGTTTGAAAATCTTTTTCCAACCCCCCTCTTAGTAACCACTGAAACATTTTAAACTACTTTTGTACACAGGCCTTTGGATTGCTCAAAAAATTGTGTGTGTCAAAAAAAGATAATTTTTAACACCTCAATTTTTTTGTAAGCAATCTAAAGGCTTGTGCTTTTGTAGTACATTTTAATGAACCCAAACCAAAACTGAAAGAGGGGTAGTATTTTGAAAAAATGTTACAGAAAGATGGACAGCTAGTCATACAACAGACATCTTACCAAAGCAAAAGCATAAGCTAAACTTCAAGTAATTCTATACTCTCTAAGGCTGTTTTTTTTTTAAAATTATTTTTCACAAAATGACCACATAATTATCAGTTGGATTTTTTTTTTATTAGAGAAAATCCTAAAAGTGAACATATTGCATTTGATGTATTAAACAATAAGCTTGGCAATAATACAGATAATAAATTACATTTTACAAGTATTATACAATCTGTTACATGTATACCCCAAAATACTGAGTAATGGTTAAATGGTAAAATGAGAGATGAAAAGCAATCATAAGCCAGCATCCATTTCCACACACACTATAAATGAACAGATCACTATCTAAAAGGAATGCTTTTTAACAGAAATTCTTTTGAGTGAAAATGAAATTGTGCTTTAGACAAGCTTAACATAAAAAAAATCAAGCTAACACATAAAAAAATTGACCTACTTCCTCTTGAACATGTATTAACATTTTTTCCCAGTCTTCTATTTTTCATAATTAAGTTAACACTGAAATAAAGTTTGTACACATCTGTGCGAATAAATTATAAATCTAAATCCCTGAGATTTCCCAAAGTTACAAAACAAAAAATGCAAGAAACTGAAATTTAAAAATATTTTTAACATCCAGAGAAATTATCTCACAAATGTCTCCTAAACTATATATTTTTCCCAATCAGACCCCATTAGTACAATGCAGCATCTTAGTAGTTCCCTATACATAAGCACTACTTACAATCACCAGTACATAACCGATACTGATAAGTAACAAATGGGAAGTTTTAAAATTTAATTCAGTCCCAGTAATATAATGACTAAAGGCAAACACCCCATGTTTTTAACATATCTACTTGTGGTTCTAACATTAGATTTACCCCCTCTTTCAGATCAAATGGATGCAGGAAGGTGGGGGCACGAAAGGTAAACCACACATTCAAACCAAAAATTATTCAAATGTAGTTAGTTAATACCAGGTAGATTTTTTTGGCAACAACTGCAGAAATCACACATATTTAGTCCTCACAGTATTCATACCTCATCTCACCTTAACAAGTAACTCACAGTAACTACTGCTATAATCATTACTGGCATATAATGAACTAGAATACAATTGACTATAAAAATATAATTCATTTTTTTTTATCAGAATAACAAAGGGAATCAACAAAGGCAATAACCACTCCTAATGCCCAACTGGATTTTGATTGTGGGGCAACCACAGGCTCTAAACAGATGACCCTTAACTATGACTAAAAGAAATTCTTGTGACAAAGAAATTGCTACACTCTTAAATGATATTCAGGATTATTGTTCGTTTCATTTCTCAGCACTATACAAACTTAATTTTTATAAGACTACACAATCTATATCAGCATTCAGGATTAGCATCTCATCAGTATTTTAACTATCAACTATAGCACTATCACTTAGATAAACTACTATCACATAACAATTTTTAACATCCCACAAAAACAACTTTTTTCCCCAAGCACTGATGTAAAACTGGCCCAAAAAATCATTTTGTACCCTTTTTGATGGAGGCCTTCAATCAATTTTCAACACAATAACATTGGTGCCATGATTCATAGGTGATAATCAATATAACAATTCAGTTTATAACATAAAACTCCCTAGATCGTGCATTCAAATCAAAATGCTCTACAATCTTCGAAAATTTGCTCCATCTTTTACATTCCTCCTATATTAATGAACATGTCCCATATACAGATCATCCAGATACTTTGAAAATATGCATGGTATGAGAAGTCTGAATATCAAAATATCTTGATGTACATCCTGTGATGTAAATCTATTTTAAACATTTTCTAGTTTTACACTAGTTTATATCCACTGTATGGTGGGAGGATCTACAAGACAGTGCCAGGAGTGGATCATGCATGAGTGTGAGTGTTTTATATGGAGCTGCCAACATGGTGTTAGTGGAGTAGGCAATCCATTCTCAAAATGTCTGCTCATCATCACATTCATCAGTCCAATGGCCAAACACTGCAAAAAGAAAGAGCACATTCACCCCTGATCCCCAGCACTATCATTTAATCAGCCTGTGATCTATTTGCACACAAATAAGGTCACTTATACGTTTTCCAAAAAAATTATGCCATATCTATATTTTTTCTTTTTAGGTTTTAGTTCATTTTAATGGAAAATGTTGAAGTATTACAGTTTCTATATTTCTGACAATATATGTGTGCAAATTATCAAAAAAATATGCAAAATAAAATAATATGGAAATTCTATAATAGGTCTAGGACAAACACTATAAATAAATGCAATTTTTTTCTTAATTCATGCCATGCTTTATTTGTTTTTTTTTAACTTATATTTTCTAGGCATAATATCGAGCATGTTAACTGATGATGAAACTATGACTTGTGAGAGATGAAATGTATACAGTGACATACCTTCACAAATATCACAGTAGGGACGGGAGGCTTTCCTGTCGCCATGGTAATGGGTGGGGGAGGGGGCATCATCCTCGTAGTCCATGGCTTGTAGAGGGCAGTCGTCAGTGTCATGCTGATCAAAGACGTCGCATATATCACAGAACAAACGAGGCGGAGCTCGGGATTTAGGAGCCCTAAAAAAGACAAGCAAAACCTTTATTTTATTTTACATTTTTAAAAGGACAAAAATTTGAAGTTTTATAATTATTGGTGCCATGTCAAGCAGGACTATCTCCATTCACTTTTAAAATACTTCACTTTAAATCATCTGTAACCACAAGTCCAATAATGCTATAGGCTGTCGAGGTAATTTTTACATACACCATTTCCTATTTCAAAGTACACTACATCTACTTTTGATACAAAAATGTATTCCATATGTATACATTAAAAACAAGTATTTCCTTATGCAAGTTCAGAGCTTTCATATGTTTCAAAGCTTAAGAGAGTTCAAACCTCAAATCCATTTTATAGATCTGCAATTCATTACCGGTAATTGTAAAAATCAAAGTGCATTCAACAGCTTGAAAAAAAGTAATAAATGTACTACTTTTAGAGACATACAGTATATGCATACAGAAATTGGCCCTGACATACTTTATTACTGACAACTATTCTTTTTTAAAAAATCCTAAATTTGTTATTTTCTACAAAGGGAAGCAACTCACTCAGATTCCATGGAGCTATCACCGTCTCCATTAGTAACGACCCCTGACTCCATTATTTCCAGTCTAGTCTTCAATTCTTCATTTTTCTTTTGTAGATCTACAATGACTGAATTCAGGAAGTCTACTTGGCCCAAAGCAGCATCCTTTTCTTCTGTTAATCTGGATACTGCTGGGTTCCCTGGAAAAAGGTTTTGTGGACGTGTATACATGTACTTTTGTTATAAAATTAGAAAATCTCAATAAAATTCCTAAAAATATAGATGACCTTAATTATTTTTGTGCACTTCCAATATTTCAAATACCAAGGATACTGTAGAGTCTCATTAATATGGACACTTGTGTTCCCCCAGAAAGTTGTTCAGATTTATAATGAAGCAAGCAACTTGAATACTAGCTGAAGGCAAAGTGATAATTGGCATCCAAATTAATGAAACTCCACTATACATCCAAATAAACACGTTTCTTTCAGATAAACACTCTACTTTCAGTTCAGATCTAAACTTTAAAATATCTCAGGCCTTGAATATTTCATATCAGGCCCTTTGATATTAATTCACATGAGGCTCCATTCCCTACATCAAAACTTCGGTTTTCATTTTTTCTTACAGCTTTTCCTGTACTTAGACCTATCTCTATCATTACAGCCTATGTTATGCATTAGTTCCATCAACATTGAACAAAGCACTTTCATTTTTTACCCCATGACATTACTTTCCTTCACTTAGACCTACCTAAGCTATCATTACTGGCTATGTTAGACGCGTTAGTCTTGGCTTCCTTCAGTAAGTTCTCCAGCTTACTGATCTTCTCCAGGAACTCGGACTTCTCTGTCTCCATATTCTGGACCTTGGACCTGTACACTTCTAAAGAAGAATTCTCATTCTGCAGGTTGGAAATCTAAAGAATGAAGGAAATCCCTATTATAATGCAGGAATAAAAGCACAATTGATATTCTTCAATAATGATATTAAAAAAATATTGCAATGCATTGATGTGTAAAAAAATATTGTGTACAATTCTTTGTAATCTAAAATTACAATTTTTAAGTTCTGTCAATGTTTATGTTGGTGTGTGTGTGTGTGTGGGGGAGGGGGGGGGGGGGTTAATTAAAGCTTCATTCCATGTCATAAGTTCTGTCAATTTCTTTTGACATTCAGTGCATGTCTATTTTCCAAATACCCTCCTTTGACCTTGTGCCCTGCTAGTGTATACCTGTTTTTTCTGTCTCTCGAGATCTTCCGCTCTCTGTTGTAGTTGTTGTGTGGTGTTGTCCAGCTGACTCTGGAGGGACGTGTTGGCGTTCTGTAACTCATCCAACTCTTGACTGTGTCTACAAACAAAGTAATACTGTATCATAAATTGCATTCAAGGACTGTGTATCAGACATTTAAACAATACATAAACCTATTTGTAATACATCTTTCTTATAAACTACTTGTAGAGTATATGTAAATCAAATCAAGATGGAATCTCATAATCTATCTTCTCTATTTGTTGAGGTACCTTGTATATTTCAAGGACCCACTGGTCATTTGAAAAAAAAAAAATTGTAAACAACATTTACAAACTGTTTCCAAATGATTTAATGTTTCAGCATTAAAAACTACTATAAATTTCAAATTTTTACTCGATTTTATTTGAAAAAAAAAAATGCTGTTAATTTTTACAAAATTTTGCAAACTACTTTGTTTACATTTTCTTATTGGTGATTTATTTAAAAAATATTTTTGTGCAATTCAAATTTGCTAAAAATTATAAAAAAATTTCCACTATAACTTGGGGGGCAAAAATCCCTGAACTAATCAAAAAGACATGTCTAGCATATAATTCTGAATGTGCAAAATTATGAATATTTTTAGCACTTAAAAAAAAATATCCCAATTTGAAATTTCTTTACAATACAATTCTTGTTTCTTTTTATTTTTAGAATATATTCTAAGATTTAATGGAAGAAAGAGAATCATAAGAAACTTTGTCAAGACAAACAACACATGCAAATAAGTTGACTGAAAATACAACATGAAATCTTAAATCAGACAAAAAAGTATTTCAATCAAATGATAATTTTTACAACATTGACAAGTAAATTATGTAAAATAGTAACATAAGAGACCACACTACTATAAGGGAAAAGAAATACAATCCACAAATACACTGAGAAATATTTCTTCTGGCAAACTATGAAACAAAACCTGTTTATACTGTATTGAATATACATGTAGATGAGTACATGTAAGTTTCATTCTTTTTAAATTGTTAGTGAGATGCATATCATACACAGTGTAGTTTTTAGTAACATGACCAGATACATTTTAAGCATTCAGTTATCATACTTTACAAGTGTTTATATGTATTTTCACTATGACTCATTTCTTATCAAGTCACATGAAAATGAAAGTAAAGAATTAAGAATATTAAAAATCAGTGTTAATAATCTTTATTCATTATTTTTCAAAGTCAGCTCTCACTTTACAGCATAGATAATTTTTTCATCAAAGCATGATTCTGTGATCCCCAAGGGAGTTATTTTTCTCAAGATCTGGCAGTGCTAAATTCTTTACAGGTGAACTAAGACCCCTCCCAAAGTTATGGAAAACATTTATACATGTACTTAAATTGGATCAGGAGTTAAGATCACATTGGGATTTAACAGGAACTTTGTTTACATCTGTATACTGTATACATGTATGTTTAATCCAGGTTTTTGATACAGATACATGTTTTGCATCATAACTAAACTACCATGCATCATGACATATATAAACAACAGAATAAATCATGCTGCTTGAAACATGGGATTTCCAAATATATGCAATACAAATTTGATGCTGTTTTTAGAGATATAAACCCTTACCATGTAAAAGATTGTCATTGAAGATACAGCCACGATAAAAAGAAAGACATAAAAATATTCATAAGCAAATGAAATTTATGGCTATATATGACATTTTGAATGATACAAATTTCAGTGTAAATGTACATTAATGGTATGTGCAAAGATAAAATAATGTTGATCTCATAATTACTGAGCATTCAGTTTTTCCCAATTGCTTTTCTTGCTGTGAAGATATTACATCAAGGGAGACAACACTTTACCTTGTTTGCATGTCCTCGACCTCCCTGTTTAGTTTCTGATTCTGATCTTCCAGCTACAAAATATATTTGGTTTAGAATCAAGAATCCCATATAAAATTGCACCTATAAACACTATTTTCTTTTGTATAATGTAATAAACACTTTACTCCATTTACCACAATTTTTTTTGATTCGCCTACCCAAATACAGGTAAACTTCGTTATCTCGACATCGACTGGACAATCAAAAAATGTCGAGATATCCGAGGTGTTGAGATATCAGAGTTGAGACTCGACGTCCTTAATTTTACAGCATAGTAAAACCATAGACCTAAACTGAACAGACATGTACATGTAACTACCTACATGTCTTCCATAGACTGTAGCTCGTTCATACCTGTCAACTCTCCCGAATTTATCGGGAGTCTACCGATTTTTAACCATCCCTACCGACTGTCTACCGAATTTTTTTTAAACTGCCGTTTCTACCGATTTTGAAAAATCCGGATTTTTTACCTACTTCGGTTCATAAAATACCGACTAGTCAACACAAAAATGGAGGTCATGCAGTGTTTATCTGTAGCTAATCTGTTTATTGCCGCTGATACCAGGTAATCAACAAGGTGTCAACTGTGCTACCAGATGTAATTGCAGTTGTAATTGCCCCTTATTCTCACTAAAAGTGTATATTATCAAAGACAGAGATGCCAGATGTGGAAAATTTTACAGAACATGACGGTAAATAACAATATGGAAGTACTTGATACTTTGCTGCAAATAAGTGTACAAGTACCTAAGACTAAACTACATGTATTTCTCCATAAACAATACAATTATCAGGAAAGATTAGCTACAGTACTCTATTATTAATTTGACAAGGAGAGGGAAACAATTCCATGGAAGCTAATGAAGAGTCTGAAAATTTCCCCACAGATTTTGAGATTCAATGTCTTAGTAAATCCTGCATCAACATCAGCATATAACAGCCTCTGAATCTACAGTCCAGAGCAACAAGACAGTGTCTTTAGAAGACTTCTTTAAATTTACAAAGCTACACAGGGTAAATTTCTAAATTAAAATATAAAATTAGCACATTAGAACATTACTAAAATAAAGTATTACATATTTAAAAATTCTTATATATGTTATGAGATTAAAAGAAAACAAGGGTCCAACTATTTCATTCATACTAGATTTACACATTATATTAAGAATATAAGCATTTTAAAAGTTTTGACAATTATTTCAATTTCAGATCTTTAAATCCAGGACACAAGTCATGTTCCTTAAACTTAGTGAGAAAAATCCATTCATGCATCTATTAAAAGCTGGAAACTCAGACTGTCTGCAGAACCTTATCAATTTTTCTAAGTGCCAAGTTAAACTTCAACATTTGCCATGAATATTATATAAATGAGGCTCTTATGGACACGCAGAATAAATAGTGTACATAAATTTTTATAATTTCAAAATTAATTAATTCACATTGTACAAGTTTCTAAACAATGTATTGCATGAATAAAAAGTAAATTTTATGATAAATTTTTAATGATATTACATGTAATAATGAAGCTTTATCTTGTAAGTTGTTTATTTTCGTTCTATATTCATGTGTAAAAGTGAAAAGTGCCACTTTTTGTATTTGCAAAAAGTTGTCGCGCGTTGTGCTATCAAATGCAAATGCTCTCAGTAAGAGCAGTCAAGAATCAATTTCTATATATGTTAATACCAAACATTTTGGACCCCCGAAACATTTTGGCCATGTTGACAGGTATGCTCGTTTATTTCAGCGATCCCTCTATATTTATTAGAAAATCTAAGAAGTTATTCACATAAAATATTATTTATGAAATGCTTTCCTTTTTTATCGAAATCTTCTCATTTACTAAAAACAGTTTTCCAATCCAGCATTCGATCCGCGTGCAACTAGCTCTGTCAGAACAGGAAACGAAATGCGCTTTATAAACTCCAAACCGGAACGGTACAAATTCGACTTCATCGATACGGAAAAAATTAATGCATATGTTTTATTTCATTTCATTTTTATTTCATAATCATTCATTATTAATTTTCATTTCATTTTCAAACCAAAATTTAATATGGAATTGCGCATTAAACAAACTTAATGATGTTACACATGCATTTATATTACGGCTGATGCAATAGTCATGCATGTCTTAGATTTTTCCTGTTGAGTGCATTTTTACCACAATTTTTAAGTTAAACTGAATTCAATGTGTATATTGTTCATTGTTATTCAGTTACTTTTTTTCAAAATATGAAAGTTTTGTTAGATTTCGACATATATAAATGGTTTGTAAGATTTACATTGACGCAGAATCGATATCAATGATATTACCCAAGCTGAACATTAAACAACGTCTCAGAGACACCGAGGGGGCTTTGGATTCCTCTACAAACACATTTCTACAGAGCAGTATGTAGTCAAAACATAGGTTTGAAAGGTGTGAATTTCTGACGACATCGAGATACACGGAGTCGTCCGTGCGTGATGAGCGACCAGCTGACAAACAATTGGGTTAAGAAGAGCAGAAAATTGCCCCAATGTCGACATATACCAGGTAAATTTGGCTCTTGGACTGTGAGTATACGTCGAGATAAGCGGGGTAGTCGACATTACTGATGTCGACATATCAGAGTTTTTGCAAATCCTTTATATAGTAAATAATGCCGGGACCGCGGACGGACGTCGACATATCCCAGGTTGTCGACATATCCGATATCGAGATACCGAAGTTTACCTGTAAATTGAATTTAGATATCATAAAACACCATATAAATTACTCAATGAAAAAAAAATCTTGTAAGCCACTCTGTAAAAAAACGATTCTATCAGTCATGACAACGGAATACACCATTACAATGCCTGACATTAGATGTTCTAGTTTACCCGAGTTCGTTCCTCCGTGACCAGGTTAGCAAAGGTCAGCTGAGCCTTCATGGAATCCCTCTCAGCCTCTAACTCTCTGTAAGTCTTCTGTAGATCAGACAAGGATTTCTGACTTTCCTCCCTATAAAATATCACATAATTTATCAATCAAACATCCCTTTTACATAAATTGGTCATTTTCCATTTTTGGAAGGTGGGGAAGGTTACACTTTTCAATATTAATATGTTCATGTACATTATGTACATTGTGCTGGCAAATGAAAACACTCTTAGTTAGCAGAAACAGTGAAGAATCAATTTCTACTCAAGTTACCCAGTAAATTTGTTATATTTCTTAGACTAGTACTCTTGCCGTACCAGGTTTGACAATATCTCAGGTAGTACTTACAGTCTCTGTTGGAAGTCAGACGTGATGGATGAGTTTTGTGACACCTGAGCCAGCGCCTCCTGCTGATCATTTACCTCCCCCTTCAGCCGTTCATTCTGACAAACAAAAACAATAATTAATAATTACAATACTTTCAGTTTTTCAACAGAATTACATGGATAATCACGTTGTTATATTGAGTATAAATTACCTCTTTTTGGAGCTCTTCAATGTGCATGTCCTTCTGTTGTAGAGATGCTTTGGTTGTAATGGCATCATCCTGCAGTCGACCTTTTTCTTCCAAGACTTTTGCCTTCTCTTCTGTGATTGCATCAAGTTCTTTCTGAATCTACAAAACAAAATCTAAGCTGTAGTTTATATACAAAAGTTGTATATTCCGCAAAGGTATAATGATTCTATGAACAGATGAATTTAGGTATTTTATTAAATATCAATGAATCAAAAACAGGGGAATGGGGGCTAAGTTGAAGTTTTGCCTTTAGGATTGCACATATATGATGATATCTCCTCTGTTAGAGCTCCGTCAAATCTCTTACACACCCCTGCTAGTTTTCAATAGGGTACCTGATTTTTGGCCTTTTGAGCCTTTTCCATTTCCCCTCCCAAGTCAAGCAGCTTTTCCTCCAAAGTATTAAGGTCCACTGTGAACTTTTCCCTCTCCGACTGTGCCTTAGCTGCCTCAACTCTGGCCTGAATCAGCTCTGTGTTGGCCGTATCTCGCTCTGATTCCAAGCGCTTCACTTGCTTCTCAGTCTTCTCTTTTTCAAACTATAATTCAATTGAAAATACTTAAATCCCTTTCAAACATTACCAAAGTAATTTTTTGACACCGAAATCAACCATTATGAATGATGAATAAAAATGAGAAATGAATGAATATTCTAAAATCAATAATCATCTTGCTTTCTCCTTAAAGTTTCTCTCATTTTGAAACATAGATGAGTTAGAATTAGAAGCAATGTAATCCAATTTTAATTCAAGCAACCTAACTTTACTTCATCTGATGATTTTATGATAATGGAATTGGTCAACATATTTTAATAAATTATTTAACTATATGTTTCAGTATCGTGATTCTACTGTGTTTAATTTATTCTTTGCATGATTTGAATTAATTTGGGTTGGGATATCATATCCAATCACATGTGTACAGTATTAGATGATTCAATGGGTGCTGTTTCAAGATATTACTATTATATTGGCTTAATTTTGTAAATCTAATACAGATATACAGATATGTAAATGGGGATGTGAAGATAATATAAATGATTTATTATCAAATTAAGCAATATGACCTAATTCAAGTAATTTTTATATTAAGTGTTAAATAGACCACATTTTCCTTTAAAGTTACTTTTCTAAGATTTGGGACCAAGGAATACACTTATTACCAAATTTTTCTACTAAATAAATAAAGATACTACTACCAAACATGTCCTTCTAAAGATTTAATTACTATTAACAGAAATTAAAAAAAAAAATCTACAAAATGAGCCCACCATTCTATTCTACAAAAATCAAAAGTCAGCCAAAGAAATAAATACATTTACACAAAAGAACTTGCTTTAGGAGTCACACATACTGAAGAAATTATAATGAACTCAAAATAATAAATGTACTGAATTTAAAGGAAATGTGCACATAGTATTTGGTGATCTTGGAACTAAAGATGCATATTTCTCAACTAAAAGAACTGGAAAGGGGTGTATTAAAGTCAGAAGTGTAAAGTTTATTTTCTGTTGGATTTCCATACATGGATTCTTTACCACAGTCCTGGCATATGGTCATTAACAAGCACTCCAGTGTATTTGAATAATGATTTAGATTTGCTCATGGACAAGGATTTCTGAAACCTAAACTATGATTTACAATTTATATTTTATGTGTATTACAAAGTGTTTAATTTATTGATATACTAGTAATATTTTTGGAGTTATACTTTAAGAAAAGGGTTGGTATTTGTGGTGACTGTGGAATACAAAAGATAAAGAATTATCAGATGTTTGGATGAGATGCTGACATGAACACACACAGATTAGAAAAATTGGACTTCTCTCAAAACAGAGTCAACCTTTCTTCTGCAAAAGCAAATAAAAATTTCACCAAGCCATCTTTAAAAATTGTTTGGTTGCACTCTCCCCACTAGCTGGCTAAAATGGCCTGACTCAAACATTTTTTTAACCTCCAGAAGCATTTAAAAAAAAAATTATTTCCAAAATATAGATTTTGAAAATTCAGCTTTGATCTTCAAATTTTCTAGGAAAAAAATTTCAATTTACCTATCAACCCAATTTTTTCAAACCTAGTTGGGAAAGTGCATGTAAATCAAACTTTTTTAAATGGCCCCAACAATTTTGATCCAGAAAAAAAAAAATCATTTATGTATTTTCAATTTTTTTGGTTCAATATGGCAGAAGAAAGGTGTCCAGTGCGATGTCTGACACAGAGTGACCACTCGGGACACAATGTCCACCTACCTTCCATGTTCTAAGATGCTGTGGAAAAGCAATAATGACCGTGTGATTATCGTGACACAATGTTTGCATGATAATGATGACTTAAAATGAATCAAATGATGTGCCTTATGCATATATGTGATGCTGAAATGAAATTTGTATAAAGCAACAAAACACAGGTACATATAATTTTTCTTGACTGTTATGGACAGCAGTGCAAAACTTTCATTGAAGATTGATAATAATGTTCAGTATCAAACCCAGTTAATATCAAAACCTACTTTTTTTTATAACATTATACATGTACATGTATCTAAAGACTTTCTCAGTTGTTGCCCATAAACTGACCCCAATCAAACATGATTAAAGGTGACCCTTAACACACACCCTCCACTTAAAAATGTCTGCAAGTAATTATTACCAAACCCTCAATTATAGTCTCACCTCAGTTACCATTCACTAGTACTGTACCCCTTACAAACCTGACCCAGAATTAATCTAAACACAATCTCCTGGCTTAGTCTCAGTTTAATTTCCTAATAACACAATCCCCACCTGCAAGACTATAAGTTACCATTTACAAACCTACAGTGTGAAGACTCCTGTATGACCTTGCATGACCTTATGTCATCTTTGACTTTTCTGTTCTAAGAAAACCTTCACATAACATCCAGACTTTTAAAAGACTTTATGACAACTGTTACAACGCCTCCCAACTTAACACTAACTTATTCTTAATAAACTTGCCTCTTCAGTCTAGCACTGAGTACCCCCTATCATACCCCCATTCCCCTCCCCCTCTGCTCACCTGTAGAGCCTCCTTCTCCATGGTGATTTTCTCCAGCACCTGTTTGTGGGCCTGTGTCTGTACAGCCTGTCTCTCCTGTTCCTCTATACTCTCCTGTAGCTGTTTCTTCAGTTCCTCGATCTCTTTAATTTTACGTGATAGTGCGTCTTCATTGTCTTTTTTGTGGTCTTCTGTCATCTTCTGCATCTTTGTCTTTGCCTTTGATAATTCCCTTTGCTGTTAAAGAAAACAAATCCATCTGTAAATTCATATTAATACAGCTATATTGTACTGTTTATTAGGACTAAGACAATGCAGATATCCTGCTACACAAAGTACTTGTGTATCATGATATGAAAGCTGCAATTCATTCATATTACAACATTTTTCAGTACATGTACAATTATTCCCATTTAATGCCCAAAAATAATCACATTCTTTAATAGTTAATGCACCTAAACATACTTCATTTTTAAAAAATTTTTTAAAATTAATCTGGTTTCATTGGAAGTTATATATCTAGTGCATGTTGGAATTATTTTTTTAAAATAAAAGTTTCATAACATCTTCAGAAACATCACAAACACAGAATGTGATATAACATTTTTTATTTTTTACTTACTAATTCCTCAATCTGTCCATTCTGGGTTTTAGTTGATTCTTCATATCTAGCAATAATATTTTCCCGTTCCCTAATTGTTTCCCCTTTGAGATTTTCGATTTCGTCGTTAAGTCTTCCCAATTGTTGAGTAGAATTTGACAAGGCGGCTTGTAGATCCTGGATTTTTCTAAAAATAGGTTCAATGATGAACAAATTAATTAATTAAAATTATTTTTTTTCACAAACTTAAAAGATTTTAAGCTTCATTTTTACTTTTTTTTCTCCTGTCAAAAATAACTGTTACTAAAGAAATGTAGATGCATAATTTGAGTCATGAGTACATTTTAGCTTTGATTCAAATATATTAAGTATAACTGTATTCCTCCAACATGCATATAGTTTTTATACCTAAATCAAGATGCATGTTAATAATTTTTTTATTAATTCAGAAAATGAATGAAATTAAAATCTTACAGCTGTGAAGAAATTTGAGATGGATTTGAGAGAAATTATTTACACCTAAACCAATAGGACAGAAATAAGAAGGTGAAAAAGAACACATCTCGAACACCCAATGGATAAGCTCTGAATCAGTGAATCTAGCAATGAAGTGACTCAAAAGCAACTTTACATAATCATCAGAAATTGCATAAATCGACCAGAACTAAATTGATGATTCAAAAAACTTCAAATGTGAATGCATCAAAATTAAAAATTATCAAAATAATACAGAACACTTCTGCCTCCCTCTAGGAATGCCTTCATTGTTACTTTCCTTGGCATCCAAATAAACAAGAGGCCGATGGGCCACATCTCTCACCTGAGTAACTTGGGTGAAGCAGTTCTCTTGCTATACCTATCGTACCCCCCTCCCTACCCCCTCCCCTTACATGATTTTAATACTTTAGAATCTACACTACCCAAAGATGCTTCCACATAACGTTCATCTTTCCTGGCCCAGTGGTTCTTGAGAAGAAGATTTTTAAAGATTCGTTCTATACATTTCTATGTAAAACTTGGATTCCCTATTGCGGCCCTGCCCTATCCCCGGGGGTCATTATTTTAACAATTTGATATCTTCACTACCCAAGGATGCTTCCACATAAGTTTCAGCTTTCTTGTTTCAGTGGTTCTTGAGAAGAAGATTTTTAAAGATTTGTTCTATATATTTCTATGTAAAACTTGGATTCCCTATAAGGGGTCATGATTTTTACAATTTAATATCTACACTACCCAAGGATGCTTCCACATAAGGTTTCAGCTTTCCTGTTTCAGTGGTTCTTTTTAAGATTTGTTCTAAATATATTTCTATGTAAAACTTGATTCAGAAAACTTCAAATGTGAATGTATTTCAAAATTAAAAATTATTCAAAATAACAATTTAATATCACACTACCCAAGGAACACTTTCTTGCCTCCCTATTTTTGTATTTTCTAGGAATGCCTTCATTGTTTTGTACCAAGTTTCCATTGGCATCCAAATAAAAGTTTATAGACGGAGAAAATGTTCTCTCTTTAAAACAAAAGGATCTTGAAGAAGAGCATTTCCAAGCAATGAGTACCATTTTTCGAAAAATACCATTTCTTAGATTTTAAGTTTGATAATAAAACACTACTTACAAAACCATTAATTTACTGATCTCTTAAGTCCCTTGTACTGCATAAGGTTTTATGTATTTTATTCAATGTAAGATGATGAGACAATCTTCCTTGCACTTACATGATTACTTAAGATAGTAACTACAGGGTTGTCCATAAGAATTGAAATAGAAGGGGACATTTCAAAAGAAGAATGTTTATGCTTCTTCCCTTGTAGAAGTTAAGGAGGCAATGGCAGAATAACCAAACTCTATCATTAAAGGTGGAAAAATTCATGTCCCTGGGTTTAAACACAACATTAAAGTAGATTTTATATCATTTCCTTTACAATTTTATCATCTTTATCTTGTCTTTTGAACCCCCCCATATATCAAATAATCAATATGCTTTTTTTCTTTACTACAGAGTTATAAAATTCTCATGAAATACATTGAGATCAAATTGTAAATTACAAATACTGTTTACAGGGAAATTTTTGCCATCATTTTATTTTTGCCCCCTTAGTCCTAGATACATGTGAGTGAATTTAAAGCAGGAAGAATTCAAACTCAAAGACAGTAAAATTTCTTCAACAGAACTGTGCTGGGCAAATTTAAAATGTCGCAAAATTGTTTGCAAGTGTGAAAGGATGAAAATAGCATGGGGTGAAAATAACCCCATTTACAGTTAATGTTTCTCCCTGAATTAGGCTTATGAGATGCAAGCACAAACTAAGTGATCATAATCACTTCACTATTCATACCTCTCCGCAACTCTGAAGTGAGGCATTTAGAATTTATTTACAGTACTGAAAGACAAAGTAGAATTTGCTAGGAAAACTACAGGATTAGTCTACAAACCTTTTACAGATAAAAGGTCAGAGGGGTTATTTGTTAGTGAGGGGGGAGGAAAACTGTAACTCTGTGCAGCCAATATATATATATATAAAAGCAAAGTCATGTAAAGCCATCCAACTATAAAGCTTTAAATAAAGACTGACCTATTTTTCTCCTGTACTTGATCGTTGAGCATAGATAGCTTGTTTGAGCTATCTCCCGAGTTTTTCATCATTTCACTCATTTGGTGCTCCTGATACAAAAGGGGAGGCAAGAAAGAAAAAAAAATCAAACTAACTAATAGTTAACCAATTTATAAAATTAATTGAAATTTGAAACTCTCTTCAACTCCATGTGCCAACTGATATTCTACATCTACTGATTTTCTTGAATGATTAAAATGGATTTCCAGTGTTAAATCTGGCTTTCTAGGATTAAATGATGATACATGTGCAGATACACAGTTTACAGGTTTTAAATTACATAAATACTTTAAATATAATGTACACTACACTAGATTAAGGAACAGAAATCTGAGCTAGTATATATTACACCAATTCTAAAAATATCACTAGCAATGTACATTTGTGTATGGGGACACATACTTCTTTTACCAGGCATTTGTGCATGGTGAATTGAAGCAAGAAACAACAGAAATCACTTTCAACTATCTGATGACTACAAGACTGAAGAGGGAAATTTTTGATTTACAGGAATATGACAAAATATGACAAGCAATAAAATCTAGTAACTCAGAAGGCACATGGTTTGGAAGGAGAAAAAACATAAATAACAAAATGAAATCAAAATGAAATTTTTACGAAAAAAAAATGACTTCCATGATTGTGATTTTTACTCCTCTAGCGGCTTCTATGTAATATTTACACTGCTGTGTGAAAATGACTAGCATATACAACATGTATAGCATATCCAAGGTGATTACAAAACCCTCTCAATGTGAAAATAATAATTCATGGATATATAAAATAAATGATATGATAAAAAAAGAAAATAATCATACACACACTCACTGCCCACAATGAAGCCAGTATATCTCACAAAGAAACACACCAGTTCACAATTTTACAAAAGCTTAGGAGGGTATATACATGTATGACACTGATATCTATATACTGGGTTGAAACACATAAAAATATACATGGGTCTCTGTCCCTTTTTCTTTTCAAACAGAAAATGATTTCATAAATGTATAATTATAGCAACTAAATACATTTCATATTCTATATTCTTGGGATAAAGGTCAATGTACATTATATATGTTGGAATATTTGACCTCCCTCACAAATCACATGTATGAATGACCATGCCGCATAGAAACAAATGTAAAGACATTAAAACATCCCTAATGAACCTGTTCTTATTTTCAAAAACATCAATGAAGGAGTCTTATGAATACACATGAAATATGGACCTAGGTATGACTAGTGTAGCGAACAGAGCCCCATGACATTTTTTAGTGCACACATACTTACCAGTTTCATTTTCTCTTCAGTTATCTGGTTGTTCTTCTCCTCACTAGAATCCAATTTTCTCTGCAATTCTACAGAAAAATAATTATAATCTCTTTATTCATTTCTTGATTATGCCTTTATTTTCAAAATTACTAAATTAAAGATAAGGACAAGAAAACACAGCTGTGCTACTTTTTTTTTTTTTTTTTGCTAAACCTTAATATCATTATAAATTAAATTTTATTTGTTTATTTTTATCGCTATTTATTTGTTTGTTTGAATGATAGACAACAAGGTACAAACCACTGAGCTGCGATTTCAGGTTCTGTAACTCTGTGCTAAGCTGATTAGAAGCCTCATCTCTATCTGATAATTGTTTTGTTAAATCTGGAAAAAAAAATTGTCAACAAATAAATTTACAAAATTTATTTATTTATTGAAAGGACCTAACCAATATTTGGATATAAAGGAAGACAATGTATGGCTGGACCAGGAATCAAACTCAGGCCCCCCTGTATTGCTAGTAATTAAAGATTCTCCACTGAGCTTTCCTGGCCGATATCCATTATACCTTCTTTTCCAATACAAAATATACATCTAAAAAAATGTAGGTGCCATTTTTATTTATTTCTAAATCTAAATACCCTAAAAATGAACCAATTAATTTCTATCATTGATTTTCCTTGATTTAGACTAATACAAATTTTATAACATAATCAAAGAAACCAAAAGACCTAAAGGCATAACTCACAAATTTGCTTTATAGACATGGAAGTATTTCCAAGGGAAAATAATTATCAGAAGATCCTGTAGTGCTGTACACAGCAAAACTAATCAAACCAACAGTTCTTTACTTACTATTTACAGTTTCTTGCATCTTTTGTTTTTTCCCTTGATTGGCACTTAATTCATCACGCTGAAACAGAACAAATTTTCAAATCTGTATAGCAAACCATGATGAATTTTACATCCGACTTCTAGAGACTTTCCAAGAGAAGGACAGAATACACCAGTCATTTTTTTTTTAAAGTCTCATCATACACAGACTGATTGTTACTCTACAGTATACAATTACTATTAGCAATGTCAATTAATAGCAAACAATTTTAGAAAAATGAAAATATATGTGTCATGGTGTTGTTAAGTGTGAAAAATAAAATTAAAACCTTCTCCAGCATTAAAGCACTACTACATTTAGTACTAACCATGCTTTGAAATTATCTGTATTTTGTTTATAATTATTAATTATTACAAATAGAACTAGAGATAGTGTGAGCAATGAGTTCACAAAAGGATACCCCCTCTCCACTCTATGGCTATACCCCCACAACTAATGAATGTACAAACAGACTGAAGGGCATTTCATTGGACACCCTAATCACTATATACCCCTCCCACTTTTCAAGTGGAGGCATAAAAAGAAAAGAATCACACCAAAAGTCACCCTATATTTGAAAAATCACCAATTTACCACAACAAAACCACATACAAAACAATTCAGAACTTCATATTTAACCCACACTGCCACCATTCTGAAAGAACAATCACTTCATTATATAAGATTAAGGAATACAGGGAGTTATATTATTTTACTTGGGGAAAGGTATGTCATACATTTCATTCATTACAGACATTCCAAAGAAGGAAAAGAAGCAAAATGCATCAAAGCACTATACGTGTAAATAGGTTGGAAGGTCATGCTTTTTCTATAGGAATACTAATGTGAGTTTTTCCTAAATTCATTTGGTACATTTGAGTAAACCTGGACAGAGATAAGTAAATTTTAAGTTATACCGGTATAATATCAAAATCTAATAAAATATACATATTAGTTACAATGTGACTAAGTGCTCTGTGGCATATTTTCTTGTTTAATTGTGCAAGGGATTAGTGATTTTCAGGGGAGGATCAAGCTTCTATCTGTCCACTGCAACACAACAGACACTGCTGACAAAGACACGGCAAAAATTTTAAAATTTCACTTCAATCTGTCAATATAACTTGGATTTCTTCAAATTTTTCGGCAGAGAAAAATGCCCTCAATTTAGTGGCCTGGGAAAATGCATGCAAAATTGAATTCTATGTCTTTTTGTCTATGAGATAAAAACAGGTAGAATTCAGTAGGATAAGAAAGGATTGTCCGATCCATTCAAGATATTTTTGTTTACCTGAGCTTCGAGACAAATCACCTTCAAAAGGAAACATACTGTAAGCATACAAATTCTATTTCAGGTGTAATTTTTCTGAGGTTTTACGCAACTTAAAAATCTACCATGTGTAAACAAAAAAAAAAAAAATTCTACAGTAAGCTAAGTCACATAAAAAGGTCATACATATACATGTAAAAATAATAAATTTCTAATCATGGTCTAGTCATCAAATCACCCTGCATAAAAAAGGGGGAAAAATCAACTCCACAATCTGTATAAATCTGGTAATGTCAGTGCCAAATCATTCCATTTCTGCATGCATGTCAGAAAAAAGCCAAGCCAAGCTCGTGCAACTATAGATATACAGCAAAAAGAGTGACGTAGTCTGTCCTTCACTTACAAGTTTTATATAAATTTACAAATCACCGCAACCAAACAACAGTTCCAGCCGACAAAGACCAATTTTCTACAGAAAAAAGATCAATTCAGAATCGTGATCCTCTACAGAGAAATTTGTGCAGAAAAAAAGTTTTTTTAAAAAGTTTGAAAAAAAGTGAATTAGTTTTTTCCTTGCAAAATTTTTTCAGCATACATATTTTCATGGAAAATGATTTAATGCTATGAAATGAAACATTAAGGTGAAAATAATTTTCGATAATCACATTTCCTTTCAGAGTTATTCTATAATTTTTTCAATCTTGATATTAAAAATTCTGCAGTTTTTAATGCATGTATGTGAAAGTAAAGTATGTCTTTCATAAAGCAACTACTCTATGTTATGAAGAATCAATTAAGATACATGTACGTAAAAATCACAACTGTGTCATTTTTAAGCTTGATTCAAGGTGCGATTATTAGCAGCCATATTTACTACAGTCAATTACTAGAGATGCTCAGTTTATCATATAAACATCTAAAAAATCATCAATTTCTAAGCAATAGCCTTAAAAGTTTTAATTGTGGGATATAGTATCAAACACACATGATATAAACTGCATGTCTACTGTAAAGCTATGAAAAATGCATATGATACAAATGCTTGAATTTCACACACTGAATAGAATGGGAGGAAAATGACTCTGTGCTAGAATCATGCTTTTGCTGCTATGCTGCACAGGCAGCATACATACCACTTCATGCAGTTTGGAGTGAAGATCTTTAATTTCTTTATCACGAGTCGAGAGAATGTCTTCTAGTTCCATAAGTCGGTTAGATTTCTCCACCAACTCTATGCTTACTTGACTGGCCTGAAAAGGTGCAGAGTTGATGAAGAAAATATAAAAGCAGAGAAAGAAGAAAAAACATTCAGTTTTCAGTTTCATCACATCAAGAAATCATGTGCACTGAGTCAAGACACAAAAGAATATAAAAAGAAAATGAATTTCTGAAAAAAATATAAAATTGCATTCAAGAAAATATTTCAAGCTGGCTCAAAGAGTATCATAATGCTATTTTAATTCAACAAATTCTGCAGAAATAACCATTCATTGCTCTTTACTACATTGCAAAAAGTTTCTAAATAAAAAAGCTTTTCAACCTATATTGTATGTACATATAGTCATATACAGATGCCAAGAAAATTTTCTAATATATGTTTCAATACTTCTCAATAAAACTCCTAACTTTTCACAGAAACACACAAGAGAAATATCCCTACAACAAAAACACACAAGACTTTACCCTTCACTCATTATTAGAGAAAGATTAAAATGAATAGCAAAAGCCTAAATGCTCCACCTTGGCTCCCTCCTCTAATCGTGACGATTCGAAGCTCTTGACTTTGGATTCAGCTTGTGATAGTTTGTGGGTGAGTTCCTCTATCTGGTCAAGGTAAGACATGTTCATCTCTTCTGTGGACGTCAGTCGATCTGTCTGGTCTTTCAGCATTGCCTGGAGTAGAATTATTTCTTTTATTCTTTGTACAGTTCTCTTTTAAATTTTTTTGATTGGGAATAAATTAATTAGTTCAATACCTCTTTAGCATTTTCCTTTCAATATGTAAAGGTAGAGCATTTTGTTTAAAATGTTTCAATGTTGAGTGCATGGTGAAAGTAAATTTTAATATTCTACCTTTAGTGTGAAAAATTCTTGTTCGTTCCTATCAGCCCTTTCTTTTTCTTTCTTCATCTCTTTTTCTATACTTCTTAATTTTTCTTCATCTACTTCCGTTCGTGACTGGAAAAGAGTGGATAACCTCTCAATTATTGAGGCCACAACACTTAAATAGCACTGCATATATTTTTTTAACATAAATATAACATCTCACCTCTAAATCATCCTTTGATATAGCTTCCTCTTCAATTTGAAATTGAAGATCTTCTACTTTCCTGTATATTTTAAAGACAAATTGATCAGAAAATTAAACAAGTTTAACCACCAAATTTGGCACCAAATAAAGTGTAAACCTATACCATAATAACATTTTTTCAATATATTACTTATTTTTAATCTCCCTGAAACACGTGTATTCAGATATTTCCAAACAAAAAATTCAACTTTATTGAAACAAGACAGAGATAAATAGTTATGGTTTTTGAGGACAACATCTTACCTGCGTTCATCCTCCAGTTTACAGTTGAGGTCAGTCCTCTCCTTCTCTAGCTCCTCCACTTTTGTCCTCAGCCGCTCGAGGACTTCCTCTGTGTTGTCACGGAACCGATCCTGCTCGCTCCTCATACTGGCCAGCTGTCCTTCAGCCTAGCATAAAAAAACAATCTCTACATCAAGGAAATGAGCTATGTTTAACATATTTATGCACTATCTTCTATATACATGTAAATCAACCTTATTCACAGGTACATCAGGTTGTAACTCTTATGATTCAAGGTAATGCTTCAATAGCTTTTTGTGATGCAGGTATAAATTGATGGACTTCATGATGTACTAAATGAAAATTTTAGAAACTATGAGAAAACAGAAAATGTGCAATGCAACTTTACACATCTATTTTTAGTTTTGGTTTATATATAGGTACTGGTAACCTTTATACAATTTAAACCCTAATTTTACACTGCTGGCATTGTGAAGACCTGCTATGACTATTGTACGATGGGAGATAATTTAAGAGGGTGCACCTCGTCGACTTGTGCGGCTGCCCGGGCCACCTCTGCCCTCTCGAGGTCTCGTTCCTTTAACAGCTGTTCAATGTGCTCCTCTTTCTCCTTCAGTGCTTTCTAGAGACAGGCGTGCAAGAGGAAGAAAGAAGCCGTGTTAATATCACAAAATCACTTCAAACAAAGCAGTAAACAATGTGTAAATATATGAGATTAAAATATGAAAACAAACCAAAATAAAAATATTAACATTAGAATTTAGGGTTAAAAATCCCAAATCCCAAAAAGAAAGTTATGAAGATGTGAAGTTCCCAATACCAGAAAAAATTGTTATTAAGGAATTCTTAAAAGTTAATCTGATAACAAATGCTGGGGAGTTTCTGTAATATACTGTACCCCAAAAGCAAATGAAAAGTAATCAATAGTTTATTTCAAATACATGGATAATGAGAAGATAAAAAGCCTATATATCAACTAATGAATTTCTAAGTTATTACTGTCCTCAAAATCTGCCCAAGTCTTGTAAAAAGTATCATGAATTCTTTATTTCTACAAGTTGACAAAACATTAACTGCATCCTTGCATGACTGGGATATTTATTTACCAATACCTCTATACACTGAAAATCATTAAGTAAAAAGTTATTGTACTGTTTCTTATTATTATTATTATTATTATTATTTTTCTGACACGATTTCTCGACAACTACTGGATAGAATTACATGAAATTTTCAGGAAAGATGTGTTGTAAGATACTCTTGAAAGTTCCAAGACAGTTTTTGGAAATTCCTCTCTGGTGCCAAGTTTTGGACCATTTTCCTGATTTTAAAACGACATTTTGTCCACGATTAAACTCAAAAACGGTAAAAGATATCAATGTGAAACTTTCAGAGTTTATAGATGATGATCAATAATTTCCAGGACGCAACTTTTCGTTCGTCGTCATCCCTGTCGCTACCGGAAGCCAATTCAAAAAGTCCAAATTTTCAACTTTCTTTGTTTTTCAATATTTTTCATTTATTTTTGGAATATTAATAGAGACACTTCTATTGATGCTTACTATATAAATTGTTTAAATATTGGTTGATCCTCTAGATATTAATATTTGAAAATCTGAAGCAGGCCCAAGATGGCGGCTGTCTCTGTCAGCCATTTCGCGAATAGGGGTTAATGGGGGCAGCTGAGCGTTTAATTAAACCATTCTGACATAAAAATACATGAAATGTGAAAAACTACGTGGACTTTCACGTAGTAGTACGTTGCAATTCAGTGTCAATCTTAAAACTTTATTTCCGTTTCACTGCTTTAGTGTAACTGGGCTGGGTACGATATGTTATGTGTACAATGTGTTAAATATACTTTCTTAACGTTGAAATAAAATAAAGGCGATAAGAACGTTTTATTTCATTGAAGCTAAAAACTTATTTAATAGATCACAAATATTTACTCGTGGCGTTTGGCGCAAAATTATGAAAAGTGCCCCGCCATTTCTGATTCGTAGACAGGTGTACCATTGCAAAAGTATACACAAGTATATGTAGAGCAGTACTCCCAGTGGCTTAATGGTTTGCGCGTTGTGGGTAAAAGAGAAAAAAGCGCATTCACATTGGCGACCTGGATTCAATCCTCCTTGTGACCAAAATTTTGAATCACTTTTCAGTTCGATTTTACAAGGTTTTTTTTCGTGAATCGGGGATAGTTATTTCTATTTTTTTTATAACAAGTCATTATGATTTGTACTTCAAAGTATGGAATATAAACACCAATCACCATTAAATTTACCCCTGAACAGGAAAAACGAGGAAAAATAACCCAAGAACGTAAAGATGAATTTTCAGGGAAGGGGGATAAATTGAAATTTTTCTTTGTAAAATGGGAGGAGGGGGGGGGGGGTGTAAATAAATCTTGTAAGCAGGTAGACTTACCTGTAGGGCCTGAGTGGTGGCGGTCAGGTTTAGAGAACTAGGTCGTTGGCTGGTTTTGGCCTGTGTGTTAATGGTACACCAAAGATTATCCCCCTTGCTTATAAGTCTTATTAGTATCATTAGATCACACATACAATACATATGAAATTTTACACAACACTAATAGGCTAAATTAAAGGTGATGACAGACAGCTCCTTTAAATTCTTGTGTGTTAATGTTAGCCAATTTTGTATAGTGTTAAGCCTTAATTTTGACTTTTGATATGCCAAATCTCCTGTTTAGTATGATAGTATCACATAATAATTGGTAATTCATAATCAAAAGTGTGTCCCCTTTAAAGATTTACCTTACCATAGTACCATTACAAGGCATTAATACACATATATGTAAACACAAACTGGGCACCAATGCCTAGATAAATGGAGCCCTTTTAGAAAAAAATTGAATTCTCAGCCTGTCTGCATCACCCCTTTGTTATTGTGTCATTAGCATATATAAATCATCATATAAGCATACAAAATATTATACACTGTGAATGTATACTATAATATACTTTTATATATGAATATATATGTTTTACATTAAAAGAGCTACTGCATGAAATTACGTCTAAGAATTAATTAGACAAATATACCAGGTATATATTACTTTAAAATTTCTTTTCCCACACCACTGTGCTTATATGATCGACCATAAAATGTTGAATATACGATTTTATTAAATCTATTTGTTAAAATATCATTATTAAAACTAAAACCCATGCATTGGCTGCATGCATACCAAGCCGAATATAAAAGGCATGCAGCAGGAACAGGGGCAGGTAATCAAGGTTTGTCTGTATATATGTACAATGTATTACAAGAGGAGTCTGCTCACTACAATTAACCAATAAAATCACAGTTCAACCAAATCAAGATTCTTATCAAATCATCTGCATCGATCTTCACTAATTGACTATAAAAACATCTAGAACTTTAAAATCCCTGTTGATATACAACCCCCTCCCACATAAACTTTCATGAGCAGTCACCCCTGAGAAGGAATTTCTTTAAAAAAAAAAAAGTGTATTTTTTTCTTCAAAAGTGACTATATTGAACAGATATGATTATATATGTCAGAGTTTCAAATTGGATATTTACAGAATAATGCTGCTGCAATAAATTACAAGCATATACACAGCATTATAAAAGCAGAAGAAAGCTTTCACAAATAGCAAGTTAGATCTAATTTTCAGGCCAAAACTGTACAGGAAAGTATCTAGTTCTTTGAAGGTTGATCAGGTTAACTCACCTTTTGCAAGAGTAAATTGTCATATTTTGGTTTTAGGTGGGGTGGGGCTATATTTCCAAGTAATAGTGTTATAAGCATTATATCTTTTTTCTTGTGTAATTCATATTCTCTGTGTAATTTATATTAGTATATGTTTCTCTTTTTGGGGATTAAAAAATGCAAAATATGTATATAACATTAAATAATTTTCAACTTCATATTTCAGAACAACACACTAAAATGTCATTTTCTATTATTTTATCATGAAATAGGCCTATATTGCAAAATAAAACAATTGACCGTTTTTTCAAACCATTGAGTAATATCACCATCAAGTACCCAAATCACAAGGAGCTTTAAAATGCAGGCCATCATCATAGCTAGGAGCCAAATTTTGCATTTGAACTACGTCCTTTGACAGATTCCAAAAGGAATGCATGCATATTGCCAAAGAAAATGCTTTGCCAATAGCTTCAGTAAATTGAAACAAAATCTTTTTTTACCGGTGACAACTGCAGTTTGCGAGCCTTGAGTAAAGGTAGCTGTATCAAATAAAATCACGCTTTTATGGCAAATGAAAACAACAACAAACTTGTGTCTGCTTCACAACAATGAAAAAGTACTTATAATGCACAACAATGCACAAAAGAAATGCTCAAGGCATGTGACATGCTAAGGAAATTGACATGAGAACAGCTAATATTTATCTTCTAGAGTTTAGTATAAAGTAAATTGTACATTGTAAAGGACATTCAAAAGAAATTAGATTTTCTTAGCATTATTATAGTACACTATACATCTAGTTTTTGTGGGAAGGAAAGTTTTAATCATTCATTTTTATTTCATACACATTACATTAAAAAAATATTTATTATGACAAATGGTAAACAATTGTATTCATAAATATATGTTTTAATACAAATGTCGAGATAAGCATTCTCAGAAAATAACACTTTATAATATGTATATATATTTTTAGAAAGAGAAAGTAGAAAAAGTGTTTAAAAGTGAAAGTTGCTGAAAATCACAAAGGTCAGGCAACAGCGCATGCAGCTTACCAATGCAAACTAATTTTCAATTTAATTTTTAATGAGTGCAAATTCAGCACAAATATTTTAATAATTTATCATATAAACACACAATAAGTGAGAAACAATAATAAATCAAGGTCAGCTTCAGGACCAACACACACGAAATTAAAATAAAATAATGAATATTAATTGGAAATTATTAGTTTAATTCTTTGATTTTAGTTCACATTTTGAAGAAATGAAACCCCCAAAATGTGGGCACATCATCCAGTGACTAAACTGTGCAATAAAGGACTAACCAACCTTTTTATGCAAGAGATTCAACTGAAAATATCAGAGTTACCACATGTAGAATGCTCTTCCTAAGAAGATATTTAGACTTAGATTTGACTTGAAATTTCTTTCAAACAATATTCTTCCATTTACACTACACTTTGACAACAGAAAATCTTAATTCATTTCTCAGTAAACCATGAGAAAAAAATCAGAATCTGAATCAATTCCCTATAAGCTTTAAATGCCAAGCAAGCCCAATAGGCCTGAGCAATATCAAAAATTTATCCTGACTAGGACAGTGTTTGCAATGATAGTGCTATTGGACACTTTTGAATTACCTACCATATATATTGCATCAATTTTCTAAACTTCATGCAAACTAATATCCTAGACTAATTTTTGATAAGAATGAAATGAAAGATTGAACACGACAGTTATAAAACATGCAAGACAGTTAGGTCTACATGAAGAGTTATTATGAAGCATTATATGGTATATGTCATTTCATTCCATTTTAGAGCTGTATAATACATATATGTCCTCAGTTTCAGAAGAAAAAATTGTGTTCAATTCAACCCATATGAATCTATTGACATTTGATTTTGGAATTTCACAAAACACTCCACTTTTCATCAAAATTATATTTCAAAGTCAATATTTTTGGGAGAAGAATGATAATTATGAAATGAATCTTGATGTTGTCAAAGTTCAAGTAACCTTATATATGCTGATATGTGTATAGATTCAACTTTCAGATTTATCTTCAAATTTTAAATCAAACTTTAAGGTTACCATTTCATATAAAATCAATTATATAAATAGCCATCAACAGTTATTCATACAAATATCTATTAGGATTTTTTCCAGTTACAGAAAGAATTACGATAGGTTAAGTAAAGACCAAATATGGCCCCTGTATGAAACAAGGAAAAAGATCAATTTACCAAATTCCAATTTTTTTTTTAACAAAATTTTTTGGTTTTTAGCATTAGTATGCTCCTCATTTATCATGATTCCTAAATAGTTCATTGTCACAATGTACATTACTATCTTTTAAAGACTTCTATGTAGTATTTTGAGGTCATATGGAATGTACATGAACTTTGACAAACTATTAATGGAAATGATTAAAGTTACATGTGAAAATATGGAGTGCTGGTGTGAGAAACATGAGAATCGTGAGGCTGACCTTGGTTGTTTTACAATAAAAATACAAAAATGAAAAATCTTGAATAAATATAACTTTGAAACTTTAAAGTGAAATTGCATTAAAAAAACGTGTGCAAAAATGTGACTTTATTTTTGGAATAGCCTGTAAGAGCTAAATGAAAGCGTGGAGAGAAACTTTTGAGAGCATCAGTATAGCTGCATGTACCTGGTTGCTGCTGAGGGAGTTGACACCCAGCCTTACCCGACTGCGGGAGACGCTGGATGCCGTGGAGCTGATGGAACTGACGGAGTCCTGGCTGCCGCTGCGTTCCCGTGACATCCGCAGGCTGGTGTTCATCAGGGAGCGAGACTGCGGACTGGGCGTTGACGCTGACATACTGGAGGTCACGTTACCTGAGGTCAGCCGCGTGATCTTGTGGACTGGGGCAAACAGTCCAAACATAGGACGACATTCAAAGTATCTGTAAAAACATTTCCGAAATAAAGATGCTGTGAATTAAACTGTTTAATAAAATCAAACATGTACCATATCAATTAGCAATGATGCAATGAATCTGAGAGATTTATCATCTGAAGCCGGATTTTTTGTAAAAAACATCTTCATGAGAAAGAAAATAAAATATTAGCTCGAGAAAGGATAAAGGAAATGCACTTCTTATTTTCATCTTGAAGTTCAAACCTTTTCCCAGACACTGCTCCATCATTTTTGCCTTGTTTTTCGTCCAGTTCTACTCCCGCCCAGTCACCTTTAGCAAAGTCTGTAGCTCCTATGTACCTCAGAGTGCCTGTTTTTGTCCCACTCACTAACACTCGATCACCGATTTTCAGTCCAGGCTTTTTGGTGGCCGGAGTAGAGGACACCCCTGCCTTGTTAACACTCGATGAAGATGTTGACAATGCCCTAGACCCTGCGAGTGGCTTAGGAGTTGTAGGTCGTAAACTAGATGGTAAATGAGAAGTGCCGTTGGCTTTCACCGAGGTTGAACCCCCCGTTTCTGACATGGCATCTTCTGGTTTAGGGGTCTCTGAGGATATACCCGGAGTTCTTGAAAGTTTTGAAATTCGTGAAAACACCCCCCTTTTAGGTTCACATTGAAAGTATCTGACACCTTGCACTGAACCGTCATTTTTACCCTCTGGGTTATCTAACACAACACCGGCCCATTCTCCAGTGGCAAACTGGGTCTCTCCGATGTATGCAATGTGACCCGGTTTTGTCCCGCTGACCCAAACTCGGTCTCCGATGATGAAGTCGTCAGTAGGGGGAGGGGGAGGCAGGCCATCTGGACCTTAAACAGACAACCATTTGTAATTTGAATACAGAAGAGGTAACAAAAGCAACTGTGAATGTTTAAATGAGCTAAAAAAAATAATAAGCTGGTTCAATAAATATAAATTAAGATTATTGTAAATAAATATAAATCTCCTTTTATATCAAGTATTAATAACATCGCAGATGAGAAGAAATCTTTTTAAAATGTTTTAAAATCATATCCTTGAATAAAAATAAACTTTAATATAAAATTAAGTATAAAATTTTGATAATGACTTATGATTTTGCTCTATGTAAAAAAACACCATTGCATTTGGGAATTTGTGCAGGGAAATACATATGCATATAATAATGATATATAAAAGTAGCTATAACATTTTACGATATTTATTCCAACTAATGAAATTTTAAAACTAATTGAAGCATTTATATTAATTCTATTGAAAACACTTAAAGTTTAGAAATTCAACAAGGGATGACTCGTAATACTTCTAAAGGTATAATAGCAATACATGACTTACAAATGAATCAATATTTCAATATCAAGTACTGGTACATGTTTAGGTACTTAAGGACAAGTAATTTCCACAAGGTATTTCTACTTTTACGATATACATGAAGGAAATATATTTATCTACAAATCGGAAAGCTTCCTTGTCTAGAATACGTCAAAATCCCCTAGTACAGCACTTTATATCAGAGTAGTTTATTGTAAAATCTCTGTACAGGATGAAATGCTGAATACTGCCCACACAAACTTATTAATATTTATTAATAACACCATGTGAAAACAAACATGAAGAACATGTATTGTAGTCTTTTGCAATCATGAGATAAAACCACATCACAAAAAGCTCCAACCATATTACAGTGTATAGGTTGATGCAGGAAATTTCTATTTAAACTTTTTTAACGTTTTTTTTTTTTCATTTTAATTTTTCTGAAAAGACTTTTTTTAAAAATTTGATTATTGATAATCCTAGCTGCCCTATGACTTGTGCTACTGTGCACCACAGCTGGACATTTCAGTGATGAGTGGCGGTCCATAGGCATCCGTAGAGGCGTAGACAAAACAAGAAAGCTGTGCAGAGGGACCATAAATATTCACCTTTTGTTCCAACCATTTATAATATGTATATATATATGTTTAACATAATCATGTTATATTTACACTTGAAACATCATGGGAAAAAAATCTTTGTTGATAAAAATTTCAAGGTTTTTTTTAAACTGTTTAATAGAAAGCTTGTGACTTTTTCAGTTTACTTTCAAATTGGTTAAAATGCAAAATCCCATTACTTTGACTGAGAAGTATTTTAATTGAAGACAAAAGAAAGTTTTAATCTTGATTAAAAGAAAATTAAACAAAGGCAGTCCTTAATCTTAAACCAATTAATTAAATGTCAGTGAAGCATTAATACACAGAGTTCCAGTTGACCTTTACAGATATAGGATTCTTACCTTTCCGACCTTTTAGTGAAGTTTAATATAAAAATAAATACATTTAATTACATAAGTTGAAATGTCAATTTCTACAATGGTCATATATATTACTAGTAATGTGCTGAAAATAATATTAAACAAAGAGAAACTCACAACTGAGAAAGCTATCCATTCATACATAATAAATTTGAAAGAAACGAAGCCTGTATTTAATTAGAAAGCATCTGCAAATATTCTAAATGAAAACAAGCTGGTTTAAATTGAAGCAGCTTTTACCCAACAAAAATCTAAGAAGAAAAACGAGAAACAATGAAGTGCAAAAATGGAATTTAGTCTATAAAACAACAAAAAAGCAGTTGACAGAGCAGAAATCGTCTGAGATGGAAGAAACTTGTGATATATAGTATGTAATAAAAACTATCTTGAAGGTTTTAGGCAATTATTATATTTCTCGTAATTGATCCAGCTACAAAAAAATCACACTTAAAAAAATTCTACTACAAATTTCCCTCTAACGATATACATCTAATTCAGACTAATTGAGTGAAATCTACTGCATTATAAAATTATTTTCCCAAAAATAATGTCTAAAAAAAATATCTGTGTACATCTCTATATATCTGTCTTTACCTGGCAGTTTTTGGACCATCTCGGCGGCATATTTTTCGGCTAAATTGGCGTTAATACCAGCAGCTCGGGCGCTCTTAGCAATAGCACCTTCAACAAATCAAGCATACACAGCAACTAGTCACAACTTAGGAGGGGATACTAAAGAGAACCAAACTCAACTTCATGGCTTTAACCCCAACCCCCTTTCAACTCTTAGTGACCCAACTCCCTCCCTACCTTGGCAAATGACCAATTCTTTGAGAAATGGTTTGTCATCTACCGGTATAATGTGTATGGTATTACTGGTAATAAACACTCACTGAGATTGTCTGGAAAATATATCACTGATTGATTGTAAATTGTTGAATGTCCCTCTCAAGAATTTTTGACTCGTAGAGATGCCACCACTTGCCAAGGAGAGCTGCAAATTTTGTCCTATGCTCAGCAGTCAAGGCCATTGAGTAGTGAGGGATCTTTTTCATGCCAGCACCTACTGCAACACGGGACCTCGGTTTACATGGTTTCAACCGAAAGACCGGTCTCCAGGTCTCACAGTGGGATTCAAATCCACGACGTAAAGATCAACTTCTTACTTCACGACCCTAGAGCAGATGCTCTAAACATTGTGCCATGAGGGTGATCAAGTAAATAAAAACATGTTCACGAAGTCTAAATATCTCCTTATCAAAAATTATCTCCATTTTTTTTTACTTTCAAAAGTCTTGGAAGTAAGATTTCAGAAGCCCATGGGTGAAAAGTACAAGTAAAGTGCAATTTTGCTAAAAGCTTGCTGAAAATAAAGGACACATGCACCAGAACCTTAAACATAAAGCCAGAAAGTTGAGTTTGAAAATAAAAAGACAACAAAACAAGAAAAATGAAAGAGCATTTTCCCAATTATTCCATGTTTTTTTTTAAATGAATTCTCTAAGACAGTTAAACATGCATTGCACACAGTTACTTTTGACAAAATTTCACTTCAACATTAATTTTTCTGCAAACAAATTATCACTGCACTACAAAACAACACTGAAGGCCCATTTTTCCCAGTTAACAGCACAAACATCAACCAACACTGAAATTTCAAATGAAAAGCAGATTTCAAAGTAGTGCAGAGGTGCAGAGATTTAGAATGGAAGTGTGATGTTTGTACTTTTAACTGCAAGAAATCTAATGTGCCAAGTGGCAAATCAGGAAATAACAAAAGCAGAGCAAATTCAGCTGAAAATTCAAAACTCTTTTTAAAAACATTTTCACAATATTTTGATCTTTATTAAGACATCTATGAATTTGCTTATTCAAAATGGGGTTCAATATTTAAATACAGTATGTTTAACTAAATATATACATATATTTCCAAAATTATTACACTAACATGCTAAAATAAACATTGTTAAAATTTTCTCAAGTGTTCACTTCCAGATAAGGCCAGGGTATAGCAGATTTTATCTGTAAGTATGATATGGATAGCTGATTTCCTATATAGATAAATTCTTTTTTCCTTACCAACATAAGCTTTATATACACAAGGATGAGACTGTGTTTACCATGTATTTTCATCCATTTTGTTAACAAAACTGACTATCAACATATCTTCATTTCCAACTGTAATTTTTCTACCCTGTTTAACATTGGCTGATAAGAAATTTTGAATAATAATTCAACAGTTCAAGGAGAAGTAACTCTAAATTTTAACAACAGTGTTTTTGATAATCATTTTCTTTAAAATAGATCTAGCCATAATCCAGAACTTTTTAAATGACTTTCAGAATTATAATTCCTAGCTGTTATTACTGTATTTATAATGAACCCCATCTTGGGTCAACAGTAATCTGCACTTCTCTCCTGGAATAGGTCATTTGTCATGTGTCTTTGACAAATCCATGAGTGAAATGCAGATCACAGATGACCTCGCTGGTGTAGGAACAATGACAACGTGAGGAGAAGCTTACTTTGGGCTTTGTGCACAGACCCAGGGGTGGGGATACCTGTACCTGCCGAACGGGGCTGGGGGAGCCCGGTGGGGCGCCCAATCTTGGAGGGGGCCTTCAGCCCCGAAGGTCGAGGCAAACTCATCTGAAATAATCAAACAAACTGGACATCAGTATCATGGAATAAGTGACATATGGTATTATACATGAAGTGGTCAAGAATAGGGAGGGATGGCAAACAAGATTTAGTATAACAACCTAACAAATAAAAGAATGGATCAATAATTCACATGTAATATAACACTCTCACTTCATTCCAACTATTGATTGACTATCTCTGTATTTAACAATCTAGACCTCAGAGACTCGGAAATAAACTAGCTTGCTCACAAAGTCTATTATCCAAGAATCTTTGTAGGCAGCCATAAGAACAATTTCCTGTGCAAAAAGTCACATCTGTCTTTCATTTTTATCATTTACTTAGTTTAAACACCCAATTTTATGTTAACGCCCCCAAAATCTACCTGATTCAAGATCAATAATTTACCGCCTGTCAATCATTAAAAAAACAATAGCTTCTGATTTGATTGACAGGTCAGCCACCCGTGCTACATGATAGTCTGAGTTTGTGTCCTTTGAAAACGATTGCCTGGTCACGCGTCAAACACTTTCATGTAGCCGCCTTGTATACACAGAAGTTAAAAAAGAATCTTGGTAAAATTTTATTTTAAAAACAATTGAGAGTAGATAATTAAAACATGACTTTATAAAATATTTGCTTTTAATCTCAACGGCTATATTGTATATTTTAGGCGATATGTCGTCCAAGATATCTGCTGTAGAATTTAGACCAGTCCGTGCACAGGAACGCTATTTGCAGATTAAAATTGGAATATGATAAATAGGAAAAGATTTTAGCACAAACGGCATGGATGAAAAAAAAATTATCCCATGTTTTATCTACGTATATATGAATACAATATATACCATGTTCCGTTGTAAAGTTCTGAAATGTCCGAAACAGCTATAGGAGTTTCGAGATTGTAACTTTTAAATTAATTTCCTAACATCTGTCAATACCCAATATTCGGAATTAAAAAGTGAATAAATACAACCAAAGATCAATTCTTAAAAGTATAAAAGTAATCTTGCAAACGATAAAAAAAATTTTAAACACACGAACACCCGGAAATTGTGAATATTTTCGACACTATTGTTGATCAGAACGTATAGGCAATATTCCTATCGCGGTACGGTGCATTGTATATGTTCACACGACGCATAGGCCTACCTTATAATGAATGGAATATTTTTTTTTTTTTAATTTTGATAATTACACAAGTTTAATTAAAAAAAATGATGTGTACTTTGTAGTTTTACTCTGTGTTCTTTTTTTTTAATTTGTCTTTTTTTCTAAATTAAAAAAAAACGATATTTCTTTATAATTTTTTTCTTCATTAGTTATCGCTTTAAAAGTATTTATAAATAAATTTTATATTGAAATATTTCAATTATTTCAAGTAGTTTCACTCAAATTTAGACATGAAACACGGAATGTCGACCCTGATCACCAGACACAGACTTCCTGTGTAATGCTACGTGTATATAGATTTTTGACATCTTGGGTATCGGGGGTCTCCAGGTAAATAACACCACTGTTACTTGGACCACTCCCCCTCCTCAGGTAACCGTACGGTAAAAAAATTGGGTCTTTAAAAAGGGTAAACTATAAGACAATATATAATCTAATATTTACTACTATGTAAAACTGATCAGATATAATATTTTTAGACTATTTAATACAATAATCAGTCAACAAGACCCAAACTAGTTCTATTTTTCTAGCCAAACTGCCTTCTCTTTATTCAAGGATAAAAAATACATACATGTATAAAGTATCTAAGCCATATGCAATAATATTTGTGGCATTCTTTATGAATGAGCGAGTCTGCCAAATGCTCTCACCATAGGTCAATAACACATGTATGTCCCTTTATAATGCAACTCTCTAAGTATTTATGCAATGTAGAAATAGGCTCAAGAAATAAATCAGTGTATATTCTCAATTAAATGATTTTCAATGGGTTTAAATGTCAATATCGGAATTCAGACATATTGTTTAAAGGGGATTTATGTTTGACAAACCTGAATAGAGATGTACCCATGTATAATGTCAAATTTACTCTATCATTTAATTTCCAGTGATTTGACCTTCCGAACTTTGTCTATATACACCAAATCAATGTAGCATGAATAACTGCAAATCATATCTCTGACCAACTTACTCCATAGGGTATTTTTTAAGGGTCGATTACAACCAATGTCAGATAACTTACAATTGCACTGAAGAAGAAACAAATCGATTCTTGGTGTTAATTGAATTGTCCTGGGATATCCAGACAGAAATCCTCTAAGCTTGGAGACAAATAACCAAAAGCACGACTAAGTGTTATCAATCCTCCTTTGTACAATGATTACTTGGATAAGAAACCAACAGCAGAAATGACACACATTGTGTTTTGAGCCTATCATTCATCACTGTTTTGCCATTGGATATAATCCTTTCACATATTCTCTGCTTATATTTGTGTTAAATCTTGGTATTTTTAAGTTCACAGGGGAAAATATTCCTGAACTAAAATTGAACACTGGTATTTCCCCTAATTAATATTTTCTTCCTAATATTTCTGTTTTTTGGAATTGCAGCACATGATCGTTTGTGTTTTTGTATGCAATACACAAGCAATACAAAAAAAATAAGTAGGTACTATTGCTTTTTTATCAGCATGCACATACAGAACAGATTTTGGCACCAAGGCAAAGATGATGGGGAAACTCCTCCAAAACATCTCAATGCTGCCAGCAGGAAAAAGAAATTATACGTGAAGTTCATTAGCAACATTAATTATGGTACAAACACCACATATTGTGAAAATCCAAAGAAAAAATATGAGGAAGCTGTTAGCTTATTATCAATAAGTATATACTTCATAAGTTGGAAGGGAGAAAGTTCTCAAAATAGAAACTCACACTTAATGAAACTTACACCATGAAGTTCACATCACAAGACCCCCAAGTAACATATAATGGAAATGTTTACATTAAACACTAAAGAAAACCATAGGTCAACAAAGGTCACATTCACTATGTTCCACCCCCCTAGGGGCACAAAGGCCCCTGCTGTGACATAACCTCCGTGTACATATTTCACTGTCCACAAAATGTAATACACACCTGTTGACAAAACAAACGAGCACCTGTCTGGGGTCTTCTCACCTGACAATACACATACCTCTTCCCATTTAGTTTAAAAATTACTTGACATCAAGTCCCCGACACTGGCTTCTGAGGAATTTTAAATACTTTGTGTAACTGATAGCTGACTGATGAATTTAACACTTCTCTAGAAAGAGCTTCGTGTATCTATAAAAACCTATACTTGTAAGCAAAATGCAGAAAATAAAATTCAGCATTTCTCAAGGGTATAGAAATTAAATTTCAAATTTCATATTAAATTTGTCTCTTGACAGTTAGTCATACTTTATTTACATATACATCAGAGTTGGTAAAATATTCATTTATCACAACATATGCCCCTAAACCCTTAACATTTTGATAGTCATTTGATACAAAAAACATCAACTCATAAGGGAAGACTTGCTCCAATGTATATTATAGTGATTGAAATGCTTTAAATCAACCCCTTCATGACAAGACTTGACACACAGACACCAATAACAACTTGTCCATATGTGTAATGTGTAATGATTCAGTCACAGAATTCGGCAAACAATAGCATTTATAACTACTATACCTACCTCTGTCTTCCACAACTAATTCCAAACGCTCCGTAATTATTATGCTGTACTCTTCACATTGTAACCACTAATGAGGTCCTGAAAATACAATTTTTAAAACTTTTTAATTGAGTAATACATTGTACCACCACTTGCAAAGAACTTGTACAGAAATTTTTTTTTATACGATTTAAGCAATATCTCTCTGCAAATCAGTTTCCGTCGTTTAAACCTTAAACAGACCTCTATCTAGGCTAACAAGCCTATATTCAGAGGTCCTCCATTTAAAAAAAAAAAGAGCTTTCGAATCACAAAATAATCAAGGCCTGTAATTTATCAATGAACTATTCAGTGATTCATTTGCTCAAGTGCAGGTTTATCCAGATAATAATCTGCGGCCGCTTATTTTATAAATAGAGATGTTATTAAATCCCCAAATCGTTGATGTTACATATACTTGATAGGCGGTGTCATCAATTTCAAGGACTCTGACAATATAATTTGTACTTTCTTAATGGATAATTTCCGAAAGTAGTATACACATGGACGTAATTCTGTGGGAAATATTTCCAAACTTGTATCCCTCAATATTACATCTGTTTAAAACTCTTTTTGACACAAAATTTCATTCATTTGGGATTTTGACACTGCAGCTAAAACACATGTACCAATCTGCCCTATTGTTCAAATGGCATTTAAATAAAAAAGCAGCTCTACCAGGCTACCAGGGCAATAAAATATAGACCTGTCAATACTTACATGCATGTGATAAAGTTATCAAGATTACAATTCAAATTCCAATCTCTGATAATAAGATGCAGACATTTTAAAATGAATGCATTGCCAAGCTGCAGGGCTTAGTCATCCCGTGATGACAAATTCAAGAGTTAGCCTGACTACAGAAAAAAAAATTCTCAGAACAGCTGTTTTATAATAAAATTTCTATGCTATAAATTTCGACAAAACATAATGGACTAGTGAACTTATGTGTTCATATACCTTAATTCATTCTTCTTGAAAATTTTTAAGGAAAAAAAAAGTGTATCTTTGCCATACGTTTACCTAGCAAACAAAATATTTCTGACAATCCTGTATCATCCATACCGGTAACCAACTATGACCTACTTTGATATTCTAGGAAATGAACTCATGGGATGTAAATAACAATTACAATTTGAAATTACCCCTTAAGGTGATACTCTGTTTATTTCACAGATTTATAGTACAATATTGTCAGGCTAAATGAATGAGGAAACTTACTCCGGTATCAACAAAATAATTGAATTTGATTTCCCATGAAGATTTCTGTTTTTAAAGCTTGTAAGCCCATGCTACTTCCTACTGCCATACTGGGTCAAAAATTAGCATCCATACACCTAATTACAATAGCTTAGGTTAATGAGGTCATCCATCAAAAAAAGAATAAATCATAAATCAGTGGACAATTAAATACTGAAAAAGGAAGGAAGCAGAAAAATCTGTACATGTATACCGTCTCCCAGATTGTTTATGGTAGTTTAAAATTTCCTATCAATAAAATCTTAAACTTAATATGTAAAAACCAGCAGCAATGTTCTAAATATAAATCTTTATCTGTAGAGCACCTTCCCAAAACAATGATGCCTACAGTTATATATATCAATGAATATTTTTTACTTTATTTCAATTATCTTAATCAATAAATATTTTTTTTCATGACTGAAATGTTCATTTATAGTTTATCTATGTGTAAATCATCATCTAAAAAATCATTGATAACATAAATGAAATTATATCAAGAAATGCATGTATTAAAGTGAACTCACTGTGTGATCTTGATCTGATAACAACCAATCGTTAAGAGTTTCTGGAACTGCTGGTCATAACAAATGTTTGAAAAATGAACAGTATGTCTTTTTCTGTTAACACGAATGAATATGCAGGCACTAGTGCATTTTTAAAGCAATTTCATGCAAAATGACAATCATGAGTTCTATATTCATATTTCAAAAATTACTTTATTTCTTTTTACCAGATTGAGACTTATCAATGTGAAACTAGATTGACCAATGAGTGGCCCAAAAAATTTGCTACTAGTTCAAAAAAGGGTAAAGGTCATAAGGTTATAGGGCATAGGACTAAGGATTACAATTGTCAAAAAGTTTTGCATTCATGGCAGATAAAATCACAAGTGTTTTCCCTGTTCTATATTTTGAGAATTTGTTTGGTTCATAATTTATGCATTTTATCCATAATTTACTGTTGACAATACCATCATAATTTTCTTAGTGCCTACTTCTAAAAACTTTTAACTATTAATAGGACTAAGCTTTCATGGATACATTAATATCCATTTTGACAGTAAGTTTCATGCATAACTGCCATCCTAGCTCATATAAATGAGTGTAATTAATGTCTTTGAAGGAATTCTTATCAGAAGTATGTGTCAACAGCTAGTAGAATGCAGGTTTGCACTATACCCAAACAGAGTAATTTCAACTGTATCCAGTGATATAGTTCAGACATTTGTAAAAATAAAGCTTTCTTAGTACAAACACTACACATTAAGAAACAACAAAATCCTGAATTCAGATCAAGGCATGTTGGAATGGAAGCAATACTGGCAGGGATTTTTTTACCCTTTGATTCCAGGGGCTGGGGCCGTCCAGATTGGGAAAAACAGCGATATTTGGTTGAAATTGGGAAAAATATCTTCATACAAATAAAAAGGAAATAACAAGCAAAAGTCAACCGTTTCATTTTTTTTCTTATCTTTTATTGTATGAAACTGGCTTCAATCAGCTTTACTGATATGAAATAATAGCGGCTGTTGAAGTTTAGAAGCTAAAAAATGGCAAAGCCGCCGAGTATGATAAAATTGTAAATGAACATATTTATATGTTGTCATCTTTATTTTTACCTTATTTAAGAAGTTCGTTAAAAAAATGAAATTTGATAATAATAATAATAATAATATCCTTTATTTATGCAGGATGGCACAATTAGTTTATTAGGTTTGTTCCTGATGAGTGATTAATCGGTACTGATTGACTAGTTTATAAGAATAAGACTAAAGAGCGATTCAACCCAGCCTGAAAATTACCGTCTGGGGCAAACTGGAGAGACCGCCATGATGCACATTAAGTTATTAAATACCGATCCCGACTTTAATTTTTAAACATTGATCCTGCTTTAGAAACATCCGTAGTATTCCGAATGACTTCTCGGATGGCTCCTACATCGCACATATTATTTATCGTTTACGGAAATGGCCGAGTATTTGCGATTGCATCGCACATATAGGGAACGTAACACCTGTTTTTCGTTGTTTTATTTTAATAATTTACAACTTAACACTTTTTTTCAATTTGGGAATTTTTAGGTGTAATTTTGGGAAAAACATGCACTTTTCAGCATTGGGAATGGGGCCGAATTTCGGCCCCAGAGAGACCCTAAAAAATCCCTGACTGGTTTTATTGTAGTTAGAATAATCTAACTGTGTCTCGGTACAAGCCCTCACCACAGTTAGAATACGTCCCATATACTTGCAATGTAGCAGATCGGAGCGGATCCGCTCCGAAACGATTTTGAAGAATATAAAATGATTTGCACTGGGAATAACTACCAAAATAATTAAAACAAACCTTTTTGAGATTGCTTATGCCTTTTATCCCAAACAATAATCCATCTAAAGACGAAAATCCAATTAATTTTCTCAATGTTTTTCTCTCGATTCAAATTACCTGCCATGTTTACATTCGGAACTCTCTAGATTGTTCCTAGTAAATGCACTATGCGAATTATCGCCCGTGTTTCTTTCTGCTACATTACGAATACATCCCGTTAAACCGACAATATCATTTTAACGATAGTTTTAGTTTTATTGCATTTAAACATTCATGTCACATCACTTCATAAATTACTTTACAAACATCCTATACAGAAATATTCAACTGTTAAACATTTATCTATTCATTATCTATGCCTGAGTTTTGCAAATTCCACCTGTCTACTTGCAGGTCGATCTATGCATATTCATCAATCCACAGTGATTGTATTAAAACAATCGTAAGTCAAGGTAGATGGTAGATAAACTTTATGTACACACAATGGACATAATTTTTTTCTGTGATGAGAACTCAACTGACCAGGCACATAACGTCTATCTGAACAAACAGATGAAGGATATGCAGAACAGTGACACATCACTAAAGATAACTTTCACGAACAGACTGAACATATGACAATTTAATCATGTCACAAGAAAAAATGGCACTGTCATAACTGTAAATGTATAATTCATGTATTGATATTAATATACCTGTAAACTTTCAATAAAAAAAATCCCTCAAAAGCAAATATGACAGGCAGACAGGAGTGGAAATTGAAAATAATGCAATCACGCATGCTCTACGATCAAACCACTTCCTGCCGAGGGAGATAACTCTAACTGAAAAAAAATATATCAAAATACGATGCTTTAAGTTTACACTGTTAAGTGTATTTTCTAAAGAAAGAATTTATAGATATCAGATCTAAGCTAAATTGCTAAATGATCAGTTTTGTGTGCAAGGTGAAGGGGGTGTAAAATTATGATTCTTTGAAATGTTGCTTTTATTGTCAAATCACGCATATATTATATATAATTTTTTTCGGCTGTAAGTTTGGAAATTTACGTATTAGTCATTAATAAATAACAATTAAAAATGAAAGTTTGACAATTTTAAAACAAAATCCTTTTAATTTTTTTCAACCAAAACTAAAGCTCGTTCCCAATGAAAAATAAAATGAAAACAACAAATAATAAACTAATTACCTATATAAATATACATTTGTGTATTGCGTACATGTGTATAGTATATCGCTTTAAATAAGTTTTTAAATTAAAGCATGCTGAATCTGACCGAAATTTGCATCATTTTGCAGTCCTGCTATCCATCATCTTATAATCACGAAGGCTACCACATCAGAAGTATTCTGGTCGTTAATATCTACGCTATTAACACTGTTTGAAGATTCTTCTCTCAATCATGCCGAGTTTAATTTTGAAAATCCTCTGATCGAGATACAATCGAAGAGTAAGAAATCTTCTACATGTAAAATATATAGTACATGTAATAAACATGTACATGTATGCATTTACAACAATGGCCATATTAATATTCTTCTTCCAGAATTTTTTGATGGTCAAGGTTTGAGAACTGAAAACATTTTACACTAATGATATACATATAACAACACTGGGCACCTTTTTTTAATCGGGGGCGAGGCAACAAGAGAGAGAAAAGAAGAATTAAAAATGTTAAAGAAGTTGATTAGAAAAAAAGATTAATAAATTAAAGAAAGAGGGTGTATAATGCGTGGACAATCCCCCGTTCTGAGACAAAATGTTTCTCAATTTTCAAAATTCACAGAAAAGTTATATTTTTCTAAAATCATGTTCTCCGTAATGTCATCTTCAAAACATTTTATTTTACTGAAGGACTTATTATTTGATAATGATGGAAACGTAAATGTGAAATCTATTTAATTTGTCCAAAAATTGGAATCTGAAATCATTCTATATAAAAATCGAATATTTCTTAAAAAAAAAAAAAGTACGCTTCAACAAACCCCTTCGTTTAAATCACACTGACAGACATCGATAGACTATGTTAGAATCTTCTTCTCAAGAACCACTGGGAAAGGAAAAATGAAACAAAAGTGGAATCATACCCAGGTAGTGAAGATTTGATTTTGTTCAAATAATGCCCTCCACCCCGAACCAAAATCAAAATTTTACATATAATCTTTTAGGGAAAATCTTTAAAAATCGTCTTCTCAAGAACAGCAAAGCATTATTGGTCATTTGTATGGAAGGATCGCCTGGTAATGTAGATACAGATTTGTTTAATTCATGACCCAGGGGGAGGGGAAACAAAGAAATATTTATAAGCATTTCTTTAACATGTAGACTCATTTCTTTTTAAAACTCCCTTTCTCCTTTAAGGGTAGTTGGGGACCATTTATGCATTGAAGCTTTTCAATACAGAACTGATTTTTTATTTTATTTTTTTTGCTTTTTTTTTCCTTTAAATAGCAGCAGGTTCTCAGGTGAGCGATGTGGACAACAATAGGCTTCTTGTTAAATGTTTGCTACGGTCCTGGTAGGAATAACTTGACAAAAGTAAAATATCACAGGGATCTCAATGTAGATATTGGAATTATTGGTTACACTTCTCTGCAAGGCATAAAATGAGCTTTAGCTTGCCCGATACCAGTCGGGATCGGTATACATAACGAAATCTTCTGTGTAGGAGATACGAAAGAAAACATGGCGCAAATTGTAAATACTGAATTACAACGGTTAGGCCTATTATTGGTTAACTAAGCTCTAAATATACGGAATGCCCTCTAATATGTATTGAATTTTTGAATTACAGGTAATGTTCTTAATATACGGCTAAACAATAGCCTCAATTAATTAAGTGATCCGATTGCAACCATTTGTAAATTTGCAAATCAGCTGTGACAGCCGCATAGTCAGGTACTTGTGCAACTAATATTTATGTACTACAGTAATTGATGAGTATCCTAACCTGTTTGTTAAATTGTTATAATTACAAATGGAGTTTTTCAAGTGAACATAAATATGTTTCTATAAAGTAAATCACCAGGTCCAGTACAATCTCTTGATTTAGCTATATAGCTTTATTAAGCTATTCAAAATGGCTTTATTTAGATATTTATATACAGTTTTTCACAGATATGTTTTTTTGCTGAAAATAAACAAAAAGTCGCATTTGTAAACTGTATTTGACTCTTCATACATGTACTATGGACTATTAAAACAACAATCAAAATCAAAGTTAGTTCTAACTTTGCAGCTTTTGAATACTTTTAAGCAAAAAGAGAATTTCTATTGTTAGACTAACTGTCCACTACCTTGGGTGCCTTGAGGCAAGGAAAAGTATGATTGCTTCTCATTGTGCTGAACTGTTACCAATCAATTATCTTGTTGAACATAATTGGTCTCCATTATAATATCATTGCAGAAGTAACTGTATCAATTGCTTTATTTAGCCCCCAAACTTGTAGAACTTTGAGTACAAAGTCTCTCAAGGAGACATAATTTGATGAGTGATTTTTACATGCATTATTTTAAGAAGAGTTCAAAGTTGTATATCATCACTGCACCAAGGTGGGCTTTTTTATACATACTGAGAAAATTAAACCTTTAAGAAAAATGTGTTGTAAAATAGCTAAATTAAGCTATACTGAATAGCTTAATAAAGCTATATAGCTATTTAAAGCTATATAGCTAAATCAAGAGATTGTGCTGGACCTGATCACACTCTTTAGCTCACCAAAGCATGAAGTGGCTCAAGTGAGCTAATCTTCGTCACTGGCATTAACTTTTCATAACTTACTTCCATTGACCCATTATCAACCAAACTTGACATAAAGTATCTTTGGGCACTGTTCGTATATAATTTCAGAGATTTGTAGCTCCAAACTCTCTCCGAATCACAAACTATTGGCACACAAATGGACTCCAAAAATCTTGCCACTGCTTCTTTACTTGTTTCCTTCAGTACATGCTGAAACAAATTAGTTGTTTGCTTCAACAGTACTTTGAACAATAGTCATTTCTACAGGAAATGATTGTAGAAGTCTTAATTAGTAATTTAGTAATTTGTTGAAGCTGACAGCTAATTCAGTTAAGCCTGAATCAATTGATCAAGCTTTTGAAGTCCGGACAAGATTTCCCAAAATCACTTATTGTGACATTGGTCTGAGATTCTGAGAGATGCCAGGCTAAAAATTTAGTTTCTATGAATCTTGTTGAGTTTATATTGGGTAATAGGCAACGTCGAAATTAGATTTATTCAAAAATCTTGTTCTCAATAATAGCAAAATCAAAGTATACATAAACATATGCAGGCATCTGTAGGCTGATAAATAATGTAGATTCATATTTGTTCATTTCATGGCCACAGGGGAAGGACAGATCATCAAAAGTTGGAAATAAATTCAATAGCTGCTAAAGATGTATAGGAACAAATATACTGAAAGGAAAAAGAAATGCATAAGAACATAATATGTGAAAAATCTTTGACTATGTGGCCGAAAATTATGAAAATTGGTCATATATGTATTTTTGTTACTTTGCACTAAAATTGCTGGTCAAAACTACTCAGCCATGAAATGTATGGCATTACGTAGGGGAAGTGATAAAAAGCCAAAAACACGTGCATGTTGATGATGACAATTTTATGATCACATTTTGTAGTGCTAATCGATGCATTGGAGTTATAGACATCGTTTTCCGCATTTGCAATCGGTATAAATTTCATGCAATCATGGTATATGGCTGACGGAAGTTACACTGGTTCCAGTAATTGAATTGTGTAAGTGAATAAAAAGGCAACAACATGTTGCTGTGCAGTTTGTTTTAAACTTTTCAACAAAAAAGGGTTTTTTAGTTGTCAGAGAGTAACTTAAAAGGTTTCCAACCAACCATGGCGGTGACGTTGACGCGTAACAACGTCACATCAATATAGGGCTTTTCATCATGTCACCTCAGTTATTATCAAGATATTATCACTGAAACCGATATTTATACAGCAAACTATCATACCAATATTTTCACCCTAAAATTGACAGAAATTCTTTGCTCTAATTTGGTCCGCGAGCTTGGCAACTTTTACGTCGATTTTACTCTCACGCGCGCACGTACACGTCGTGTGCGTAATGTTTTTAGCATGTTCACACTGGGAAAATGTAGCCAGTGTTTGTCGAGACTTTCTCACAAACATTCACGTGTACCAAACCAGCTGGATTCTGTAAATTCTATTCTAAAACAAAAATTCATGGCACTCATTTGGCGGGGGGGGGATTTGTTGGCTTTGGAATACCGTAATACAGCTACTCTCAACCATTAAGACTATTGTCGGAAGGGTTGAATAATAATCATATGAGAAAGATAAATGCTCTGGTGAACTCAATGCACAGGAAAATCAATGTTGTTACCAATGTGCAAGGGAGATGATGAGAATTTTTATTTTAATTTTTGGGGGTATCGACATATCAATTTCAATAACTCAGGAATTATCAGTCAAAGTCACACAAGATTTTGGTAACTTGTAGATTAAAGATGAATTAAAATGTTTGATAACAATACTGGAAAACATTTTCGAAATAATAGTTTTACTTTAATTTAAAAGTAAATTATGCGTTTCTTTTTCCTTTCAGTATATATGAGGAATGGCGTAATTATGAAATGTTACTGAACTAATTTTTAACCCATGATTTTAGGAAGAAAATGTTTGGAGGAGTGTGATATTTTAAAGCATGGGAAAAGTCAAGAAAACACCTGTAAAGGTATATTTTGTTAATATTTGATAAAAACATTAATTTTAAACAGATATAATGAAATTTATACTTGTAATGATTAATCTATTAACAGATTGATTAATTTTTTTTTGATAGGATGAAAAGCAAAAGAAGATTTCAAGTTTTTTTCAGGTAATATATTTTTTGTCAAAGGTTATAGAAATCTCACTTGCCCCCCTCCCTCTCTCCTCCCCCCCCCCCCCACCCCATATCTGTCTGTGCTGACCACTGATCTTGTCCTGGTAATAGAATCATGATAATGTTATCAATATTTTATCATTAAATGAGAATGTTATCAATATTTTATCATTTCATGAGATTTATTTATATTTAAGATGAGAACTGCTTAAAACTCAAGGATATATAATAACCCCAAACAAGTCATTTAATACTTTATTAGGGAAAAATAGTGGTAGCTTACATTATATAAATGGTGCCTGTTTTGGAGGGTAACAGTTGAAATTGGCACCCCAAGGAAAACCATTGTCAACCGACGCGTCAGCGGAGGTTGACAATGGTTTTCCTTGGGGTGCCAATTTCAACTGTTACCCTCCAAAACAGGCACCATTTATTTTATTATACTGAATGTCTTCTTGATTTAGGATGTCAGCAAAAAAAAAAAAAATCGACGATCGTCTTTAAGTTCACGTTTAGAAAGCTTTCAAACTCCCCGCTACTTCGAAAGAGTTTAACTGACCTCTTTATTGTTAATTTAATATTCTAAGACTCTTTTATCATCTAAAGGTTCATTATTTCTGCACTCACAAGCATGTTTCGTCTGTCGTTTGTTGTTTTCAAGAAAGCTACATCGGAGACAAGCTTTTACTGAAGTCAAGTTTATACCGGTTCTTTCAAACGTGCAACAGACGTCTTGAGAATTCTACGGTGAACCGTACGCGCATAATTTCCACACATGTGGCATTACCGTTGTGTTACCCTTGCCACGTGTGTTGCTACGACTGAGGGTAATAGAACGGATTGTTAACTGCGTCTAAACCAATCAGATTGTAGTATTTAACATGAAAGTATAATAATAGTAAATGGCACAGAGATTTCTTTACTCTTGAGAGTGTGTCCTGGCTCTTGACAAAATTCATATGGGCTTATTTAAGCCCTTTTGAAGGTAAAGTTTACTTGAAGGAGACAGGACTGTACTTTCTTAGACAAAGAATATTGATACTTTTATTATAATTCAAAATGAATTTGCAGCTTATAAAAGTTGTTATCAGGGACATCACAATAATTATGTGCTATTAGCATTGTTACAACAAAGGGAATACATGTAAATGTGTAATTTTTATAAAATACATATTATACAAGTATGTTTATTCAGTCAGGGGTGGTACTGAAATCAGTCATTTTTGAAAATGATGGATAATGGTCAAAATATAATGTACACAATTTTCTGATTTTTGTAAATATGACATCATATTTCCATTCTCAAGTCAATTTTCTCATCCCATTTACTACAGTAATTAGATATAGTACACTATCCTGCCATAGACCCTTGTGTAGAGAAACATCTTGACAAGTAATTGAAACCAAAATAATTTAGTGCGCCCCTTAAAACTAATGAGATAATTAAGTGTGCCCAGACCCAACAATTTGATACAAAATAATGAAAAACAGTCATTTTTAAAATCAGAGATAACTCTATTTCTAAAATAAATTTCAAAATAGAAATGACTGTTTTTCATCATTTTACTAAAAAATGATGAATTTCCATCATTATTAAAAATCAATTTAATGACTGAAAATCATCATTTTTAAAAATGATGGATTTCAATCACACCCCTGACTGTTATTTGTTAACAAAAAATACAATATGAATTTCAGCAAGGAAATGCTAGTAGTAAACCAGCAACCAGTAATCTATTTACAACTCTTGGAAACAAACCCACAACAGCGTCTAAATTATCCCTCAAAAAGAACAAGTCCACAGAATCTCTAAAAACCAATCAAACTGATGCCACAAGTTGGAAAAGTGTTAAGTCTAGCTCAGTTCAAAGCAATGAAGGGCTTCCCCAAAAAACTAAAGGGGAGGGAGATATACCTCATAAGGAGCCAACTGTAATCCCGGAAACTCAGTTATTCAAAAGCCCTGCTGTCTGTAGGGTGGGAGATGGGAGGAATGACTCGATCAGTGACTGTGAAGAAATCATGATTCCTGATACACCGGAAGATTCAAAGGTGGAGTCTAAGGGGAAGAAAGGCTTTGGGAGAAGTTTTTTGACATCCACCACAGCAGTAGGAAAGAAACCTGGTCTGACAAAAGCAGAGATAATTCAGAAGAAACGGTTATCAAGAGCTCGGAAGAGTTTGGTGTCAATATCTTTGTCTAGTCATGTTAAAGAAAATATCATTGAAAAGGAAACTGGTGAAAATTTGGAGAAGGTTGAAGGAGATGGATGCCATGAGAGACTGAAAGATGTAACCATTGAGGTGGACAACAGAGATTCTGGAATAGGTCTAAAAGAAAGCTTTGATAACTCAAGATTATCGATGGAAAATGAATCACAGGTTTTTGGCCAAACAAAGATCGGAAAAAGCTCAGAAAGTATGCAGGATCAAGATTTAGTAGAAAAAGAAAGTATTAAAAGTGATGCAGAGAATATATGTGACTCCAGTTTGATCACAATAGATGCAGAGACACCCACTAAATTGTATGAAACGTCCATCAAGAGGATGTCAAAGACTGGGGAATCCCCTGAATACAAAAGAGTCACTGCCGAGGAGGATTTCAAAGACAGCAATGATGTCATGGATAAAACTAGAGTTAAGCGCAATCTGTGCAATGTAAAACCTATTGAAAAACGGAAAAAAATAAAACCAAAAGTATCAGCTGTGAATAATTACCAATTAACCATGAGTGCACAAAGGAAAAGTGAAAATGAAAGTGTGACAACAGCTGATGACGATGTTTTAGGAGAGTTACTGGGAGAGCTGGATACCAAAACGAGTGCTGAACCTTTGATGTTTGTTGATGAAAATACCCCCTTGACAACTCTGAAATTGAAGAACAGAAAATCCCTCTCAAAGAAGAAGAGCCCAGTGTTGATAAAGAATGCAGAAGTTTCAAAAGAGGAACAGGTCTTATTCCAGACTTTAGATAAGGAAGTCCATGCAGAATTTTATACAGCTAGGGCAGACTCTACTTCTGTGCAATGCTTGGAAACGTGTGCCCCAAATTCAACCACACCTAGCACTGCAGTATCTATGAAGCTCAAATCTTCCTGGACTTCCATTCTAGGAGAACAATTTCAAGACACGGACAAAGAAAGTATGGATATTGAATTGGTTGGAACACCAGAAGATTCTGAGAAATTTACAACTGCTACACAAAACATTAAGGAGTTTGCTTCCCAGATACCAAAAGCTCCTCCAATGGTGGATGACATTGAAGAGTTCCAGACTCAGATGGATGACAGTCTTTGTGAAGGCTTAGATGCATTGTCACCATTCAAAACAGATGTGAAAATGAACAAGTAAGTACATGTATAGAGTTATACACAAGAGAATATGCTTATAATGAATTGACACTTATAGCAAAGTGATTTTCATGCATTTCCTTAGGGTTTTCAGGGCCGTCACTACCCTCAAATTTGGACCGAATATCGGACCCATTCCCAATGGCACAAAGTGCTAGATTTTCCCAATTTCATACTTTAAAATTCCCCAAAACGTGTTTTCACGTTTATATCACCTAATTTTCCACACATACATCCTTTATTTGATCCATTTAGCAGTGATGTATAACAAATCTGCAAAATCCTGTCATGACCGTCCTAATTCGGTCATGGAATAGAGGTCTTTGTTATGTGTTTTATTATTAAACAAGGATAACCATTTTTTTGTATATTTCAAAGTGAATTATAAGCTAAAATAAAATCATGGATGCTATCTATTTCATTTGCATGTGTTAAATGACCAGAAAAAAGAAATAAATTGTAGATCTAGGCAATTTTATGATATTACCTTTAAAAGGAAAATTTTAAATAGAAACTTGATAATTTCAATAAAATTATTCTTTATAATATAAATTTTTGACTTATTTAAGATGCAATTAAACAGTAAGAAATACACCCCCTCCCCACATATTTTAGTCTCTGTATCATATGAAAATAAAAAAAATGCCTGCCTAGTAAGTAAATGTTTGGTCTGTTAAATATAGATTTAATTAGACCTTATGACTTATGTCCTGTAAATTTCAGCTTTTCAAGTATACTTTTCAAAGTGATAAATGGCTTTCATGATTAAATATTTTGCCGGAGGGGGAGGGTGTTAATACATGAAATTATGTTTAAAATTTTCCCAATTTGATAAAAATGTTGATGGAAGGGTACACAGCCCTGGTTTTAAACAAAATGTGAAGCTACCAAATATAATGAATAAAGTTCATAACAAAGCAAAATCCCCTGTCCCTGGAGCCTATTTATATGTGTGTTTTACTGTATTTTCTTTGTTCAAATGATGTTAAATTGTCATTTTATGTAATCTTTATCAGCATTTTAAGTGGATTAGCATTTTTTAAACTGGAATTTTTTACTTCTAAGATTAATAGATACTGAAACAGAACTCCCAATGTGTACGAAATATGGAAGGCACACTGTTGTGAGGAAAGAGCATATCAAGTAAGTACAAACATTTAAGGTTTAATTTTGAAATTATGAAATAACATTTATGCTTCTCTTTTCTATAAAATGAATGAAATAAAACTTGTTTTTGAATTTGGATTTTTTTCAGTCATGAAATAGTGCTGAATGTAAAGGCATATGACACTGAACAAATGAGGACATGTGTACTCTGTGGATTTTGGTAGGTGACTTCATCTTTCTTTCAATAGAGTGACTTGATCATTGTTTCAACAGAAACAGATCTGAGGCCATGCTGTATTTTCAAAAACTGTTTTAAAAATGTAAGTTGTATTTTTACACTTACAATGCTGACCATATGTAAAAATTCAATTTCAAAGTCATGTATTCTTGCATTGTTGATCAAACTTATACTCATAATGTTTAAAGAATTGAAACCCCAGCTGCAAGTTTTCAAATGTATGGTTTCTTAGAAATGTTTTGTTGGAATACTCTTTGAGTGGACATAGGGAGATACATGTAGTCATACGAAGGTGTATGTGAAAAATACTCCCAGAATGCTCATTTCTTTTTGAAGGTCAGATACACATGTTGAGGAGGGAGACACAATTCACATCCTGGGAACGTTTGACAGTAATGGAAGTTGTAGAATCACAGACAAAGAAGGCTTTGTTATAGTTAACCCAGATCTCCTGTTGTCAGGGACAACTGTGGTGTCTAGTATATTCTGCATGAGAAAGTAAGTAACTACCTTAAATTGTGTACATGTTGACAATTGGACCGTTAGGAGAAGCACAGATACATTTTCGTTCTTAATTTAGATTTGACTTTTCAAACTGCATATGAGATTTGGTACATCTAGACTCTGATGTCATATGTTAGAGATCTCAGTATGAGGGCAACTCTGTGCCCTTTGCTGCACTTGCTTTAAGCAGATGTAATTGAATATCTACGCTTAATCCAAAATGTTTTCTGATTTTAGTCATGTTAATGTAAAAACTCTTGTTTTGTGAATGAAATATTCTAAACTTTTTCTTCCTTTCCTTTATTTCAGATCCATCTTAAATGACAAATTCAAGGTAAAGATAATTCCTCTAAATAAGAAAATAAGGGGAAAAAATCTATGCCAAGAACTTTACAATACCATGTGATGCAGTGTATGCATTTCACCAATATCAAACTTTAGATTTATTGGAGAATTTTATTTGTTGCATTTTTATACGCCCGTCTTCAGACGGGACGTATTATGTTATAGGCTTCGCGTCTGTCCATCTGTCTGTCTGTTAGCTTTTTCGTTTCCGGCTCATAACTTTAATACTATTAGGCCTAGGATTATCAAACTTTGTCATCTGATGCGTCTTGGGTAGAAGGTGTGTCGCGCACAAAAAGTAGGTCGCTCTGACCTTTAATTAAGAAGTTATAGCCAAATATGGAAAAATCCTTTCCGGCCCATAACTAGAAAACTATTAGACTCAGAGTCATCAAACTTGGCCAGTTTATGCATCTTAGGTAGAAGGTGTGTCGCGGCCTATTTCAAGGTCACTGTGACCTTTAATTTAAGTGATTTTTTTAAAAAAACTAAGTCTTTAAAATTTTAAATTTCATAATCCTAAAAAATGTAAAAATATAGTTGTATCCTTGTTTAAAAATGTTAAATCAAGTAAAAACTTATTTTTTCATTATATGCTTTACAGCAATCTGTAACAAATGTTAATGTTTTGAGAGGAATTCAGTTTGTCCCATGGGCATAATTATCAGGCACTGGTCATATATAGAAATAGAGAGAAATTAATGAGTTTATTGTCAGGCGCTAAGTGGTAGAGCAGATCTCTGAAAATGCAGCTGTTATCTTTATCTTTAATCTCTTGGGAGTTGGGCAAAAAGAAATGGCCTCATAGTTGCTTGTGTTAATTAAGAGTTCTTGATGGCTAGTTCAGAAAAAGATCTTTCAATTGGTGTAATGTAATTAAAACAAATTGATGCTTTAAAGTACAGTGTATGATAAAAACTAATTTAATATTGTATAATATAATTAAAACTAATCCTTATGAAAAGATGTTAAATTTAGTAAAAACTTATTTTTCATCATATTCTTTAACAGCAATCTGTAACAAATGTTAATGTTTTGAGAGGAGGAATTCAGTTTGTCCCATGGGCATAATTATCAAGCACTGGTCAAGAAGAATTTTGATAGCAGAAATAGAGAGAAATTAATGAGTTTATCTCTGTAAATGCAGCTGTTATCTTTATCTTTAATCTCTTGGGAGTTGGGCAAAAAGAAATGGCCTCATAGTTGCTTGTGTTAATTAAGAGTTCTTGATGGTTATAGTCCAGATAAAGATCTTTCAATTGGAGTAATGTAATTAAAACAAATTGATGTTTAATGTGTGATTAAAACTAAATTAGTATTGTATAATATAATGAAAACTAATAATACATGTGTTCATTGAAATAAAATTACCGGGGTTCATTTCAATTTTTATATATTTGCAACAAATTGCAGTCACCATGCCTCACTTAGAATTTTATAGTCAAAAGAATAATATATTTTTGATTTTTTTTATTAGACTGTAGCATTTCCATTATTCCATTAAATATGCAATAAACAATATAAGCTGCAGATGGATATTTGTTAAGTTCTAACACAGCCAGTTTAGAATTATATGATGTATAATTTGTTATAATTAATTCCTACACTGTAAGTCTCTTAGAGATGTATGTACAATATTTTAAACATGATAAGAAATGGAAATTAGATCATTGAAATCTGGGTCAATCTGTTAATCAAGGTTATCTGATTTTCTTGCACCTTAACCAATTTATGATTATTGAACAATATATTTGACGGGCGTATCATGCTGTGGCGGGGCACTTTATTTTTCATTTTGTTGGACCTACAGACATGAAAAATATACTTGAAATAAAAAAAGACCTATTATTATTCAGGGCTGTGACAGAGGAAACATCCAGATGTTATATGGCAGCATCATCCACTCAGTATTTCAAGAGGTAATCTCTCCTTTGATATATACACATGTACCAGATTAACAGTTGAAATGTTCTGTACGCTGTAGTACATGTATAGGAATACAAAAGTATATTTTTTGCAAATGTTCCTAGAACAACAAAGCCACTGTACTTCATTGTTTACAAACAAGCATTGTTATGTACAGTTTTCTTAGGGATCTTCAACATCAATATATCAAATACCATAGATATGTTAAATTGAGATAAAGTTTTTGTTCTGATTCTTTTGGGTTGAAGTTAATGTGGTTTAACTGTATACTAAATTTTGTTCCCTGTCATTAGTCGTAACCTTAAAGATTGGGCAAATGTTGACAATTGGAGTTCACAGTTAATAGGCTTTCAAACGTAGTTATCCCGAATTTGAAGGAATAAGAAAAAAACTTCAAAATCTCTGAGGGTTTGAAATATTGGCTAATATACAACTCAGTTTTTAAGCTAGTGCAAGTAACTTGTCTATGTTTTATGACAGGTTTTAAGAAAACAGCTGTATGAAGAGAACCAAATCACAACAGAGGCAGAAAACACAATGAAACAGAGCAAATTTATCCACGAAATGTAAGTTAGGATAACAATGAATTCATTAAACAAAATTATTCTGTCGTTGAATTAGCAAAATAAACTCTGTTTAATCATACAGGATTGTGAAAGAAAATTTGCCTATTTCTTCTGTTTTTTTTTTCAAAGTAAAATATGATGGACAGTCTGTTATTGCAAATGGTATGGACTTATGACAATGCATTTTATATCACCTTAATCATTCATGTGACCTGTGTGTATTTCTTTCTGTACCTGTCCTCCGTCATAAAATCTACAAAGAGAGTACACAATTGAACATTTCAGCTTCTTACTTTTAAAAAAAAAATCAATTGAAAAATTTTTTTTTAGGTATGGCAATGGTGTGACAGATTTACAAGTATTGGAAGAAATTAAAAAATATATCCCACCCTTACAGAGCTGGTTACTGAAACATACTCGGTACACTCAGAGTATGATAGGAGCTCAAAGGTAGGAATTTACACTGAGTACACTTACAGTAATAGGAACTTAAAAATAGAAAAATATATAATGAGTACACTCAGAGTATGATAGGAACTCCAAGTTAAGGGAAAATATTGAGTACACTCAAAGTATGATGGTAATACAAAGGTAGGAAAATGCACTGTCAGAGTACACTCACAGTTATAGGAGCTTAAATGTAGGAAAGTACACTGAGTACTCAGCTTTAGAAAAACTTGAATATAGGGAGATACATTGAGTTCTGAGTATCTGCTAATAGTTATAAGAGCTTAAATGTTGGAAAATACACCGAGTACACTCAAAGTAATAGCTTAGAGGTATGAAAATACACTCTGAGTATCAAAGAAACTCAAAGGTATGAAAATACACTATAATACACTCAGATTGATGCTATAATACTCTGAGTACACTCAGTTTGTGATGAGAGCTAATAAACAGGGAATTATGCTACATTGTAAGTTTGTTTATTTATCAGAGGTTAAAAGTGTACATAGTGAGTACACTTGGGATACTTATTGAGAGCTCGAAGACAAAAATATTAAGTAAACTAGGAATGTAATGGGAGCTTAAAGTTTTGAAATGAGTCTGAGTACACTCAGATCATGATTTGGGCATAGCCGCATAGGAATAGAAAATAATTCTGAGTACATTCAAAGTATGAAGAGAAGTAAAGTGGTAAATATCCCAGAGTATGATAAAGATTGTGTGTTGGGGTGGGGGAGGGGGTCCTCAGTTTATATCCTTAGACTGGATTTCATTCAAATACTCTATATAAAGGATTTTAAAAAGCTAAATAAGGTAATAATGGTACTTACATCTTTGGATTTTGTATTGCAGCAAAACGTCTGGTAATATTACTGTCAGCAGTGTTCGAGACATTGAGGAAAACATCTGGTCACCAAGGTATTAATTTCTGAACAAGAGTTTCACTTTCCTTCTTGAGAAGGAGATAATTTACAATACATTGAATTACATATCCATAACTATGTTCTGTCTATTGAGGAGATATCGTTTTGTATTTAGGTTTGGAGTTAAAGGCAAAATTGATTTGACAGTGGATGTTACGGTAATCTTGTATTGTATTTGCTTATCGGTTTTCCTTTATAATATAAGTACTTGTTTTTAATATGATTTTAACAGCAGAATGATAATATTTTCGTAGATTTACAGCTTTCATTGTAAAACTTTTAGGTCCACTTTCTTTAAACTCTGTAAAAGTTTGAATGTTTGTTTTAATATTGTAATATACCATCCCACGATTCTGTTTTAGCTGAATAAGAACCATAGAGCTACTGTCCCTCTGGAACTAAAAACAGGAAGAGCCAGTTTCTCCATGGAGCACAAAGGCCAAGTATGTTACTGTGAAAGTGGTTAAATTATTAAAAACTTTAAAGTTTTTGGATTCAACATAGCATGTACATGTATATATCATAATTATGGACATAAATAACAAAAATATATGACACATCTCAAAACACAGACTATTCTCAGCATATGGTTTGCATCAGTCAATACTCAATTAAAAATAAAAGTCTGCCATTTTTTTTGGGGGGGGGGCTTCAATTTTAAACTCATTTTAATGGAAAATATATTGTTTACTTTTATCACAAATCTTTGACTGAAGTATTGAGAATACAGAGTATGTCAAATTTGTATTCTAATCATTATGTGATAAAATCATTTTTAATTGTATTGCTCTGTAAAAAATATAAGTACAACATGAAATATCTTGCACACATAGACATAGATAAAGTTTATTAGATAGGAAGCATTGAGAAATGCGCCAACTCATATCTTCGTTAACTTGTTCAAAAATCAATTTCCACTAACTATCGTACACACTATATATAAAACATTTTTCAGTTAATTTGGCTGAAGCATTGAGAATATGGAGTATGCAAAATTTTTGTTCTAAACATTGCGTGATAAAACCATGTTTAATTGCACTTATTCTGTAAAATAATGGAGAGTCAACATTGTTGGGCCATGACAATTAACTCAAAAGTGTATTTATGCAGAATGAGTCATGAAAATTAGTAGTGGCAGATGGATTCAAAACTCCAGCATTGTGAATTAAATATATGTTGGTTTACAGTGTGTAGTTTTACCTGTTATTCTCTGGTGATTTTTTTAGGTGACCTTATACAGCATGATGAGTTCAGACAGACGTCAGGATCCTAAACAAGGTCTCCTCCTGTATCTAAAGGAGCCAGTGATGAAAATGATAGAGGTGGATCACATCAACAAGAGGGGTGGGTGACAGGGTGTACAAACTTCATAAAAGACAGCAGTGATACAGCATTAATTCTTTTAAATGATGTACTCTGGGCTTTCTTTAATTTAACTTTTAATAAAAGCATTTACATGTACCTACTGTAGAAGGCTTCACTACAGTTATTTTAGATTTGCACCTTATTTTTGATATAATAATGATATGAAATAGCCATGAAAATTTTCACAAATTGTGGTTATTGCTCTATATAAATTATCTTAAAAAAGAAAAGTTGATAACTATTATATGCGAGAATTTAAATTTCGCAAGCACACTGTCTCACGTAATTACTCGAATGATATTTTAAGCTGTCAACCAGCATTTGGCAATAAAAAGTGATTTACACTATTTTATTTTTAAAATTTGGACAGTTATTTTAGATTTGCAGTTTCGGTCTTGATATAATAATGATATGAAATAGCCATGACTGAATATTTAAAGACTGACATTGAAAAGATATGACATATTGCTCTAAATAAATTATTTCTAAAAAAAACAAGAGGCCCAGGGGCCACATCGCTCACCTGAGCAATTGGCTAGGAAAAAACACAGATCAGATCAGAACTGTCCTCAGTAAACTGTGCTCTCTATCAGAAGTAGGTTTTTTTTATTCCCACCTCTTTCTTTCCTAGAAACTTATTTTATTCTTATGCTGCAAGAAAATTCTTTATTTTATTTATTAGGGCTGGGTATTGGCCTGAGAATTCGTATTGCGATATATTGCGATATTTTTAAATGTATTGCGATATGTATTACAATATTTTCAATGTAATAAAAATGGCATTTTCTAACTATATTTACCTTAATTTACATGCGGAATGTACACAACTATGATAAGTAACCAACACGGAAAAAAATCTTGTTGATTTCATTTAAGTTATGCTCTGAAATTTTACCACAAAACAACTTCTGACTTACTGTTTGGCTTAATAACAAACTTTTATAAGTCCATTTTTATATTTAATGACAAAATTCCTTAACCTATATATATTGCCTATATCAGTGGTCGTATTGCGATAGAAGATTTTTTGTCAAAATGCAATATATTCTCTAATATCATAATTATCCCAGCCCTATTAAATGCAGGAGCATACTGTAAACCAACTATTATTCACGTCATCTTTTATTCACGATTCGTCAGTTGAAAATCAATCAGCGATGATTAATTTCCGCGAATGAAGAAACATTCTCTACAAATGCTTAGCAAAATGAATTGCTCGCAGTGTTTCTATTTGAGAAGAAGGTAAAAATGGACTTCAAATTTCTCGCACATGACAAAAGTTGACAACGACTTGAATATGCTTTTAAGCATAACTTAAAATTAATTGCATAAAAAGCTCACTTGTGGTTGACGTTATATAAAACATGTATGATGTTGATAACACATAGTTTACCTTGAAATAATGATTGTTTATAGTTCAATGTCTCTAACTGTTACAGGTATCATCAATCTGAGGAATGAGATGGCCTACTAAATCTGGTGCATGACAGGTTCAGAAAGGTAGTGTTGAGGACAGTCATTTAGTGACTTACAGCCTAGTGGAGAAATTGGAAGTCTTGTGTACTTTATTATACCCCCGCAAACGATTAACAACCCACGAGCCTGTACCAAATGTCCTCAGCTTCTCAATTGTGCTCTCTATCAGAAGTAGGGTTTGTTTTCTGACAGGTCTTATTCCCACCTCTTTCTTTCCTAGAAACTTATTTTATTCTTATGCTGCAAGAAAATTCATTATTTTATTTATGCATGGAGCATACTGTAAACCAACTATTATTAGTGTTTTTTTTAAAAAACATCTTTTAAATTTCATAATCCTAAAAAATGTAAAAATATAGTTGTATCCTTATTAAAAATCAAATTAAGTAAAAATTAATTTTTATCATATACTGAAGAAACATTCTCTACAAATGATTAGGCTATTAGCAAAATGAATTGCTCACAGTGTTTTTAGATATTTCATTGCGAAGTTAAAGAGCATACATAATGGAATTCATCTCTTGGGAGTTGGGCAAAAAGAAATGGCCTTATAGTTGCATGTGTTAATAAAAGTTAGTTTACAATACTTGAATATGCTTTTAAGCTATAACTTAAAGATTAATTGCATAAAGAGGGCTTGTGGTTGACGTTATATAAAACATGTATGATGTTGACTGTTGTAGAAATGTCGAGAATCGAGCTTTGTCAGATAACCATGCCATGCAAAAGTTGGTTCAGATATATATTTGTTCACCTAACACAGCCAGTTTAGACATATGATGTATTTTTGTTTTATCCACTGGTGTCTGCTGCTGGATCATGATAGAACAAAGCCAGATCATTGAAATCTGTGTCAATCTGTTAATCAAGGTTAGATCTGGTGCATGACAGGATTATCGAACAGAGAGGTTCATGCTGTTCAGAAAGAGTTTACATTTAGTGTCACTAAATACAGTGTATGTCTTCTAAGTGGAGATATTAGAAGTCTTGTGTACTTTATTGATAATTCATGTGCTTTTAATTAAAAGTAAAAACAAATTTTAAATAGTAAATTATTTATTTTTCTGAAATATTGTGGAAAATAATGAAAGTTGTGGATACATTGTACAGTTAAATTTCAGTGTCTTGAAAATTGTTATCTTTGTCAAAATGATTTGGAAGTCTCAGGCCGTTTTTGCCTTATGTACAAAAAAATATGTGTTTTAACCATTGTACCTCAAATCATTGGATATCATTAAAATTTTCCTTGGCTCCATTTAATTTTAAGATAATAAAGTTTGACTGTATTCATTGAAATGCAGTACAAGTAGCTCTTTGTGCAAGTGCATGTGCAGGTATTGAAGTGAAATGAAATGTCTCTATTATAGGGAGAAGAAAGGCGATTGTCTGAGTCACCTGACAGTTTTACCTGAAAAAACAGAAAACAGCGAGGACAAGGATGTGGTCTTCATTCATTTTCATCGAAAAGCAGGGTAAACTATCACTTTTGGCTAGAAAATGCTGTGACCAAGAAAAATAAGGCTCACTTCTAGTCATATACATGTACATTTATGTGTAGATTGATTATGCTTTTAAACAAAAACCAGTTTATTTTTACTCATAGATTTTATGCATATTATCAAACAAATTAAGTTATCTTAAATTCTAGTTTGCTGAACACTGTAGTACATGTAATTTTTTTTCCAAACTCTCTGCTTTCTTTTTAAAGACTAGGTAGTCCTCCCCTGAACATGGTGGGAATTTTGAAGCATGATTATGTAATTGTGACGGCAGAGAAATCAGAATTTGTAGCAGTGTGTGCTGGCAGTATAATAGACATTACAGAGGAAGAAGTAGTCCTACTGACAGAAAGGTATACCGTATAAGTAGATATTTTTGCGAGATGCAAATTTAGCGATTTGTCCTTAAAAACTGGTATTCTTTTTTTAGCGATGTAATTTTAGTGATTAAAATAGTTCACTAAAGAAGCCATTACAAATAAAACGCAATTAATTTTTAGTGATATTCAATTTTAGCGATCTCAGCTCGCTAATAATGCCAAAATTAAATCCTCGCTAAAAATTCTGCTTATACTTTGTGTTATCTGGTAGTGTATTGTTAGGTACATATTGCAGGGTGAACAAAATTTCAATACAAAGTAGGAAGAATATGCTGTTGGTTGTGATGTTATCTGGGGAATGGAAGGTGCTAGACCTAAGTCACTGATAAGTGTATACGATGTGTTCAAACCCTGATTTTATTTAGAGGAACATTGAAAGCCATCTTGAGCTTGAAAATTATCAATTATAATTAAAAAAGAGGTCATGTCATGATCAAAAGTCATGACCTTGACTAATGGAGATTCAAACTACATTTCAGGACCATTGCAGGCTTTGATATATTCCTATCTTGTTTCAGAGAAGGGTTACAGAGGCTGACGACCTTGAAATCTCACCTTTTCCGTTTAGACAGATATGACAGTTATAACACGTCAGCCATATTTTACTCTAATTTGTCTCGACTTCTTTATGATGAGCCTGTCAGGTATGTATAGGAATAAATCCACTTAGATATTATTTCTGCTTTATGTACATAGTGATATTGATAAATTGATATATTATGTACTCATGTAAATTGTGTTGTCTTTTCTTTTAGTTGCAGGTTACGAGAACTTTTTATTGAAAATAAGAAGCCAGAATTCATCTTAAAAATGTCTAAAGGAGAAATTGAAAAAGGTACATGATCAATACTCTGGTTACTAGAACTGGTTTGTTCACTCAGATGAATTGTGTCCTTTATGTGTAAAATGATAATTTTTTTTACTTGCAATTACAATTACATTGTTATTTTTTCAAAAGTAATTAATTACTTTCAATTACTTTTTTTTCAAATGTAATTAAAGACATTTTTAAACCCTTAAACAAGTTTTATTTTTATAAAATATTAAAGGTAAAATTTTTTTTTAAAAAAACACACTTTTTTTTAGCTCTACTGGTCAGAGACCAGAAGAGCTTATGCGATGGTAATGTTTTTGTTCTTGGGTATGTAAACAATTTTTCAAAATGCTACTCCTCCTACTTTTGGTCTGATTTCAATATAACTTGGCACACAAGTAGACTACACCAAGATACATAATTCTGTTTATCGGTTTTTGATTTATAATGAGTGTGACACACTGGTTAAACAAATAAAATTTCTGTGAAATTCTTTCAAAATGCTACTCCTTTACAGTTTTGAGTGTGACACACTATAACTTGGCACACAAATTAAACATACATTAAGAACATACAAGAGATTTTATCAAGTATGGTTATTCTATTTGTTTGTTGTAAAGTTTCAATTTCTCAAATCCATATTTTTCTCTTCCTTTGCTATAAATAAAACCAGTAATATCTGTCACATTCTTTATTTTACATAAAATGAAGGTTTGAAGTAATTTCTAAACCTTGATTTTTTGACATTTAAATCTCTGAAATGAAACAATGCACAAGGAGAGCATTTGGAATTGCAGTTTGTGCCTCACTCTGAAATCATTGTTCTTGTAGGTTTTGATGTGCAAGGATTATGTTCTTATTAAGGGGTACCCGGGAACAGGTGAGTGTTGTCACCAACATTTATTTGAAAGTAAAACTTCAGGCTGTATGAATTTACACCTTTTTAAATATATCCCAACTTTCATTGGGATATAAAGTATGTTGAAATGTAGGCTTGAAAAGTAATTGAAAATACATGACCTTTTCTCAAATGTATTTAAATACATTGCAATTACTTGTAAGGAAGCATTATCTAAGGAGTAAAATTACTTCCAATTACTTTGAAAAATGTAATTAATTACACTCAACACAATTACAATTACTTTATTCAATTAAAATCCCTGCTGAATATATAACAAAACTGTTGAAAAATAAATTATGACCATTTAATAAAAAATTTTTTTTTTCTCATTCTTTACTGATTGTTACATGTATTTATTAGTTAAGAGTATTTTAACTTTAAACATGTTGCATACACCCTGGACACAACATTTTTTTCGTTACAGTCAAAGAATTTCATTTAAACCCTTTGTACAAATGTTTATATAGAAACATATATTTAACAGTAAAATAAAAAATGATAAAAAAAAAATTATTTTTTTTTACATACGAACTCAAGGTTTGAAGTAATTTCTAAACCTTGATTTTTTGACATTAAAATCTCTGAAATGAAACAATGCACAAGGAGAGCATTTGGAATTGCAGTTTGTGCAATCACTCTGAAATAATCATGTTCTTGTAGGTTTTGATGTGCAAGGATTACGTTCTTAAATTGAGAAAATGGGTACCTCGAACCTTTCTCTTGCTTACCAACATTTATTTGAAAACAAAACATCCCACTTGTTTGGATATACCCGGTGGTATCTGTTACCTAATTTTAAGAATTAACACAGATTGAACTGACATTTTGATTGACAGGTAAGACTTCTACCATTGTGGCTCTGGTCAAGGTCCTGACCCTCCTAGGACACTCTGTCTTACTGACCAGCTACACCCACTCAGCAGTGGACAACATACTCATCAAACTCCTCAAGGTAATTTGTCAATAAAATTAATTTGTTTGTTAAGCTGATTCATTAATATGTATTTAATGTCACATTCTATCCCTTTGAGCTACAAATGTAGAGTTTGTAATTTTTCAGGAGAAAGTCAACTTTTTACGCTTTGGGAGAAAAAATAAAATTCATCCAACTGTACAGCCCTACGGAGCAGAGAAGTTGACAGAAAAAATCTCTAATGTGGCTGACCTGAGGGAATTCTACAATTCACAAGTAGGTTTTCAGCTGTATTAAAAATATATATATTATATATATTATATCTATAAGTTTAAAGAAGCTAATCCAAAAATTTAAAAAAAAATGTAGATGAAATTAACATTTTTTCAATCAAATTTGTGGGTAAAGCTGATGTTTAAAATTCATGAACATTGGTGATGATCCTCTTTACCCTCTGGTGTGATTCATATTCTGCTCAACAGAGAGTGGTTGCTACCACAGCTTTAGGGATGAACCACCCGGTCTTCACCCAGAGGAGGTTTGACGTCTGTATAATGGATGAGGCCTCTCAGATCCTTCAGCCCGCCTCCCTTGCGCCCCTCTTCTTCGCTGATAGGTTCGTCTTGGTGGGTGACCCCAAACAGCTGCCACCAGTTGTACAGAGCAAGGAAGCTAGGTAGAGTTTTCTTTGTTCAGCTGTTTCACTGCATGTTAATTTTTGACTGGAAAATTTTAAAAAACTTTTAATGCAACTTTCATTGCAATTTTATCAAATATCTTGAATATAACTTTAAAAAATCATGTTTTTATAAGTAAAATGAACAAGTTTAACTGCACAGCTTTATTTTTTCATTCAGACTTTCGCTAAAATGGGATTTAAAATGACAAAAAAATTGTATAGGTTTATAAAACTTAGAATAAAATGTTTTGCAATTTTTTAATAGTTTAGAAATTTATTATTTGCATCATTTACAATCAAAATAGACCCAAATTATATACATGTACTTATCCAGATATTCATCTTTTGTTTGTATCACCCGTCCTTTATAGATGCTATTGTCCTTGCATTGATAGAACAAAAAATACAGTAAGATTCATTAGCTGTGTCTCACTGCTGCAGAAACATTTGATATAGTCAAACTTGTTATTTAAAACTCAGCACTTCCAGGATTGGAAATAACAAGGATAAAAACATACAGAAAAAGTTGATATCAACTTTACAGATTTTACATTTAGTAATATAAATTTATATCATTCACATACATGTACGCATGTAAGTTTTGGACACACTTCTGTTAATCGGTGAATATTTCCTTCCTTTTTGTAGAAATCTGGGTATGGATGAGAGCCTTTTTGTTAGATTACAAAATGGATCTGCTACTTTTGAATTAAATCTACAGTACAGAATGAACAGGTATGGGCATTTCAATTCACTCTCTTGCTTTCTCGTTTATGGCACCTAATCCCATTTCTGATGTTTTTCAGAGTTCCGATCCAATCTACGTTTTTATTTCAGCTAGTTTAACATTAGTAAAATGGTCATTTTGCTGTGTTTCAATATGCTTGATATTTTGTTTCAATATTTTTCAGAGACATTATGTATTTGAGCAATACACTTGTCTACAATGGATGTCTTAAGTGTGGAAATGATGCTGTTGCCTTCAACAGATTGAAATGGTTTAAAAGCAGCCTTGTGAATGAAGTAATTTTATCAAAAATGAAGATAGAATTTTTGTTATAATTGGCTAAAAATAAAGAAAGACGATTATGTAATAAAGAAACCAATCCTTTCTGAAAAGATATTTATGAAATAAAAGATATATTATTTACAGAAAAATAAACTGCAGGGGGAAAATGCTGATTTAATTGAGAAATGACACCCATAACACACCCAAAATGTATTTTGCTCTGTCTAACTTGTTAGCAAAATTGTTCCTTTCAAAATTTGCACTTTACATCATATTAAGAAAGTTTTACATGTACATTTTGATGCAACTTTCTTTATTGAAGGTGGTCTTGTCATTTGATAACTCTTAAAACTTCTCTCTGGTAATAAACTGAAAATTTAAAAAAAATAATTTCTACAGGTTGTTGAGGAGTACAGCTGGATGAGAGAAGTTCTGTCAGATGACCCTTATAAGGCAGCAGTATTTCTGGACACGGATAAGGTAAATTATACACTTTTCAAAGTGGTTCATGTAAATTGTGGCAATATATTGTAGCTGAATAGGCAATCTTTGCCTTACTTGTAACTAACAGTTATATAACATGCCATTTTGAACAATTTGAGAAAATGTACATGTACTATTATGTTTATGGCAGGGAAATGCTGCAATTAAGTTAAAGTGATATCTTGTCACAGTGTGAAAGATATCAAAATGATATTTTGTCACTTTGTCACCGTGTTTAATCAAACAAAATCATTGGTCTGGTGGGTTTTGATTTCAATTTTGAAGAAGTTGGGAGTTATTTGAAAATATCAAAACATTTTTTGGAGGATATAAATTCGTAGATCTTTTCATACCACTAACATATGAGATTTTACAATAAATATTTTATTTCATGAGTTGGTTGTAATAACTATCCATCTAGAATTCATATTGATTTCATTTGTTGTAGGTGCCAGCACAAGAAGAAAGAGATAGTTCAGGGTTAATCAAGAATGTCATAGAGGCTCAGATTGTTACCTGTCTGGTACAATCCTTTGTTAAGGTATGATATAAATACAGCTTTATTTTTCATTCCAGTTTTACTTGACTGATTTCATACATGTCAACTTTCCCGATTTAGGCGGGATCCTCCCGATTTTACCCTTTCATCCCGCTTTCCCGATCGTGAGAGAAAAATTGCCCCAATTTCCCGATTTGAAAAAAAAAGTCACCAAAATTTCCGATTTTATAAGTTTTCCTACCGCTGAATTTTGACAGTCGGGATAACAATGTCAGACTTGTTTATTCAATGCACACAGACATTTAACCAGGTGTTAATCATGTTAATTAGCCACAGGAAATCACTTCACGCTTGAACACACGCAGTTGTCCAGGTACAAGTAGCTTATAGCTTGGGGCAATTAGGGATTATCTTGTCAGTTTTAAGGGGTATGCAAGGTGAAACACATAGGTTAACCTGATAATTGTTAGTTCTTTTATTAAAAACATAAATTAAAGACAATAAAATACTAATCAAACCATGAAATCGGAATCCAAAGAGATCGTTTTTTGAAAACGAAAGTAGAAAACTACAAAGCATAGCTGCTGATTTTATCTACCTATCATGAAAAATACTGTAAAGTTTGCCAGTCAAAATATTATGAAAAAATTAAGATGAAACAACCAAGGGTATGTCAATTAGAATTTCTTTTCCCTCCCTTCTCCCAAAAGTAATATGTTAGATATGTGCATGACTTAAGAAAATACCCACATGGCATCAAGCCTGACAAATTTCATGACTGTAAAAAAAAAAAAAATAATTCTCTTTTGGATAGGTGGTATAAATTTCTGTAAATTTAATATCTTATTAGAATTTCTAATTAATTGAAATATAAATATAAAATCTCAAAAATGTTTCCAGAAACAGGACTTTGCAGTATCAAAACCTCATATATTATTTAGCCTTTGAAAAAAAAATGATTTAAAAGTTGTACAATTTTCAATTTTTCACTAAATTAAATATGTGTCCTGGTAGAAAAAAAAATATTGTTTATATATGTAACTAAATACCCCTTCTTTAGTGAGAGAGGCACCTTTTTTAGAAAAAAATATTTCAATTTTGGAAAGAAATTAAAACATTATTTTTTGTGTTAAATTAATCCTTAAGTTGTATTGATAAGTGATATTAATATTATAAATTTAAAAAAAAAGATCATTTCATATCATTTAATTTCACGATAAAATGTCGCGAATTTAAATCTTTGAAAATTGTCTTCACGCGCTAAATCCCCCATGGGAATTTTCAAAAGTTGGCATGTATGTGATTTCAAACAAGGAGGAGGTGACTGTTATCTGTATATCTGTCTGTAAAATTAAAAAAAATCATAAACCAAGGTTCATTCTTCTATATCTGTTTATTGCTTATTTCCTTGTTTCAAGTCCAAGTGCTTTGTTATAAGTACAATTTATTTAGCATTAGAGCTACAGTCTTTTAGTTATTTATACAGTTTGATCAATTATTTTTTTTTATCTGGATTTATTTCTTTTTGAATTCAGATTGGTGTAAAAGAAAGCAATATAGGGGTAATTGCTCCTTATAGAAAGCAGGTGACTTTGATCCGTGACCATTTAACCTGCAAACAGGAAGTTGAGGTCAACACAGTAGATCAGTACCAAGGTCGAGACAAGGATGTCATCATTATATCATTGACCAGAAGCTTTTCTTCTCCAACAGATGCAGAAACAAAGGTTCACAATTGGTTGCTTTTTCATTATTTCCTACTTTTAATATTTATTTCCTTGTCCTAAATTCAATATTGTGTAATGGATTACAGTAGAAATTGGTTATAAAGAACTCATTTATAAGTAAATCTCATTTATAAAGAATTCTTATGAATCCTCCAAGAGACTTTACAGTATATATTTTGGATATGAAGAAATTTGATTATAAGGAAGTACAAGTTGAAGTCCCAAATGAAGGACTTTACCGTACTGTATTTTGAAAATGTAGGCTGTTTTAGTCCTAGTTTTATTATATATGAATTGTGAGTTCAAAGTACCTAATAAGATTTTATTTTTAAATTTTCAGTCAGGTGAGCTGTTAAAAGATATCAGGAGGCTGAATGTTGCTCTAACAAGAGCAAAGAAAATGTTGATACTGGTTGGGCATGTCAACTCTTTGAAAAGTTATCCTCCATTGGAATCAGTGATCAAGCTTCTCCAGGAAAAAGACTGTGTATCCTTTTTGATGGTTTTTTTTCAGATATCTCAGTAGAATATGTAAGACTGTATATAAAAATAAATATACTTTAAATTATTTTACCTTGACCCTAAGCAGATCATATCTCTACCTCAGGATGCCCACTTGTCTTTCAGGAAATGAATTTCAGATATGGTGCCAAATTTCATTCATTTATCAATTTAAGAAATTAAATCATTGTGAGTTTTGAACAATTTTTGTCAATTCAATGTTCATGTGATGTAAGTATGAAACTCATGAAATAAAGGAATAACTTATTTTTCTCATCCGAGTTCATTATTTTATTTAAACACCCCCACCACCAATCTGTTATCTAAGAAAGTCTTGGATGGCAGAAAGGAAATTTTTAAACTGTATGTAGGTAGTACCAAATATTATAAGTGTGTCTTCAAATAAAATGAGAAATTACCACCATGCTAATAATAAAGAAAATGTATTTAAGGTAGTCCGATCCTCAGGTTTATAAAATTAGCAGTTAAGTAATCAAAAATACTCATAAAAGTATCTTTGAATCCACAAAGTAATGTAAATTTATCCACAGTATTTCTTTAACGTTAAAAAATAAAGTTAATCACATTATATAGGGAAAATTGTCAAATATCCAATATTTTTGCACAAAAAACGAATTGGAATATCAGCGATGCATTTTCTAATTGTAAATTGATCAACAAATATATTTTAAGTTAAAAAACTATAGGTATCCAGGCATTCAGAGAAATTGCTATGATTTTTATCCTTATTTGGTACTTTTTGTCTTCTTTTTCCATCATGTATTCTATAATACATAGTGTAAAAGTCTTTTGCTATCATTGCAAGACACCACAAATCACTTCTTATTTCATATCTTGCTAATAAGCATTGGTATCTAAGGCTGGATTCAACAAAATCTTATTTCTCTAAAACTGAATTATTTTTTTTCCTTTTATAGGGTACAAATTTCAACTTTTTATAAAACCTTTTCTAAGACTTCCAAAAACCTTGAATCTTATAAAATTGAATAAAATGAAAATTGTTGCATGAAAAAATTTCATTTTCAAGCTTCATTTTGATGCATTACAAATAAAATATTAATTTTTGGAGTTATCCTTCCTGGCTGAGGATCGGATATCCTTAATACTATAAAAATTACATTTTTATCCATATTTAGACCAAACTAGAGGTACTGTGAGCAATGAGCTCACTAAATGATACCCCCCGCCTCCCATATGAATATATTGGCAGTATCCATGTTTTGCTCTGGAAAATCCAAAATATATGTCAGATCAAAAAGTAAAATAGGAGGTGCACAATGGCAATATGTAATAAAGATTCTGTGAAAGTTTCATTAAATTTCCTTCAGTGGTATGAGAGGAGTTGGGGATAAGAGATGGGTACCCAGAAGCGTAACAGACGGACGGACGGACAGACGGACGGACGGACGGACGTACAGACGGACGGAAATACCGATTACTATATACCCTCCCGCTTTTCAAGCGGGGGGTATAAAAATTGTTTGAAGAAATATTACATTCTTGACCTAAGGTAATCTGTATTGTAAGCTGAAAGTGCAATTCTTCTCTAAGCCCTATTAGAAATGATTAATGTGGCAGACTCCAAAGTCAGTGAATGAATGAAAATATTAAGATAATGAACATTAATAAACTCAAAAGTTCATAGAAATAAAACAAATAATGAGCAGTAACCATCCCTTATTGACCTGCCATATGCATGTTCTTATCTAGATCAGACAAAAAATCTGTACATGTTTCAGTGTGTAAATAATGGTCTAACAATTAGGCTGCAAAAAAATTATTTCTTGAAGAGCATTGAGATATTTAAGTTGAAGAGAAGAATTGCACTTTGTTCATTGGATGAGCGATTAAATAATAATACTGTATTACTTTTTTAAAAGCACAATTTTAGGCAAACATAAAGAATTTGAGTGGACTTGCATATTTTTTCTACTTTTTCTGAATTGTAGGTTATGATGATTTAAAATACCATAATTTAGCAGAAATAGAATAGAAATTGGCACAGAAATTCCTTATACAGGAAATTTAAATTAATACCCATATTTGTATATTTTTGCTTAAATACATTAAGCAAACAGGTCCAATTAAAAACAAATTAAATTGGTGTGGCCCTAATATGAAAAAAGTCGGCATTCAACTTATTGGTAGAATATATTTGCTGAAAATGTAATTTTATGGACCATAGAAATTTGAATTGATGACTTAACACAAAACTTGATATTCTTGTTTCATCAACTTGTTTGTCAGTAGCTTACTTCATTTTTTATACCTTAAATTGCTCCAGTCCATCTCTCAATTATTTGAAACAAATCTGTTGTTGGTGTAAAGATTCACTTTTGCTTGTCCATTATTTATTTTTCAATTAACTTTCTCAAATTTTCCTTTTAATATGATGGGGCATAACATTCATTTCTAAAAAAAAAAAAAAAGTAATCGAAGCTCATTTTCCATTTGAATACTGGAGTATTATGCTATTGTTGATGAACCCCCGCCTCCCATAATGTCGATGTGTTGCTATGTCAAATGTTATATTAGAAGCTTCTATTATGTGAAAAGTCATAGGTAAACAAAAAATGGCAATGTCCATGTTTTGCTATATATATCTAAACTTTTTGTCGAATAAAAAAGTAAAATAGGAGGTGCACAATGGCAATATGTAATAAAGATTCTGTGAAAGTTTTTAAATTTCACTCAGTGTGTTTTTTCATAGGATTTGCGGATAAGAGAAAAAAAAGACTACAGACGGTTAACTGTGAGCGAAATCGCGATCACTATATACCCTCCCGCTTTTCAAGCGGGGGGTATAATAAAAAGTAATCGAAGCTCAGTTTCCATTTGAATATTATGCTATTGTTGATGAAAATCAATATGGGAGCCCTATTTATGAAAGAATTGATTATATTACTAAGTTTCCATAATAGAAAAAGTCGTGTCAGCTTTGCACTAAATACCGCGGTAAGTTGAAGTGTCTTGCCTATATATATCGATCTTTTTTCGGGAAGGGGGGTGGGGGTTAACGTTAAAGCCATATATGGCGTATGTACAATGGAAATTATTAGACTAAAATTATAAGAACTTATTATTTTGTATCATTACTTTATATAAAGATAGAACTTTTCCGTAAATTACAAAATCTAAGTCAATTGCGTTATAAATTGTATCACAATTTAATTTGGAATAACTCGTTTTCTATCAAAAAATACAAAAGATTTAAATAACACATTACAGAGAAGATAAAATCGTATTATTAGATGAAACGAGGTGTTCTTCGTGTTCAGAATTGTATGAAAAGCTTTAATTTAAATGTATTAACTATGTTTCTTTACTTAATTTTGTATTTTTCAAAAATATATTTTTTTGATCAGTTACGCCATATATGGCTTTAATGGTGATGAAGGGGAAATTGGGAGAATGTAGTGCTGGTCTGCTGAATCATTTTAAATGTATCTCCGTGTGTTTTTTCATATATTTACTGGTATACATCTGAAACCAAAAAAAAAAAAAAAAAAATTATATGCTGTATGTTTTTAGCGCACTAATGCGGAAATATACATTTCCACCCGACTAGATTCTCAATTTAGTGCCATATATTCGCTTCCTGGTTGATAAGGTATGTGCATTTCAATCATCCCATGAACTAATATTAAAAGCTAAATATTTCTTCTGTATAGAAGTGTCATGCAAAAAGAGTTGGTAAAGTTTTGTAATCGAATAATAAATTTTCTGTAAACAAAAGGTTCCGAACCAGAACATTTTGCAAAAACATTGAAATCACAGTTCTAACATGGACGATAACTGATAAGGCTTAAAGTGTGTCACAAGCAAAAGATATATCTATATTATCTTCATATTACTTTTTATATAACTAAAATGTAAATACTATATCACAAATTGAAATATATTTTTTTCACTGAGTAATACTTTTGATTTTCAGACAATGTCAGGATTATATTTTATGGGTATTGACTTGGGAACAACGTCAGTTAAAATAAGTATTGTGCTAAATGGGGAACAAGTTTCTTCTGTCTCTCAGCCAACAAAAGCAGATACAAAGAGCAATGTAGGAAGTGCTGGGTTTGAGCAAGATGTAGCTATTATATTATCTACTGTACAGTCATGCATGAAGGAGCTATCTCCAGAAACCCTTTCTTCTGTGAAGAAAATTTGCATAACAGGACAAATGCATGGAGTTATGTTGTGGTCCTCAAAACATTTAAACAACTTTTACTCCCAAGAAAACAATTCCTTTGATGTTCAACATACCAGTCCTCTTTATACATGGCAGGACCAGAGATGTTCAGAAGAATTTCTTACTTCCCTTCCAAAGCCCTGTTCCCATCTGCCTTTATCAACCGGACATGGTAACGCTACCTTGTTCTGGTTATCCCAGCACCAACCAGATTATTTAGCCAGGTTTGATAGGGCTGGAACAATAATGGATTTCTTAATTTGTATTCTGTGTGGATTGGATTCACCCATCATGTCTAAGCAACTTGCAGCTAGCTGGGGCTACTTTGATTCAAGTGCAGGGTGTTGGAATAAGGAGATGTAGGTAATATAATATCTGTAAATGTGAATGAGATCACTTATACATGTACTAGCTTATTTTCAAGTTCAATAAAGTGTTTATAATATATCATAAAAGGGTATCTTCCATATAGTAAAATAGTCAATTTATGCCACATCAGTTTAGCAGATGACTGACCAGATTACAATTTATTTTGAATAGATTATTTCCAAAGTACATTTTATTTTTTAAAAATAATTTGTTTTTTTTTAATTCATTTTGAATAACGTAAACAGTACATAGGCCATTCCATGTGTGACCCATACATTCATTCAAGTGTTTTGATGATTATTAAGAAAAATTAAATGACCATTTTATGTAAGATTCATTATTGTGTGTCTTTGCATAGAAATATTTATTGAAATGTAAGAATATCTTAGTTGAATTGTATGCAATTACTACAATGCTCTGTTTCACAGATTGGAACAGAAATCATTCCCATTTCATCTGCTTCCACGAGTAGTGAATCCTGGAGAACAAGCTGGTACCCTACAGTTTGACTGGTTCAGAATAAAGAAAAGAACAGCGGTTTTAGTTGCTCTGGGAGACACACAGTGTGCTGTGTACTCAGTTCTAAGTAATCCAGATGAGGCAGGTGAGTTTGTTTACATCTCTAATCCATATTAATACAAAACTTTTGTAAAACACTTATAAAAACTTAAATGAAATATTAAATCAGGAAAACCTTGTTAATGCATCACAAAATAGAGAATTGATAAAACTAGTTTAAAAGTTGTGAATAATTTTCTTAAAAATTCAATATAGCTAAGGATTTGATGTGAGCTAGTTTTTCAAAATCTGTACCGTTTTGCACAGAATAATGATTTATTTTAATTTTTTTAGTTTTGAACTTGGGAACTTCTTGTCAAATGGCTTTCCCAGAATTCCTTGAGACAGTCCCAACATTCCCAGAAGCCTCCTCTCCCATCCAGTTTTTCCCTTACTTTAATAACCAGTACTTGGCTGTGGCTGCTAGTCTAAATGGTGGGAATGTTCTCTCTCAGTTTGTCAACATGGTACAAAACTGGATTGGAGTTTTTGGTAAGACATGAACAAATACTGTGGTTTCATTAATTTTCATTGGCATCAATTTTCGTGGATTTTGTAAAACAGATGTTTTCGAGGATATGTTATTTCGTGGACAAAAGCATTGCCTGTACAAATGAATAACAAATTTCTTCATTCAATGAAACATTTAAATTCGTGGATCTGATCAACAATGAAATCCTCGAAAATTGGTGCTCAATAAATATTAATGAAACCACAGTAAACAAACTGCTTCCATGGTCTGCAATTCATTCTTATTTTTGAAACACAGATATATTCAATTTTTATGTACCAGATATCTGAATGCATTAAATTGATGTTAAATTCTTTCAGGTTGTGTCAAGAGTAAAGAGGATATATGGAAAACCCTTTTAGAGTCCTCTTCCACAACAAACAAGAATGAGAGTGCTCTGATAAAGGTTCATCCCACCATATTTGGAGAGAGGCATGCTCCTACACAGTATGGAGAAGTATCTGGAATCACAGCCAGCAATATGGACCTTCACAGTGTGTTTCATGCCCTCTGTAAAGGACTCATAGAAAACATCACCAGAATGGTGTCTCCTTCCTATCTAAAACAAAAGGGAGTCAGAAAATTGTTAGGGACAGGATCAGTGATACATAAAAATCCCATCATTCAAAGAGAGGTCATGACCCAATATGGTGACATTGTTGTTGAGTTGGGCAGACAGTGTGACTCTGCCTTTGGTGCTGCTCTATTTTGTGAGGCTATGGACAGTTAATGATCCGATTAACTAGACTGTATGTACATTCAGTTATAAAAAATAAAGAACTTTACTAGATATACTATGCATTTTTTTTAAAGATGGAAATTCACGTTCTTTTGTGTTTTGGTTAATCTTATATACACCTATGTTCTTAAACATCACGATTATGCAACCCTTAATTGTTTCAAGTCTTCTAACCAGAGGAAGGCAGGTACCATTGTAGGAATAATCATAGGTTCCTTTACCTTTACAAAAATGATTATAGTCACCTTTTATTTTAAAGGAATGATAAAGACTACCTTTACAGAAATTATTATAATTACTGGAATGATTATGCCCCCCTTCGAAGAAGGGAGGGCATATTGCTTTGCTGCTGTCTGTCGGTCGGTCTGTTGGTCCACTTAGTTTCCGTTCATTTTCTTCACAACCGTTGCACATACTGAAATTAAATTGGGTATACAGATTAACCAGGTGAATATCTAGGTCAAGTTCTGTTTCGGGTACGATCGAGCCATTTTTGACAGAGTTATGCCCCTTGGACTTAGAAAAATTCCAATTATTTGCAGTTTCCGTCCATTTTCTTCACAGGGGTTGAACATAATGAAATGAAATTTGGTATACAAATTTATCAGCTGAATATCTAGGTCAAGTTCTGTTTTGATCAGTTATGCCCCTTGGACTTAGAAAAATTCCAATTATTTGCAGTTTCCGTTCATTTTCTTTGCAACCGTTGCACATACTGAGATGAAATTTAGTATACAGATTTATCAGATGAATATCTAGGTCAAGTTCTGTTTTGGGTAACAATTTTTGACATTGGACTTAAAAAATTCCAATTATTTGCAGTTTCATATTTTCTTCACAACCGTTGCACTTGCTGAGATGAAATTTAGTATAAAGATTTATCAGATGAATACCTAGGTCAAGTTCTGTTTTGGGTACAATCGTGCCATTTTTGACAGAGTTTTGCCCCTTGGACTTGGAAAAATTCCAATTTGGGGGGAGGGGGGCATAAGTGTTTTACAAACATCTCTTGTTATATGTATATCTTTACCTTTATAGAAACGAGTACTGTAAACCAACTTTTATTTGCATGCGAGAAATTATCGCAAAGTTCGCGAGAGCCTCGTCATCACGAATATTGCTTGTCGCGAACCGGTCTGTAAAGTGTATGTGTCTATTAATATCAGATCCAAAAAGGCTTGATTGCGAAAATTGATCGTTGCAAACTAGTTTCTCCCTGCTAAATCGCGAAATAAAGTCGTCGCGAATAAAAGTTGGTTTAAAGTATAAGATGAGGTCTATGTTGAATTTCATAGCATTTCATTATTTATGAATGAAGAATAAAACTATTTTAAAAAAGAATTTTAAGTTTATTACAGAAATATTCAAATACAGTTACTATTAACAGTAATAATATTTGTATCAAAATCACAGGTTATTAACAAGACATCAAAAACTTTGAACATTTAAAACATTTTGCTATAACACAAGATACTAAAGTAGTGTGTTTTCTGAGGTATTTAGATTAAGTGTATACATGTACAAATAATTTTTAAAAGTGCTGTGGTAAATCCATGCATTACATAAATAGTAAATAGCAGCCAAAATCCTACAAAATTTAAAGCTGAAAGAAATGAGAGAGCAATGTAATTGTACGAAGAATGGTTCACTGATCAATTTAAAATTATATGCTTACATTTACTGTGAAATTTGGGTATTTATTTTGAGGGAGGGGGTATGAAAAGATCCATGAATTCATGCCCTTTCATCTGTTGAACATAAAATTTCTAATAATATATAACATACTAACCTCTTTTTATGCCATAAAATCAATTCCCCATGAAACCAATAATTTTTGTCAAACTATGAAATTTTACTCCACAAAAGATTAGTGATTTCACAGTTGTCAAAAATATTATTTTTGAAATGTCTTACAAACATTCAGTCTGATAAACCCATCATTTTTTAAGAAGGAAGGGTGGGGGATATTGAGCTTTGAGCTCAGGTGAGCTAAAAAATCGGAACATATAAGCCAAACCATTACCTGTCCTGTATATTTCTTTTAGGGGTAGATATTTTTAAAATTTATTTTTGGCAAGTTCTTTTTCTTACCCCTGGTTGTAGTAAAAAAAAAAATGAAAAAGAAAAATTTTGAAAAGTGATTTTGTTCAGAGTAATAGAATTAAGCTTGAATATTTTGGCTCTGGACAGCAATGTATATTGTGTATGTATACTATAACTTAAAGAGCTAATATTAAAGTGTCCAAAAGCAGACATAATGCCTCTTTCTACATATATATACATTGTATAGCGTCTAATGTAAGCAAGATATTTTTTCTGCAGTAAGTGCTGCCAAAAAAAATACAATCAATAAAATTCAAATTGAAGTGCAATAAAAATAATAATTTATGTATATGATATATAATAAATAATTTGTATAATCGGTCACAGGTATGCTCACTGACACCTATCAGAAGAATAATATCATTATAGTTTACAAATGTATATCTTGCATATTACTACTTGCATGTAATTATAAACTAGGTAACATTATGTCTAATTGGCAACTTATATTGTACAAGTTCTGCGATATAACAATATGATGAGATGTGCCATGATACCTTGGTATATCATGATAAACTAGGACTGTATCACGATACTTAGCATGATATTTTGCCTTTCATGAATTAATTTTTATAAATTCATGTCTTTTTTCTTCAATGAGAAACTCCTTGTCACAATGTGACTGAATAAAAGCAGTACATTAACCAGTACAGCAAAACTCGGTTACAACGAAGTCGCTTGGACCTATGAAATTACTTCACTATATCCGTAATTCGTTATAACTGTATACAAAATTTATTAAATTTATATAGCCGGGGATCCAAGATGACTTTGCTATTTCTGTAAATTCACAATATCTGTGTTCGTACTAAACGAGTTTTGCTGTACCACACAGTATCAAATTATAGCACATTTTTTTAAAATCATTACACCCCTATAAAGTACTAAGTTAGTGAAATTCAAGAGTAATATGATTTAAATATAATGAAGGCTCCACAAAGCACTGCATCCCTTGCAAAAAGCTTATCTATAAATTAAAAATTATGTCACTTTCATTATGCACAAAAGGACAAACTAATCCACCAAGCCACATAAAAAAGTGTAATATTATAAGCCCTATATCCAACTCTGCCTGTCGAAGGGATAAAAAACCATAAAATTGGACCTGATATCAAAGAAAAGTTTGAATATGTTCAAGGCTGAAGAAGAGGACGGACAAAGAGAAAAATCATCCAAAATATAAACATGTAACAAATACCCAACAAAATTTGGGATATAACAATAGGCAAAAATTGCATGGCAATTACTAATAAATAAAAACAAAAAAGTATTTTTAAGCAAAGATTAACAACCATGAGTCAGTAAATTGTGTTAATTATTCGTATATAATCATGTTCTGTGACCAGCACATATAATGTGTACATTTTGTGATAACAATCAATATAAAATTTAGAAAACTTGCACCTAGACAGAATTCTTGTTCAAATTTATATTATGCCACAGTCACATCTTACAATGTTGAACTTGACAGGGCCAATGAAAAAACAAAACATCCAAAGATTCAAAATATTGAGATCAAAAAACAACAAGAAAAAGTAGTTAGGACTTCCAACTCATTGGTACAAATCCATGATATTCAAGATAAAAATTTCAACTGTACTTTCTAAACATACATATATTACATACAGGAATATGTATTGGCATAAATATAGTTTTTTTTCCTAATTAAAGGTACAAGAACTATCACCAATGACCTGGTGCAGGAATTTAATTTTTGTAAAAATTTAAAATTACAGTCAAACCTTGTTTTCTCAAACTCCATGGGACTGAGAAAACGCTTATTATATCTGAGGATTTGAGATATCCAGAGTAGCATACACTTATGTATAAATAAGCAATCACAATTCCAAATCACTTTAACATATTTGAGATACCTGTGTATCACTGTTCAACTGTAATGTACAAAGATACATCACAATGGTGTCAATACATAGAAACACAGCAATCAAACCATCATAGGCTCATAATCTCATGAAATAAATCCTCTATGAATTTTCAATTTATGAGTGTCTGAAGGAAAAAGTCATTCTATTCAGGTGTAAATACAAAAATATTTTTTAAATTCTTTGAAAAGGTTACAAGATGTTGACTTTTCACACTTGTAAGCAATTTTATCAAAAAGTGCTGCTATGATTCTTGAATCTTGATGTGAGAAGACAAATTCTTACCCTCATGAACTTAAAAAAAAAATGAAAGCCATGGTCAATTTGAACAAAGGACCCAGGTTTATAAACAATAAATTTTTTTGTTCCTTTTTTTTTGTTTGTTTTGCCTTCATTTCTCATGATTTTTACATTTTTATTAAATTGATTCTTGCAATTAAATTTTGGCTGGTCAAATAAATATCCACCCTTCCTAGTTTATCATTTGTACAATTTTTTTCAAGGCATATCACTTCTGCAAGCATGACTAGGCACCATTTGGCAAGCTAAATAGACTGATTTCAACTGACTGCTACAGAATGCATGTAAAGAAATGCATGTGCAATACATATAAACTGTATTTTATCCAAGACTAGAAGAATAATACTCTAGAAGAATAATATATTTGCTAAATGGAACTAACAAATTCTATGGTGAATAAAATAGATGATTCCATTAAAACTGCACTAAGAGTTCTCTCACTCTAAGTTTTTATACAACTAATATCATATATCAACACACATACTAAGGTTTCATCAATTTTCGTTGCCATCAATTTTCATGGATTTTGTAGAACAGACGTTTTCGAGGATACATAAGTTTGTGGACTAAAGCATTATCTACTCAAATGAGTAACAGATTTCTCAATTCAATGAACATTTAATTGCGTGGATCTGCTCAATAACGAATTCCTCGAAAATTGGTGCTCAACGAATATTGATGAAACCACAGTATAAATTTGTTGCACTTGGCATTAATTTGAGCAATTGTTGTCCATCTCCTAGAAGAGTAAAGACCATATCTGTTCCCTGTGTACTTGGCAGCTGCCATCAGTTTTCCTCGGTGAGCAGACGGATTTCCTCCGCCAGGACCTTTGTGATATGCATGGCTTTGTCCACCTTCTCTCCTCCTATCTGGAGAAGTGCTGCCTGTGCTGCCTCTCTTACATGGGAAATAAAATCATTTCTCCTGAAATATTTTCAAAGATTAAAAAAAAAAAGGACAATCAAAACCCTACTAATTCTGATAGAATAAGGGACCTTCATACTAGTATATAGTAAGTATGTTCCTGATAAGAAGAAACAAAATGAGTCTGCCACTTACATATTCATTTTTTGGTACATGTATTTCATATTTTCTATACAGACATATGTCAAAATATCAAATATTTGATAAAATTTGGTTAAGCAGGTCCCCTATATTTAATGACAATTTTAATACAATATCCAAATGATATAAGTTATATGTTCATTTACCACAAGTGCAGAAGTTTTGGCACAGCCATCTTTGCCTTCATATGTCCGAGTGCCAAACATCCGGCCTCCCTGACTAGTCGATCTTTGTCTCTCAGACACTTGAGGAGAGCATTAATGGTGGACTTGTCCTGGTTTCCTGTCTTGGCCAGAGACACGGCTGCTACTGCCCTGATGTTCGAGTCTTGATTTCGGAGTAAATCTCTCAGAGATTCTATCACTGAGGCACTTTGGTATTTTCCTAATAATTTGAGGAAAAAATTCACATTTTCTACATTTTTTTGTTAAAATTTTTTAAACATATTTTTGCACATAAGAAAACCACATTTTCAGACAATTGTTTCCATCTTAAAGATTATGTATGTAATTTAAGATTATACAGAATATAAACATGGAATTCAAGACTTGCATGCATTTCCTTTGGCAGCTAATGCAATGTGATATTTGCTATGCATGACCAATATAGAAATCATAAACATATTTCCACAATTTACTTTCAAAAAGGGGCAGACAAATAGTATTTACCAAGGTTTTCTATAGCATCTACTCTGACAGAGGAATCCATGGCAAACACATCTTTCATGGCGTACATATCCTGAGCATAAGATGTCACCCTCTGCCAGAGTGCCTGTTCTTCCCCATCCACTGTACAAAAGTCTATAGGGAAAACATTATAATGATTGAAATCTACTCTAACATTACCCCAGAGGAAAAAAAAAAAGAGTCCAGTGTTAATTCCAGTGAAAAGGAATTTCATTTGATAAGACAATCTTTAAAATATTACATATAATGCAAAAGTTTTTAATTGTCTCAAGGGATTTGACGATCATTCCTAAATGTGTTGACATACGTTTTGCCAATGAGAGATCAAATACAAATATGTCTGGTTTTATGAATCATAATGCACGCTACATGTACAGTAATATTTCTGTGAAATTGAATTGTTATCTCTATATTGTCTCATACTTAGAAATTAATATTAAGTTCAGAATCTGAATCACAGTTCTGCCTAATAACATGCCTCAGTCCACCAAGCATTGAAGGTTTTCAATCAATAAATATTAAAATTCAAATCCTGTGTACATTAGTATTGTATTTTTGTGACAGGATTTGAAAATTCCATAAATTCCAAAATTCTTAAATATAAATTTTCTGCATGGCGTTCAATGAAATATGCAAGAATAATCTTTAAGAATTTCTGTATACCAGTGAGACTTTCTGGAGTAATGATTTCCGCTGTATCTGAATCCTGCACTGACATGGAGACTTCCTCTTTTAAGTTGTTGATTAACCATGTCTGATCTTCTGAAGGATAGATTTTGTTTAAATCATCCTTGTAATATTTCTGAAAGTCTTCAGCAAATCTGGAAAGAGACCACAGTTAAGATATGCAAAACTGTAAATCTTATCAAACTATTTGTAACTTTGGGTTATTTTTTTTTTTTTAATCACAATGTGTCAAGACATAAATAAATCCAGTCTTTTCACTCATAATACCCAGTAGGTATTTTAAAACATATGGTTTAACCCATGCTAGCTTTCTTACTAGCATACGTACCATTATAAATTTTAACTCTGTTAAAATATTTCAAAACTTTAGCACTTCAAAGGGGAATAACTCTTGTACACTTAAAGGGGATTAACTCTTGTAAACTTAAAGGAGATCACAGGTAATTAAAGTTTTTAATGTCAAAAAAAATCCAGAAAAAAATTTCCCACCATCGACTACCATAAAAAAACGTGTTTTTTAGGTGAGGGTTGGAAAAATTTTTTCTGGATTTTTTTTTTTTTTTTTTTTAGGGTTAAAACTTTAGACTCCTGTGAGGATCGAGATTAACCCTTGTAAACTTTTTATTATTTAACACTTACTGGTCCAGTTCCACGCTCTCCTGGTCTTTGTAGATTTTTTTCCAGTACACCGTTGGGTGTTCTGACAAATGGGGATCAATATAAATTGATTTCTGCCTCTGAAATTTTTTCTGCCTCTCCTTTAATCTTTCTGTTACCTTGTGACCAAGTTTTACTATGAAGAGTGAAAAAAATATATCAGAATCATCTTGTTCTGAATGAAATATGTCCAGTCTGATTAAAACCCCCTCCCTCTCTAAACATCAGTCACACTTCTCATAATTATTACTTTGAACACTTCATCAAAAAAAAGTCTTATCCAGTTGATGTCAGTTTTGAAAAAAATTATCAAATTCTTGCATATATTCATTATAGGCATTATATTTTATACCTTCCTTTTCTTGATCTTCAAGTTCTGCTTTTAATTTTGGCAACAATTCCTGGAACCCCTCATCAAAATTATCAGGATCAAGTGTAGTCCATTCTAAACTGGCTAATTGTAGTTTCCTTGTAAAAGAAAACAAACAAGAAATCACTAAAATTCAACAAAATAAAAATTTCATGGTTCGGCTTTTGAGTTACATGAACCTCCTCGGCTTTTGAGTTACATGAACCTCCTCAATTAAAAATTCTATATCTATACCTCAATCAACTTACATTCCAGTGTCCATAATGGCATATATTTCTTCCTTGGGTTGTATAGCCACTGGAAACATGGCTTTCTTTGATATGTAAGCTAAGGCCACCTCATCCTGGCAGTACTTTGATTTCACTGTGGAGGTACTCAGCAACGAGACAAACAGCTGAAATGAAATAAAAATTCTCCAAATTATATTTTCCCATTATTTGCATAATATTTTAACAAGATGCTGTCTTGGTAATCCCACAATTTTTCTGATTACATGTAAATCTTACTAAGTTTGTAAATGAAAGGGTGAAAACTGACTGATCATATATGCACTTACATGTATCAGAATTTAAACTCAGGACTAAAAGTGTAAAGCAATCTAGCTGGAATGAATCAAAGATTTAATTGCCATTAGATTGTCTACCACCTGAGCTATCTGACTAGTGGTTCTTGAGAAGAGGATTATGAAAAAAAAGTTCAATCGGAAAAGCTCGATCATTTGAGCCTTTGGCTGAGGTGAGCTTTTTAAACCGTTGTTAAAATATAAATACCTTTGCATCAAGAATGGCTTGACCAATTTTACTGAGAAAATCTACTCCTGCACCAAGTCCTACCACATCTACCCATACGCTGATTCCATTTATCTCCAGGTTCTCTGAAATGAACATGCAGGTATAATTCATTATCAGTTAAGTGAGTATCTCTGAATAATACATACAGAGTATCCCCTCCCCCCACTGGTCAGTAAATATTAAAATAAAAATACAATAGGATTTCCAACAAATAAAGAAAAAATTCAATCTTTACCACTGATGATGATGACCAACACAATGAACATGATGAAACCCTACTCCACAAATACTGATAACAATTAAATTTTCATGTAATTTTCTATTCACTAAATGACAAATCCCAATTGACAAGATCTCAGTCATCTTATAATGAAGCACTGAAGCAGTACTAGTGCCTTTCTGTGTGTATTTGCTGTGTGTCATTGGTGTGTTTATTTTATATTTAACTTTTTTAAAATTAATATTTAATCAGACCTACCTTTTAGTTTAGCCATCATTTCTTTATCCTGGTGACTGTAGCTGATCATGAGATCTCGACAGGAAACGGAATCCTGTCTCTTTACATCTGACTTGTCTGAATTTTCTGGAACTTCATGAGGAGAAAAAGTGTTTTCAGACTTCACATTCCTTGTTGATTGAGTATTTGGCTGTGTGCGCTTGATTGTGTTGAGGGTCTCATGCCGTCGTGTGCTAGGTTTTGAGCCCATCTTTAATCTGATATAAACAAAGTATACATTTTACATGTAATGTGAAATGGCAAACTTATAGGAAAAAATAAATGATATTATTTTATATTAAATAAAAAAAATTGAAATGGTTTGAATAATTTAAAACATTATTATTTAAGCTATTAGCTAATGCTGGCTTTCTCCATATCTTATTAGAGAGAAAAAGAGTTCATATAATTATACATTTATATAGCTGCAGATCTGAAACTCTCCGAAAAAAAATATTTTGACAGACCGCAGAGCTACAGTGGCACCCATTAGAAAAAACTGTGTATTTATTGCGCACAAAAAAAATGCACTGTTTCTCGATTTATTTCTTCAAGACTGTCATCTCAAAATATTACTAGCCGTGTGTTCCTAACATATTCTTTGACTGTTTCCAGAACAAAACAGTCCTTATAATTGTTGTTAATAGCCCTCCTATCCCTGAAATTGAGATAATCGAAAAATTCATCTATTTATACTGCCATTTCGGTTTGCAAGATAATTCGGTCCAACGCACTTCGTGCAGATGTCAACTACGGGATCACTTCATAGAGGAATAAGGAATTTTTAAAAATTAATCTTTCTTTTTCACAACTAAGGTAAGAATTTGGAAGAATTAATTCAGAAGTAAACACAACTTTTTGTGCGCAATAAATATAGAGTTTTTACAATGGGTGGCACTGTTTAGCTCTCTGGTCTGTCAATATATTTTATTTCTGAGAGTTACAGTTCTGCAGCTAACATTTATATAGCACGAGCAGTCATTTTGCGCCAAGATCAGAGTGAGCATTTGCTCTTGAGGCTTAGAGTGAGGAGTTGATTTTTATGTTCTGGGTTGACTGGCATGAGAAAGATCCCTCACTGCTCAAAGTGCCAAGTATTGAGCTAAAATTTGCAGTATTTTTTTCATAAATTATAAATTGCTTAAACTTTTTGAGACTGAAATATCTTCCTTACATATCTGATTCCCTTAAGAGTAATATCTCAGTGAGATCCATAAAGACTACAAATTTTGATCTGGTGTCGCTACAAAGAGACTGGTGTAACGTTTAACATCGAGACACTACACCAAAATTTGTTCATGCATTTCATGAATTGATTTTACTTTAAAACACTGAAAGAAAATATTTTTAAAATTCAGCATATTGTTACTCACCGCTGAGCTGAAATTATTAATCCCTTATTGTTTACATTGGTTATTTGTCAATTGCCTACTTTCGTTTTCGATGCATTATTAACTCGTGTATAAACTATTCGTTACAAAACATTAGGTCATGAGATACAATGTATTTTTATGGGTGTTGATAAAACGCGGAACGGAAAGCGAAACGGAACGGAGAACGGAATGTAAATCACTTAAAATACACAGATTTTATCATAAACGATCTATCTTGTACATATTCAATCCCCCACTATTAAAAACAAGTTGATTTTGTCATGCTCAGTCTCTTATTTACGAAAATCGCTAACATATAGCAGTCACCTAGAATCGAATTTGAAAAGGGGGGATAAACGAACTTGAAAAGTATTTGATAAGCAAAAACACAAAAAGAAAACAATTGTTCAAAGTTCTGGAGGGGGGGGGGATAAAACACAAAAAGAAAACAATTATTTGATTCCTGATACTACATTAATTACATTCACAAAAAGTGTGAGGATGTCAACTTGGCCGAACATTTCCGTAGTAAATAGGTTTTGACTGGGGGGGGGGGGGTGTTTAATATTTGATATCTAGATGAACCATGGAAAGAGAAATAAAATGTAAAAAAAAAAAAATAAAAATTATTAAGATTACGTTTAGGGCAAACTTTTATGGCAAGCTCGAATAAACATCTCTTCTACACACTGGTTATTAAAATTTTATTCAAAGTAGAGTCGCTTTCTATATATTTAAATTCTGGATGGAAAACTTTCATGTGGTAGATATAATACAGAATCTTTGCATTCAATGAAGTTAAATTTTGTTGTTGCGGTACATATGTATGTATTTTTTTTTGGGGGGGGGGGAGAAGGTGTATATGAATGACCCGTAAAAAATGAGTTTGTTCGCGAATTCGACACTGCGTGCATAATATGAATATCATAACTAATTTTTACAGACATTGACACTGGAAAAAAATTGAAAGGGGGGGGGGGGTCAGTAAAAAATTTCCAACATACAACAAATTTGGCAAGCCAAAATAAGGGGCATACTCGCTTCTCATGATATCGCGGGTTCCATTGTATCGCGGTTTATTCCAAAAATTCAGATACATAGCTCATATCCTTTCTGTTAAAATGCTATCTGTTTGTCATCCGGATGAAGACTTTTGTTATGGTTAAAATGTATGGAACATGCGTTGGTAAATTTTTTTTATTCAAATAAAACGTAATTTTTTAGATTTCCATTCCCTTTTTTATTATATTAAGATTCCTGATTTCATAACCTGGTAAAAGCCATAATAAAGTTCATGGTTTGAAAATCTATAATTTGTATAATTGTTTAATTTTCATGTAGAATTACATCGTTCATATAAAAATAAAATTTGAAGTCTATGTAAGCCACAGGTTTCCATGTTTTCCTATACCGCGATACTATGAGACTGTCCAATTTAGGAGATAAATAAGACTTCCCGTTTTAAAAATAGACAACAAATTAAATATTGCAAATTTGAGAAATAATTTGACACTAAAAAGTTAGGCCATGGATTGGTTTATAGAAAGTACTTGATGACAGTTAAAGTAAACAAACTGGAATAACACTTTTTTGCAAAAGGATTAAATACCGCGATATTATGAGACACCAATTCATAATATGCCCTTTGCCCAACACCATCGTCGGAAACCCACGGGTGATCTCGTCTTTACTCGTAAAGACGAGATCACCCGTGGGTTTCCGACGATGCCCAACACGAAAATCCTATTTCGTGTGTGTTTGGGGGGGGGGGGTCGAATTTCTTTCAGTACCATTTTTTTCACAGAGGGTGTGTATGACTCATGAATATATAATAGTTTACAATAAATTTTTATCAGAAATGATTTTTATAACAAGAATATTGCTTTTTTGTGTGATTTATATCGAATCTATGTTATTTGTTAATTTGACAAAAATTTTCCGTTTTCCGTTCCGTTTTCCGTTCCGCGTTTTAGCAACACCCAATTTTTATGCCCCCGTAAACGAAGTTTCGGGGGGTATATAGTTTTTGTCGTGTCCGTCCGTCTGTCTGTCTGTTTGTCCGCAAAAAACTTTAACCTTGCTCATAACTTTTGATTTAATGGAGCTATGACTTTCATATTTCACATGTGTATTCCTTGTGAAAAGACATTTCTTTGGGTACCACCAAATTTGACCTTTTGACCTTGGAGTTTGACCTACTTTTTCACAAAAATCCCAAACTTTTACTTTGGCCATCTCTTTTGAACAGTAGATACCAGGACATTTATATTTCACAGATGTATTCCTTGTGGAAAAATCTTTAATTGGATACCAACAACCTTGACCTTTTGACCTTGACCTTGGAGATTTCCGTACTCATGAAAAAGCTTTAACCTTGGCCATAACTTTAGGACTTTTATACTTCACATATGTAATCCTTGTAAGAAAACCCTTCATTGGATACCAAGAACTTTACCCTTTGACCTTGGAGTTTGACCTACTGTTAAAAGCAAACAATGGCTATAACTTTTAAAGGGTTACGGCTAGTGCTTTCATACTTTACATATTTAATCCTTGTGACAAGACCTTTCATTTGATAGCAAGCCTTTGACCATTTGACCTTGACCTTGGAGTTTGACATACTTTTAAAATTTTTTAGCCTTGGCCTTAACTTTTGAAGGGTTATGGCTAGGGCTTCCATATTTTACATATGTATTCTTTGTGGCAAGACCTTTCATTGGATACCAATTACCTTGATCTTTTGACCTTGACCTTGGAGATTTCCGTACTTAGGAAAAACTTTAACTTGGCCTACTTCCATATTTCATAATTGTATTTCCAGTGAGTTTGCATTTAAGAAAAGTTTAATCTTCCCTATGCTGCCATACGGGGGTATGTGTTTCACAAACAAATCTTGTTCTTTAAAAAAAAGCAAAACAAAACAAAAAAACAAAACAATACAAGCTTGATAGTATCAATAGATATCCAAAATTAAAGAAACAGTTTAATAATTTGTCATAAATGAATTCACATGTTCCAAATGACTGCTATTTTCAAAAAATAATTTTGTTTCATTTGATTTCAATTTAACTTGATCATAACATGGTCAATTTTAAGAAAATGTTGAATTTTTTTTTATAGTAGGTCAAACTTTAACGCCAAGGTCACGGAATCAAAAAATCAAAGTGTATTTAGAAAGGTCCCGTTACAGGCATTACACAGGTATATAAGACGAAAGCCCTATCTCTACTTATTCAAAACCCATGACCAAGGTTAAAATTTTTGAAAAGTATGTCTATTGTCTAACTTCATGTCAAGATCACGAGGTCAAAATCATAGTGTATTTGGAAAGATCTTGTCAAATATTAATAGACATATTTAATATAAAAGTCCTATCTCTTCTCATTCAAATGTTATGGCCAATTCAAAGTAACGTTTAATTTTTTTTAAAGGAGGTCAATCAACGTCAAGGTCACTGGGTCGAAAATCAAATTGTATTTAAAATGGTCTTGTGTATTACCCGTGACAAGACATTTCTAAAATCATCATGAATTTTGACCTCGTGACCTTGACCTTACCTACTTTCCAAAAACATTAACCTTGGTCATGATTTTTTTAATGAGAAGAGACAGGGCTTACTTACTAAAGCTGTATATTGCTTGTGACAAGACTTTCTGAATACTGATCTCGTGACCTTTACTTTAAAGTTTTACCTACTTTTCAAAAATGTTAATTTTTCCTTATAACTTCTGATTGACCAAATATGGTCTGCTTGGAGTTTGACCTACAAAAATACCTCACTCTTACTTTGGTCATAACTTTTAAATGGTGGGTGCTAGGACTTTCATACTTCTCACATTTATTTCTTGTTACAAGACCTTTCATTGTATTCCACAAGAAGGCCTTACTTTGGGTACCAACATATTTGGTTTGCATTTGAGAAAATTTAACCTGTGCTATGTTGCCAAACTTCAAAGGTCAAGGTCAAAATGTTGGTACACAAAGGAAGCTCATGTTGCAAGGAATAAAACTGTGAAATATGAAATCCCTATTTCTAACTGTTGGCCAAGGTGTTTAAACAGCAGGTCAAATTCTACGGTCAAGGTCAAGAGTTCAAAAAAATATTGTACCTATTGAAAGGTATTAATTGTCACAATTAATACACATGTGAAGTATGAAAGCCCTAGCCCCAACGGATCAAAAGTTATGGCTAAGTTTAAAATATGTTTTATGCCCCCGTAAACAAGGTTTCGGGGTACATAGTTTTTGCCCTCTCCGCCCGTCTGTCTATCTGTTTGTCTGCAAAATCTTTAACCTTGTCCGTAACTTTTGACTGGGGGGACTATGGCCTTCATATTTCACAGGTGTATTTCTTGTGACAAGACCTTGCTTTGGGTACCACCAAATTTGACCTCTTGACCTTGGAGTTTGACACACTTTTAAACCAAAATTCAAAACTTTTACTTTGGCCATAACTTTTGAACTTGGTGCTAAGACTTTCAAACTTCACATATATAGGGTGTTTCACAATATATTTGTCACACATCTAAATGGGCATAATCTGAATATCGAGCATGAAATCAAAAATACCAAAACACTATCATGGCTAAGCATATTGATCTAAAATTACCGGGTATGATAATGCAAAGTATGATATACCAAGAAGTAATACTGATGATATAATCAATGATGGCATAATTTCAGATGTTCTCAAATTGGAGTACAACTTGCAGCAAAAAATTGTAGCAAACTTTTATTATAAAAACGATATCCTAAATATTGTACAGGGTGTGATGATAAAAAATATCCAGATCAGAAAATATACTGTCTAGTTTTCATATATAAGAATATTTAGAGTTTGAACTTAATCAAAATGTAAAGATGAAAGACAGTTAAATCCTGCCCCCCCCCCCCCCCCCCCCCACACACACACACACCAAAAAAAAAATCAAGAAAAGATGAGAACAATATCAAAGTGAAGTCAATCATTGAGAAAACCTCATTAAAGTTAGATCCATCAGTTTAGGGAAATGGATTGTAACAATGCCGGTAATTGTATCAAGTGTACCATATGTAGTATTTAGAAATTTTAAATTTGAGTTTTGTGTCTACATAAAAAAATTCAGCATTTAAAGCCAATTGACGTTCAGAGCCGGTTCAAGTTTCCAAGATTGACTGAAAGGAAGAGCGAAAGAAGTGAACACCAATTAACACGTACTGGTAGTTCTGGAACGACACATTTATTTAAATGCAACTTTAAATAAAAATAGATATGTACTTTGGGGGTTCTAAAAAGCCAGATATAAAACAAGAAAAGTCTCAAGTATCCTGTGAAAATTACAACACAGTGGTCAGAAATTTCTAAGCATTAGTCTCTTAAGTTATTTAGGACAATACTGGGAAAACACTTGGAGAATAACATTTTAGGATTTGTTGCCATAGTAACTGAAGTGGAGAATATTGGATACTTCTGACTCAAAAAAAAAATTTCTGAATATATGCTGATTAAAATGATATATAAAATGTATATGTAGCTTTTGTTGTTATCTATCTGTCTTTAGATGTGTGACATATATTGTGTATGTATTCTTTGTGTGAAGACCTTCCATTGGATACCAAAACTTTGACCTTGACCTTGGAGATTGACCTACTTAAAAAAAAACTTGAAGCTTGGCCATCACTTCTGAACGGTAAGGGCTAGGACTTTCATACTTCACATATGTAATCCTTGTGACACGACCTTCCATTGGATACCAACAACCTTGACCTTGGAAATTGACCTTACCTTTAAAATAAAACTTAAACCTTGGCCATAACTTCATAACTTTTGAACGGTAAGGGCTAGGGCTTTCGTACTTCACATATGTAATCCTTGTGAAAAGACCTATCATTGGATATCAACAATTTTGTCCTCGACCTTATAGTTTGACTTACTTTTCAAAAACTTTAACCTTGGTAATAACATTTGGATGGTAGGGGCTAGGCTTTCGTAATTCCCATATGTAATCCATGTGACAAGGCCTTTCTTCGGAAAACAACAACTTTGTCCTTTTAACCATAACCTGTTGGACTTTAACCTACTTTTTAAAAGAATTTAACCTTGGCAATAACGGTTGGATCTAGGACTTTCAAACTTCACATATATATTCTTCTTGACAAGACCTTCCATTGGATACCAACAACTTTGACCTTTTGACCTTGACCTACCTTTAAATACATAATCCTTGGTCATACCTTTTGAACAGGTGTTGCTAGGGTTTTATATTTCACAACTGTATTTCTTGTGAGAAGGCCTCATTTTGGGTATCATCATATTTTACTTGCATTTGAGAAAATTCAACCTTTGCTATGTTGCCATACGGGGGCATCAGTGTTTCTCAAACACATCGTTTTTTGGTGAAAGTGGATCAAACTCCAAGGTCACAAACTCAAATTTGGTGGTACAAAAAAGTCTTATCACATGGAATACACCTATGAGAAATGAAAGCCATAACCCCATCCACTCTAAAGTTATGGGCAAGGTTAAAATTTTTGTGGAAAAAAAATTTATCCTTGGCCATAACTTTTTAACGATTAGGGCTAGGCTTTCATTCTTCCTATATGTTATCCCCTGACAAGAGCTTTCCTAGAATACCAACAACTTTGATCCTTTGACCTTGAACTAGGAGTTTGGCCTTCTTTTTAAAAAACTTTAGCCTTGGTCTTAACTTCTCAACAGTTACAGGAAGGCTTTCAAACTTCAATTATGTAATCCTTGTGACAAGACCTTTCTTTAGAAAGTAACAACTGTGACCTTGACATAGGAGTTTGACCTACTTTAAAAATTCTTTAACCTTGCCTTCACTTTTGAATAGGTGGAGCTAAGGCTTTTATATTTCATAATGTGTATTTCTTGTGAGAAGATCTTACTTTGTGTATCAACTGGCTGCAATAATGTAGCCCTTTCTTTTTTTGGAACAGTACCATATTTCAATTTACATTTAAGAAAGTATATCCTATGTTGCCATATGGGGACATCAGGATTTCACAAAACACATAAACATCTTGTTTATCAATTAATAGTCCATACAAAATATTTTTTTTGCTTTGGTCTGCATTCAGGGTCATTTTATCCAAACTACTATCCTGTACATGAATTAAGGTCAGACGACACGTTCCTCAAAAATATATAATTTTTTCTAAGAATTTGTCATTGAAGTAAAGGTACTAAAACAAGCTTCCTCACAAAAAATTAGGGTACCTTACCAGGCATTTGGAAAAGATGCCACAGGGTCATATTTCTTATATAACCCTTATGGGTAATCTTCTAAATGGTCTGTAACTCAAATTTTTGTGTACTTACATTAAAAAACATTTTGAAAACAATGTAGAAATCAAAAGAGAATGACTAATATGAATAATTTTTGATATAATACCAAGAGATACAAAACATATATTTGAGGAACGTGTCGTCTGACCTTAAACATCGTTTTAATATTGTAGAGAGCAACGTAGATAATACCTCGTCAGCTAGCCCCTCCAGACCAATTATAAGCTCCAGTCTGATTAAAATCAAATCCTTTGATACGCTCAAAAAGATTGAGCTCTAGTTGCTGACACTGTGTGAAGATACCAACTTGATGAACAAATCAATTTGTACTGTATAGTTTTAGTGATTTACTTGAATTATAAAAAACAGAGAAAAAACACATGTACACAGTAATTACACAGACATCATGCTAAATGAATGCATGGTTTAATTAACAGCACATACCATTATTTACAATCGGCATTTATACCTGTAGAAAAAAAAATCAAGTTTCCATGGTAGGCGAAATGTTGCACTACTTTACATGAAATCTGTCATACACAGGACATAATGCATGAAAATTCTGGATGATATATATGTGACAGCTACATAAGTAAACCAGCCTGATTATTCATTGTAATACAATGTATATGTAATAAACGAACATCGAATCTAAGGAAGTAAATGTTTTTTGATCATGTCAGAGATTGGCTTGGGATCGTCTGGGAACTTCAGTTTCCTGGGAGGGCCTTTCTTGATACCAGTCCAAAGAGGGACCTCTGATAAAAAAACAAAGAATACAATTAATTAATATCATTGGACAATGACAGAAATATTTATTATTGGGCCACAGTCCGAGTTTTTTTTTTTTTTTTAGAAGTACATCACACCTATATATCTAGAGTTTTTTTTATGAGTCTGTACATAAAAAATTCTGGTTAACTCAAAACATAACTGACAAAAATGATTAGCAAACTTTCTCATGCAGTGTAAATTTAAGTAGGTATAAATCTAGAGCAGGCTAGTCCCCCAGGGTAATGGAGGAGTCATAGTAGCCTAAGTAGGTGACCATTAAGGTCCAAGGATTCTCCTCTTTCATCCTGTTACACAGGCATTGATTTATAACTGGTTCAATACTCTAAAGTCTGAATCTGTTGATTACCGTCTTCCTTGGAAGACGGTATTGTATAGTTGAAGTTTTTTACAGTCTTCGGACTATCCACTTCCTCTCTTTTGTGATTGGTAGAAATTGCATGATGAGAAAATTTTCAATTATTTCATTGGTTGAAAATGCTGTTCAAGGCAAGGGAGATAATTTTCTGATGATCTATTTTTCGTACGACTTAACAATTTTGCAAGATTTCCAATCTTAAAAAAATGACAAAACGAACAACAAAATCAGCAGTAATTATTTCTTAATAACATGATATTTTTTATAGCAATAAATAAAAAGGTCTCTTTAATTTCATTATAAATAAAATTTGATAGTTATTGCTTGCAGGCTTTACAATTTGTTATTATTCTTTTCCCCTTTCTTGTTTGAAGAGTGAATGGGAATCAGCCAAGGCTTGCCGAAAGCTCTCGGCCAGTCAAAGTTTACGGAGATGACCGAGCGACAACCGTGGTAGGGCTAATGCCCGTAAAAAGCTAATTTAGAAATACAAAATCAAGAAATTCAAAAGAATTATACGGCCTTTTAAGTGTTGATCTGTTTACTGTTTAAAATTGTTGCTAAAGATGGTAAGCTTTTTTGAAAAGCTCTACTTGTATTAAGATTAACTTTAATTAACTTAATCTTTAAACAAGAGCTGTTTGAAAAATACTTATGCCCCCCTCCCCCAAATTGGAATTTTTCCAAGTCCAAGGGGCATAACTCTATCAAAAATGGAACGATCATACCCAAAACAGAACTTGACCTAGATATTCAGCTGATAAACCTATATACGAAATTTCGTTTCAATATGTGCAACCTCTGCACAGAAAATGAACAGAAAGTTGACAAACTGCAAATAAGTGGAATTTTTCTAAGTCCAAGGGGCATAACTCTGTCAAAAATGGTGTGATCGTATCCAAAACAGAACTTGACCTAGATATTCATATGATTAATCTGCATACTAAATTTCATTACAATATGTGCAACCTCTTCAAAGAAAATGAACGGAAACTGCAAATAAGTGGAATTTTTCTAAGTACAAGGGGCATAACTCTGACAACAATGGTGTGATCGTACCCAAAACATAACTTGGCCTAGATATTCATCTGATGTATCTGTATACCAGATTTCATTTCAGTATGTGCGATGGTTGTGAAGAAAATGAACGGAAACTAAATGGACCGACAGACCGGCATACCGACAGACAGCAACAAAGCAATATGCCCTCCCTTCTTCGAAGGGGGGCATAAAAATATATTTTAAACAAGAGGGCCATGGGCCACATCGCTCACCTGAGAAGCTTTGACCATTCTGTTCTTTACCAGATTTCCCCCTTGTTATACATAATGCATCCCCATCCTACCCCACTGATCATAATTTAGACATTTTGAAATCTACACTCCCCCATGATCCTTCCATGGGCACATATGTTTCAGCTTTTTTGGCCCAGGGGTTCCTGAGAAGAAGATTTTAAAAGATTTTTCCTATAAATTTCTATGTAAAACTTTGATTCCCTATAATGGCCCCGCCCTTCCCCCGGGGGTCATGATTCCTACAATTTAGAATTTACACTACCCCAGAATGCTTCAACATAAGCTTCACTTTTTCTGGCCCAGTGGTTCTTAAGAAGATTTTCAAAGATTTTTCCTATATATTTCTATATAAAACTTTTGATTCCCCATTGTGGCCCCGCCCTTCCCCCGAGGGTCATTATTTGAACAATTTAGAATCTACATTATACCAGGATGCTTCCACATAAGTTTCAGCTTTTCTGGCCCAGTGGTTCTTGAGAAGAAGATTTTCAAAGATTTTTCCTATATATTTCTATGTAAAACTTTGATACCCCATTGTGGCCCCGCCCTTCCCCCGGGGGTCATGATTTGAACAATTTAGAATCTACACTACACCAGGATGCTTCCACATAAGTTTCAGCTTTTCTGGCCCAGTGGTTCTTGAGAAGAAGATTTTCAAAGATTTTTCCTATATATTTATATATAAAACTTTGATTCCCCATTGTAACCCCACCCTTCCCCCGGGGGTCATTATTTTAACAATTTAGAATCTACATTATACCAGGATGCTTCCACATAAGTTTCAGCTTTTCTGGCCCAGTGGTTCTTGAGAAGAAGATTTTTTAATGACCCAACCCTATTTTTGTCTTTTCTTGATTATCTCCCCTTGCGAGGGGATATGTCCCTTCATTTTAACAATTTAAATTCCCCTTCACCCAAGGATGCTTTGTACCAAGATTGGTCAAAATTGGCCCGGTGGTTCTTGAGAAGAAGTCGAAAATGTGAAAAGTTTACAGACGGACAGACAGACGGACGGACGACGGACAAAATGTGATCAGAAAAGCTCACTTGAGCCTTCGGCTCAGGTGAGCTAAAAATGCATGTACTAGTATTCAAAATTTATCTGATGAAATTTGGATGTTTCAATCTCAGTTGAAACATTAAAGCAAGGAACCAAATATTCTAATTCATAAATACATTATTCATTATTATATCTGTTCAGTTTACACACCTTTTACAGGGAATGAAAATCACTTCACTGTATGCATGAATTCATGATAAGTGTCTTAGCTATAATCATGTTTTACTGTACCATTATAAATAGAAAATCTAGTACCTCCTGTGTCTCCCACAATTAAGGTAACCTTAAAGCTTCCTCTCCGTGGGGCAGAGGGGTTAAACTCTACAGGAATATCCTCAAACTCTGTCCTCAAAGCCTCAGCCAAAGCCAGGGCCTTCCTCTTGTACACTTGTCAGGATTTGCTGGTTAAAAGACACATCACTGCTTTTATATTACTGTGCTTCATCAATATTTATGATACAATTTTAGATCCCAGGTTCTGATAATTTATTTTTATAAATAATACATGAAATTACAAAGGTCTATCTTCTTTAAAATCTGCTTTTTCAAGAGGTCAAATACTTGTACATGTATGTTGGTACCCAAAGGAAGGTCTTTTCACAATAAATACACATGTAAAATATGATAGCAACAGCTCTGTTATTATTCTCTATTGAGAAGCTGATGGCTCGTTTCAATACTCCCCCTCAATACTGAGGGGGAGTATTGAAACGAGCCATCAACTTCTCAATAGAGAATTTACTCTGTTATGTGCAAGTTAAAAGTTTTTGTGTGTAAACAGCGCGAGACAAACAGACAGATCGGCGTACAGGCAAAAACCACAGGCACCTGAAGTATGGATAATAACCCCCCCCCTTTTTTTTGTTAATGAAAAAAAAATGTAAGAGTGTATAATATCTCAAAGATATAAAAATTCCCCGTCCAACACATCTATATATATGTCGTTATATGCAAGCAGATTGTACTTTTTCTCACGTTTAAAGAATGACCCTATTCGGTATAATAAAAATACACAAGGTAAGAAACAAAAATTATAAACAAACAGGGGGTTCCCCGCTTCGAGACAGATTTCCAAGGTAATAATAGTGTTACCTATCATAATTTTGCTAACGCTCTATCTGGGAGATGTTCTCCTACTGAAGTATTTAACCTAAACCCCCACCATTAATGTTTTATATGCCGTTTTGGAGTCGCACTTCTGTTCCGCTTTATCTGATTGGTTAATTGTGATAAAGTTTAAATATCTAACCAATCAGATAAAGCGAAACAGAAGTGCGACTCCAAAACCTCCTCCAACGCTGCCAATGGAGAAAATTTTATGTATCCGATTAATAAATCGTCCGATTTATTAAATAATACTTTTTAAAATATGGGTTTTAATTTTAGAGAGTACAGGTGAGATGAGAAGGGGGAAAACTGTAAGAGGGGGAGGGAAAATTGTTAATGGGTTAATGGAGGAATATAGGGACAAACAGTCCAGTCCAATACGAAAATTCGTAATATTACGAAAAAACGTAAGATTACGAGAAAGCATAATATTACAAGTTATCGTAATATAAAACTTATATTACAATTTTTCATAATGTAGTTAAATTACGAATACGGGTAATATAGCAGATTGTAAGAGACTATATTACGAGTTTTCGTAATCCAAGACAAATTCAAGCATTGCAAGAAATTGAATGGTGGGTTGCAAAGTATGACGTCAGTTATATATTAGATTCCACGGCTACTGATAGCACGCGGTCAGTTTTGTCAGTTACGCCTATCAGAAAGCATGGAAATTCAAGAAGAAAGTACCGCCAACGATGGGTGAGTGGACAATTTCTTTTATTATTCTTTTATAGGAATTTTCCCAAGGATAAGACCAATTTTCCAATAAATTTCAATATTCGCTTAAGCATGTCGCATTGGTCTATATCACCCGAACTCCCTACTTTTCTTGCGAAGTCTACCCTAAAAATCACACCCTCGTCTCATAATTCAACTGTTCGTGAAATTCTTATTGAAATACACAGAATTCAAATCTCAGTAAGAGTCGTACAAGTTATCGCCCGTGGCATCTCGTAGTAAACGTCATACTTTGCTACCCGCTACTCAATTTCGTGCAATACTTGAATTTGTCTTGGATTACGAAAACTCGTAAGATAGACTCTTACAACCTGCTATATTACGCGTATTCGTAATTTAACTACATTACGAAAAATAGTAATATTTGTTTTATATTACGATAACTTGTAATATTACGCTTTCTCGTAATCTTACGTTTTTTCGTAATATTACGAATTTTCGCATTGGACTGGACTGACAAAGGAATCAAGGAAAGCAACCAAATCCAGTCAAAGCAGTCAAATCCCTCGTTTCGATTTATAACAATTAAAACCTCATCAACCTTAAAATTGGAAACTATTCAGTGTATTCACTAGGTCAAGATGAAAGCTGTTCTTCGAGGGTAGATACTTTTCTACAGGTCCTTACCAGCATTAGCATACCAGCTGCACCATATGACAGACAGTGCAGTATTTTGAGTATACGTAGCTAGCCAATAATGTTTTGAAAACTAGAATTATTTTTACCAATGTTCGATGATAACCCTAGGAACGGGTGCGTCTGTCTTTGCTTTCTTCTCAACCGAAGTTTTATCAAGGCTTTCTGTCGGTTTAAGGACAGTTTTTCGTTTTCTTGGGGGCATGGTTCTCCTTGCAACGCTACAATGGATCTAGACCGAGGGATTCCGACAGAATTTCGCGGGAAGTTGTCTAAAGTATGGAAATACCTGAGGTGAATCAACAGAAGGATCTTGGCGAGATTCTGAAGGGACAAACAAAAAGAGGGGTTATGGTCATACATGCACCTAATAAAAGTATAGATACATATCTCCTTTAATCATAAATGAGGTTAGGGTGAAATTTTAAAGTATTCAAAGCGTGGAATTTATTGCGCGAAAATTGATCCATAGAATGCTCACAGGAGACGATAACTCCGTTTATTTCGCACGCCGACAGACCAAAGTTTGTTTGCAGAGATGTCATCGCCAACAGTTAACAAGATACCAGCTCACGTTCCTCCGTTGGATGAAGTTGTGAAAGGTCAGTTTGAATTGTGTCTTTTGTGCAGAAACATTTTTTCAGGTTGACATTACGTGATTCAAAAACATTCAAGGAGGAAAGAAGGGGGGTTGCATGCATGCACGATGAGTTATCTCGTCATGTTAAAAAACTACACATTGCTTGTGTTGTACTAACAGTAACAGAACAGTTTGTGCATAAAATACATTTTCTATCGATCTTTTTGTAGTATTAGCTCTTATTTATAATACTTAATCTCTTCATCAAATGATTTATTGCGAAATAATGCTGGATTTTGATTTGAAAAATAAATAAATTAAATTGAGAAACAAAAAGTTTATCAGCTGTTTATTAAACCACTTGTGCATTCTATGTTTTTTTTTTTAGATATTCATTTTTTTATGCATTTTCTTTGTGTTTATTAATTTTTTTCATCTATTTTTTTTTATTTTCTAAATTATTTTGCTCAACTCATTATGGTTTTATTTTATTTATTGTAGTATTGAATGATGGCCTGAAGAAAAACTTTACAAATATCTCGGTATCTGTCGTAGATTGTCCGGATTTAACCCAGAAGCCATTTACATTGGCTGCTCCAGGTAAATTAAAATATGTCTTCATAGTTACTGGGAGTTGTCGCTAGTCATCATCGAAGTTTATCTTTGAAAAAAATTTCTTTTAAAGTCCACTTTATCACTCTATCAGCTAGCTGCAGATCTGTAGCTCTCCGAAAAATAAATATTGACAGACCGGAGAGCTACAGTGCCACCCATTGAAAAAACTGTATATTTATTGCACCGAAAAAGTGTGCTGTTTCTTGGAATTATTTCTCCATTTTTTAAAACTGTCATCTCAAAATATTACCAACTGTGTGTTCCCATAATATTATTTCACTATTTCCACGACAAAACATACCTAATAGTTGTTGTTAACAGCCCTCCTGGCCTTGAAATTGAGATCATCGAAAAATTCGCCTATTTAAAATGTCATTTTGGTTTGTGAGATAATTCGGTCCAGCGCGCTTCGCACAGATGTAAAGTATGAAAGTACTTGATAGAGGAGTAAGGAATCTTTTAAAATCTATCCTTTTTGCAATTGAGGTAAGAATCTGGAAGAATTAATCCAAAACCGTGTGCACATTTTCGTGCGCAATAAATATACAGTTTTTTCAATGGGTGGCACTGTAGCTCTCCGGTCTGTCAATATTTATTTTTCGGAGAGCTACAGATCTGCAGCTATCTATCAGCAATACGATTAGAATATTTCTATTACTCTATTTGAAATTTTTTTTACAATTTAATTTATGAATATTGCTTTAAGTTTATAAGAATCCATAAGTTATTACAATACATGTATTCTCTTTTGGGTGTGTGTTTGCATAACTATGAATATTAGATAGCTAAAAACCTTAAATTTTTTTCTCCATTATGATCATTATAGACACCTAAAATAAATCCTTGTTTGTTGTTCAGGTTTATGTGGAAATGCTCGCCTGGCAGATGTAGGAGGACCGGGATTTCTGCTACCACTCCCACAGAAGGACAAGGTATCTTTTAAAGGTTTTGTAGTCTGTGTGTTCTAGTGTTGAAATTTAATGACACTGGGACAGTTACAAACAAGAAAGTCTCAAAGGCTTCTTTGAGAATTCTACCCCCTCTGCCCAAGGATGGTGGTTATTGGACATTTGAAAAAAAAAAATGAGGATTCATTTATATTTTACAAATCTTACTAAAATGATGTTTAATTCAAGCTGAAAATGACCTTTATAACAGAAAAAATATCTTGTTTGAATTGAATAGATTGAGTTAGCCTTTTATTCTTTCTTTTGATACAGAAGTTTACCTATCGTCAGATAGCGGAGTCTGTAGGACTGCCTGGTGCTTTTATGATTGGAGCGGGCGCTGGACCGTGTCATATTGTAGGGGTCAACAGTGAGGTCAGGCTTACCTACTTCTTCGTATTTTCTAGCATGGGTTATTAACCAATATTTGATATAAAAATTGTGCAGCAAAATTTTTGTTTTATAAAAGAGAATTCCTGCAGTGAATAATTTTGTAGTTGATATTAACAGCTAAAATGGATATTAAGTCTTTATTGCATAGAGAATAAGCATACCCTTTTCCATTTTACATCCTGTAAGATAGTATTACCCAGAGAATGATTTATCCTGCATATGTTTTAAAGTGTGAAACTTTTTAGTTTGCAATGCAATGTAAATATATATTTTTTTGAATGCCTAATTGATTGATAAAGTTTCCTATTTAATATTTCAGTTGATGAAAAATGTTAAAATGGATGGTAAAGGTGGTGTGACCAAAATCAACTCTCACATTGCCAAGGTCAACCCTAAGGTACAATTACGTTTAGCATGAAAATTTTACGATATGTGAAATTGTTTTGAAGAAAACATTTTCACATTTTTTAAAGAAAGGGAGGGAGCATTTTGTTCCAGATTTATATGTTTATTTTTTGTTCTTTAGAATACAAAACTGGTATGTACATGTTATTCACAAACATAGAGGAGTTTTGAAAAATTTAGATGGATTGAAATATTACTGATTAAAAAGATTTGACAAAAAATAAGGGGAGAGTAAAGTTATTGGAGTATGTACATTATTTATGCTCTTTTTATGCTCTTGTTATTTTAACAGGATGGAGGGTGCGTCTTGGAAACCATTGATAAGCCTGAGTTTTCCTTGATGGGAAATTTCCTTTGTTCTGATGGCCAGCCAGGAAAGGTACCCCCATATATCCATTTTTTTTCGCCATGATCTATTTTTTGCCACCATTTTTAATTTGCAAAATATAAAACAAGCAGAAATTATATCAGCCATAATGTAATATAAAAACTTCCATTTTAAACAAAAATCTTTATTCATAGAAAATAACTTGCGCAGAATAAAAACTGTCTTTCATCACTACCATACATTTGAACAAAAAAATAAGAACTGGTGCCTTTCTATCATGTTTTGTTATACCAAACATCAAAGAATTTTACTAAGATTAATGACAAGTTCTAAAATCTTTTTCACAGGTTATAGAGGTCAAGGCCAGTAACAGAACTGGAGAGGAGAACTTTATGTCTTCCATGAGGATATATATATTCTCAGTACTATTTTCTTGGAAAAAGGAAAAGCAAACTCTTTAAGTGGTGATAAAATATTCTGTTCTTTCTCTCAGATTATTTATTTAGCAGATAATTGAAAGAGATATTAATTCAATGTTATTTCTACCATGTGTTAAGAAATATATACATGTATTTGAAACTTTCTTCTGTGTTATATGCCAAACTATCTGTATTTTTTGTTTATGTTCACATATACAGTAAAACATGGTTATAATGAATTGATGATTACAGGGAAGTGATTTTAAATCCCCATGACTTTATTAAAAGTTGTAGACTTGACGGATATAAAGAATTATGCTTATAATGAAGCACAATTGCCTATATGACCCTGGCTCTTTGTTATAGGCATGTGTTTCACTGCGTATGGTACACTGTAGAACACTTGAAAACAGATCAATTATATATATATTTATCTTTAAATATATTTACATTTACACACTTATAAACACGTAATTGTTAGTAATTTATTCATCTCAATTTGTAAAAAATATAAATAATGCATAAAATGAAAAACCTACACAGTAAAAATTTCATAAATATAAATTCTACATGTTTAAAATATAAAGCAATTTATGACATTTATAAATTTTAAATTGAATAAAAATATATGCAATCATCGTACATATTAATTAATAAACCTGGGATTGAAAGCAAAATTGCTTATTTCCAATGGGGTCATTATTGTTATTGCTATATACAAATATTTATTATCTATTACAGCCAGATTTCTCAGACAAACCATTGGACTCCCAAGAAAAAGTGAACAACTGGTTAAAGTTCTATGAAATGGATGCCATTTTGGTGTGTGTTGGGGAGCTGGTCTCACATGACCCTGTAAGTGTTTGGTATCCAAAGGATTTTAATGCTTAAATTTCTCTAAGAGATTACAATGGACTATCATATCTTTAAATAAGAACTTCTGTTTAACTTCCCAAGAGATTGGAAGGTTATTATTCCTTGAATTGGGTTGTCAATGAATAGAAAAATATGAAAATCAAAGCACCACAAAATATCATTCAAGTTGATAATAAGAACAAGTTTACAAAAAATTCATGATTTTTATAAGTGAAGTAAAAGTGAACTTATGCTGGAAGATTTAAATTTTGACCATATTGAACATGTATACATGTACAAACCTATTTTGAATTTCCAGGGTTATGACCTGAGAGTGGAACATTTCCATTGCTTCAGTGACCACGGTCAAGGAGGTCATTATCACTTTGATGTCACCCCCAAGGACGTGGAATACAGGGGGTACTTCGTATTAGCGGAATCTATTTATAGAATTGACCAGCCTGTACAAACCACGCAACTAGGAAGGTGAAGGCTGTTGTTATTTTTTTTCATTTCTAAGAGCTGTGCTGGTTACTTAGTTATGAACTTTAATGTACTGTATACAGGGTTATTTTTGCCCCGCTTTATTTTCACCTTTTCACACTTGCAAACAATTTTGCTCCGTCTTAAATTCACCCAGTCACAAGTTTTTGTAAGAAATTATACTGTATTCTTTGCATTCACCCAATTTAAAATTCGTCCAACCAAGGCTAGGGCGAAAGAGGCAAAAATAAAATGGGGCCGAAATTTTCGATGTGTACAGTATGTTCTTCCACAGTGCTTTTTAGGGTAATGTATTTGATTTTTTATATAATTTTTTTTTTAAATTATACAATCTGTGATTCATTCTGTGATCAGGGACTGATTTGTGATTTTTTTAATCATTTAGAAACTAGTTCTAGTCTGTATACATGTAGTAATCAATTGAAATGGTAGTCAAAAATTAGCCTCAGGTGTGTTTAGTTGTATGATCAGTATGGGCTAATAAACTAAGATAACAGAAGTATTTAGATGTAAAAAAAAAAATACACCCCAAAAAATAAGTTCAGATTTAACAAGAATGAATCATAATGGCCCATGTCTTATGAAGTTGTTGCATATTTGATTTATGTTTAAGACTGTAAATGATAAAATTTTTAATCAAAATATTAAATCCTTATGCATGTACTGGCAGCTATAATTTGTGACATAAAAATGATTTTTCTCTTAAATATGTTAAGTCTGATTGATTATGCGATATTGCAAATTGTTTATATGTACAATTTATAAATACATGTACAAAGCAGACATGAAACTTTTTAAATTTTAATGTATTTATGCAAGAATGTAATAATGAATGATTTTTTTTTATTAAAAAAAATTATAGAAAATGTATTAAAATGAATATTTTTGTTTATTAAATACAAATGTAAAGGTATACATTTAAAAAAAAAGATAAGCAATATGAGCTGAATTTTCATTTGGGAAATTGTTGTGGTAAAATTGTATTCCTGTATTTAATATTTAAATTTATGTGGCAGAATTAAATACAGCTTGTATTGCTTTGAAAACAAATAACACTGTATTGTTATTTGTTACATCAGCATGCAAGCATCACTATTTAGTATAAGTCTACACAACTCAAAACAAAATTTGCCAAGTTCCCATAGGTCCAGACTGCAGAAGAGATATTTTTTTTCATTAAGATATATTTAGTAAAACAGAAAATGTCCTTGCAACACTCGTGCCCCCATATTGCAGGTTATGGTTACGTTTAAAGCTCAAATGCAACTTGTCGGAATATCAAAAATGTTGGTACCTATTAAAGAAAGAATTTGTCAAAGATGATATAAGATATCAAAGATCTATCACCAACCGTTTAAAAGTTATGGCCAAGATCAAAGGGTGAAAATTGTTGGTACCCAAGGAAAAGTCTTGTCACAAGAAATGCACACATAAAATATTTAAGTCAGAGCTCCAATTGTGTAAAAGTTAGGGCAAAGATTGAAGTTTTTCAAAAGCAGCTCCTCAGACTCAAAGGTCAAATGTAAAGGGTCACAATTGTTGGTATCCAAGGAAAACTTTTCAGAAGGAATACCATGTGAAATTTGAAAGCACTAGCACCAACTGTTAAAAAAACAAGATGACCGTGTTTGTGAAACTCTAAAACCCCATATTGCAGCTTTTGTTGAAGTTTAAAATTTCTCAAATGCAAGTAAGACTCCAAGGTCAAGAGGTAAAAAAAAATTGTTATACAAAGAAAGGACTTGTGTCAGTGGATGAACCTGGTACAATGTAATTATGAAAGCCCAAGCATCAACCATTCAAAAGTTATGGTCAAAGTTGATGTTTTCTAAAAGTTGGTCAATTCCAAGGTCAAAGGGTGGAAATTATTACGGTAGTACACAAGGAAAGACTTTGTCATATGATATACAGTTGCAAAATAAAAGCTCTAGCACCAACTGTTCAAATGTAATGGGGAAGAAAAAAGGTTTTCAAAAGTAAGCCAAACTCCAAGTAAAATTGTTGACCAAAGGTAGGTCTTGTCACAATGGAATAGCTGTGAAAAATAAAAAGCCACAGTACTTACTGTCCAAAAGTGAGTCAAACTTTAAGGTCAAGTTTGAAAGATCAAAAATACTCAAATCCATCAAAAGGTCTTATCACAATGAATACACGTGTGAAATATGAAAGCCTTAACACCGACTGCTTAAAAGCTATGGCAAAGGTTAAAGTTGGGTAATTTTTTGCAAAAGTGGGTCAAAGGTCAAGAGGTCAAATATGTTGGTACCCAAAGAAATGTCTGGTTACAAGGAATACAAATGTAAAATATGATCATTAGGGGTAAGGTTAAACAGAGAAAAGAAACTAGACATCGTTGAATCTTTTAATTACGTGGGTTTAACATTAGCCAAGGTTTAAGCTCTTCAAAGACTGGTCAAATTCAAAGGTCGAGGTCAAAGACTCTAAACTGTTGGTACTGAAGGGAAGGTCTCGACTCAAGAAATATACATGTTTAATATGAAATCCCCAGGCTAGTTTCAGCCATTCAAAAGATACAGCCAGGGATGCCCCCGTATGACATCTTATGGTAAGGGATGAGGTTTCTCAATTGTAAGTCAAACTCTAAAATTCAAGTTTAAAATTATTGGTACACAAAGTAAGGTATTGTCACAAGAAGTACATCTGTGACATTTTAAAGCCATACTTCTAACTGTTAGAAAATTATGATCAAGGTTAAAGGTAAAGGTAAAACTGGGTCAAACACAAAGGTCAAGAGGTCAAGGTACTCAAAGAAAGGTCTTGTCACAAGGAATACAGATGTGAAATATGAAAGTCAAAGCCTCATCCACTTAAAAGTTAAATGTTAAAGGACAAACTCCGGGGTCAAGGTCAGAGGGTCAAGATTGTTGGTTTCTAAAGAAAAGCCTTGTCTCAAAGATTGCATATGTGAAGTATGAAAGCTGTAGCACTTACTGTTCAAAAGTATTGTCCAAGGTTAAAGTTTGTAAAAAGTAGGTCAAACTCCAAGGGTCCTTCAAAGGGTCAAAGTTGTTGATATCCAATGAAAGGTCTTCTCACAAGGATTAAATATGTGAAGTATGTGTATGAAAGCCCTAGCCCTTAACGTTCAAAAGTTATGGCCAAGGTTAAAGTTTTTTCGTAAATACGAAAATCTCCAAGGTCAAAAATGGTTGGTTTCAAATGAAAGGTTCTGCCACAAAGAATTGATATTTGAAATATGAAATTCCAAGTATCTACCATTTAAGAATTAGGTCCAAAGTAAAAGATTTTTTGTGTAAAAATGGGTCAAACTCCAAGGTCAAAGGGTCAAGGTTCTTGATATCAAAAGAAAGGTCTTGTCACAAGGATTAAATATGTGAAGTATGAAAGCCCTAGTCCTAACCCTTCCAAAATTATGGACAAGGTTGTATTTTAAAAGTAGGTCAAACTCCAATGTCAAAGGGTCAAAGTTTTTGGTATCCAATAAAAGATCTTCTCACAAGGATTACATATGTCAAGTATGAAAGCCCTAGCCCTTACCGTTTAAAAGTTGTGACCAAGGTTAAAGATTTTTTTTATAAGTACAAAAATCTCCAAGGTCAAAAGGTCAAAGTTATTGGTACTCAATGGAAGGTCTTTTAACAAAGATTATATATATGAATTATAAAAGTCCTGGTATCTATTGTTTAAAAGATATGGCCAAAGTAAAAGTTTGGAATTTTTGTGTAAAAGTAGGTCAAACTCCAAGAATAAGGTCAAAAGGTAAATTTGATGGTACCCAAAGAAAGGTCTTGTCAAAAGAAATAGTTTACACATATGTGAAATATGAAAGTCATAGCTCCACTAAATCAAAAGTTATTGGCAAGGTTAAAGTTTTTGCGGACAAACAGCTAGACAGAAAGACGGATGGATATATATATATATAAAAAAAGAATTGCAAATTTATCACAATACCCTTCAAGTAACCACATTTGCAAAAAACTTTTAACCTTTGTCATTTTGAACAGTTGATGCTTGAGTTTTCATATTATAAGTTCACAAGTGTATTCCTTTTTATGCGCCTAGATCGATAGATCCGGGGCATATATTGTTTTTATCCTGTCTGTCTGTCTGTTGGTCTGTTTGTTTGTTCGTCTGCAAACTTTAACCTTCATCATAACTTTTAAACCATGAAAGACAGAGACTCCATATTTGGTATACATACTCCCCTAATAAAGCTCTTTCAAATGACAACTAGGTCAATGACCTTGTGACCTTGACTCTGACCTACACTAGACAAAATTGCTAACGCACCACTTATAAATTTTTATTTGTGAATTAAACATTTGCCGGATCGGTTCTAGTAAATATGATATGCCATTATTTCAAAAGCAGTGGGATTGACAAATGTCTTGGCATCATAAAACACCCTTGAATGACCTTCTTGTCCGAAAACCAATTTCCAGCTGTGCACTGCGCACCATTTTTGCACAGATATGAAATTCTTGATCACTAAAGGGGTCTGTGAGATTGCCAAAGGAGTAGTCCCCCGGTTAAAAATAAAATAACAAACAGTCATTGACTCCAATATCTCCTAGTAATCATCTGATACCTTAGTGTCCATACCAAATCCACTCCACTTCCGGTTGACCCAGTTTTGTGGAACAATTTTCAACTTATTGTATGCTGCTAACTTAATGCCGTGGTTTTCTGTAGTTAACATTTTTATGTTTATTTATCTATTTGGAACAATTTTTCATGAGTGGAATTCATAAGTTTTTTATTGTTTTTAGTTTTTACAGATTTTTTCTAAGGGAACCCCCTGCAGACGCCATCCTGTCTGCTTTTGCACGCTCTTTTAGCGTCAAACGCTGCATACAGTGTAATTTTTTTTCTCTGAGTTTTCAATTCATACAATTGGAAAGAACACAAATACAAAGACAAAATTGAATTTTTTTTCTTCAAGAATGGAATAGACACGATTTTATCTTATTCTATGAATTGGTCACACTTCAATAAACATTGTAGTTATTTATAAGGTTTGAAATTAATATGTCTTATTGTTTGTTAAAGTAAAATATTTATGTATCAAATGCATCATAAACAGGTTTTTAAAAGTAAAATATTAATTCTCTTATGTGGTGCGTTAGCAATTTTGTCTAGTGTATATGCTTAAAATATCTTTTTCCTGCAAACTTTAACCTTCGCCGTAACTTTTGAACCATGAAAGATAGAGACTTCATATTTAGTATACTTTCTCTACTTATTAAGCTCTTTCCAATGATACCAATGTCAATGGCCTTGAGACCTTGACTGTGATCTATTTGCTTAAAATAGCTTTTTCCTGCAAACTTTGCCGTAACTTTTGGACCATGAAAGAAAGAGACTTCATGTTTAGTATACCTACTCTACTAATTAAGCTCTTTTGAATGATACCAAGTTCAATGACCTTGTTTCCTTGACTGTGCCTTATATGATAAAAATAGCTTTTCTGAACCTTAAACATAACTTTTGAAACATGAAAAATACAGAGTTCATATTTGGTATGCATACTCCACTTAACAAGTTCTTTAAAATGATACCAAGGTCAATGATCTTCTGACCTCTATGCTAAAATAGCTTTTTTCAAACTTTGTTGCCGTCGGGCGCACAGTGTTTCACAAACACATCTTGTTCAAGACCTTCGTTGTGTACTAGCAATTCGGACTCTCTCGCCTTGACCTTTGAGCTTGGCCTACTTTGGAATTTTTAAACTTTAGCCATAACATTGGAATAGCTTTGGCAAGGGCTCATTTTCAATTACCCCATGTAAAGTACCTTGTGACACTTTATTTTTACTTACATGTACCTTGGACATTTTTGAAAAAAAAAAAATTTAAACATGATTAAGTTT